ACAATCTCCATACTGGGAACTCAATACATTAGAAATGTATAATATGACTTTAAAAAAGTATATATTTTTATCATTAGGTATTATCTGCTGAAGTACAAACACTGACATTTCTGTACTTACAATTCATTCCTTGAAGCACAATACTCTCTAACTGAAAATTGCCTAGTTCTATCCATGTTAGCAAATTACTAAAAAAACAAAAAAACAAACAAAGATCCAATCAGTTACAAAATTTCTTCTTGAAATTGATTCATAATGCAAGATTTTCCAAGCCCACCACAGTAGGAATAATACCTAAATAATGCTGTCATAGCAATTTGAAGCAAAATAAAGGCATTCAACATTAATTTTTCAAGATCCCAATAAAGAGTTATGAAAATGAACATACCTTCTGAAGCCTGATGTGGATTATTAGGGCCACTTGGAAACTTTTGTTTCATAGGCAGTGGAGGAACACTGTATTTGTGGGATGTCTTATTAAGCAATTTCAGGACTTGAGCTTCATCCTCTAAGCATGCTACAAAATCATATACTACAGGTTTATTAGATTCAGATGATATTAAGGCCTTTTCATAAAGGAATTCCACTAAGTGCAATCGACAAGACAAAGGCAAATTCTCATTAGTAGAATAGAAGGCCACAAGAGGTGGTTGATATGGGTATTTATTATCTTCTGGAAATCTTACTTCAAGTTCATACACGGGAGCATTATCACTTCTAAGATGAGCATCTTCTCGAATGGGAGGAAGTGATTTTTGACTATGTGGAGTTTCATGCTTGAATTTGCATCTTGAACCAAATTTGCAATCTCCTCGGAGGAAATATTTACAGATACCCTGGGAATTTGTATTAACTATGTTACTGGTGATGCTATTGTCTTGTTTTGTCTTGCTGAGAATATCTGTTAGATATGCCAACTCTAATGTAATAGTCCAAACTCGATTTTGAATTCGTTCAACAAATTTGTCTCCACAGATTGAACGGAGGACTAAAGCTTCTTCTTGCCTTTGTTCCAAACAATCTTTAATATTTGCTGGAACAGAAGCTTCTGTGAACTGCATTCTCTTTCCAAACTTTTCTGTGAAGCACTGCAAAAGTAAATGTTCCAAGGATGCCCCAATGTTACCATTGTAAGACTTCAGTACTGCTTGGCAATGCTCAAAATCAAAGCCATACCTAGGAGGAAGAAAACAGTGGTAACAAGTCCCATCTGGGCAAGAGCAAGTAGCTCTACTACTTCTAAAAATGGCGCCCTATATTATCCTATGAGAAGAAGCTACTCTAGATTGCATAATACACTTTGATTCTGCAACTAGAATATACATTGTTATCCCAGTCAGGGGTTGTTTTTAGAATATGAAAATTTGCAATCTATGAAAATACACTGATGGCTTGAATGATTGATGAGGCAGAGTTGAACTCCTAAAAATCTCCCAGGACAGAATAAAAGAACCAGAAAGGGATCAGCAGTATTTGGGTTGGTAAAAAATTGACTTGAAGAACTTGTTTCTTTTCCCCTTGCCGCCGCCTCCCAATAATAACACAAAGAATTTGAATTTCTAGAAAAAAGGAACCTGTTGACAATAATTTGATAATTATAACAGCCTGAAATTTTTTTTTTTAATCAAAACCAAAACTGTCTTACTATTGAGTCACTAGATTCTGAAGTGTGTTATTCCTTCAAGTAACTATAATTATCCATTCCAATCATGATTCCTAAATTATACATTGGCTTGGATGTTATAGATGCAGAAATAATTACCTGGAAAGCTTATGCACAGCAAAAGATGACACTTCCATGTCTAGTACATGGTTCACTGATGCTTGAGAAGCAGCTCTTGAATTGGTTTTAGAGAACACATTGTCATCTGACCAGGACTGCTCATCATCCAGGTAATCCGACTCATTGCAATCACCAATGCCTGATAGTGTCCTGAAAATATAAGATATTTCTAGGGCTACAACCTAAATTAATCTGGAGGATTAGGGTTATATAAAATGACTTTTCTCTCTCAGTCCGGAAGTGGTTTTATTTAATTGTTCAAATGTAGAAATTGCCTTTGTTATATAAAACATGTAACCACTTTGAGTTAAATAAACATTTTGCTTCTTCTTCTAGAATGGGTACAAAACCTTGTTTGTTAAATCAATCAACAGTCTAGATATGCTAAATTATATACCATAATTACACACTATGAAAGGCCTATTCAGTCACAACAATAAAGGGGTTCATATACAATTTGGTGGCATGTCATATTTTAAAAAATGTTTTAAAAAAGAACTCACTTTGAACCAGAAGCCAATTCCTGCTCCTGGAGCTCACAAAGAAGTTCTTTTACTCTCTTCTGATTTTCTGAAGTCATATGAAGAGTCTGCAGAGGTGTTTTGATCTTGGATGCCTGCTTGGTCTGTCCATTTCCTTTATTAACAGAACTTGATGTACAGAAAAGAAAAAGTATATTATTTACAAATACAGTCAAGTAGTGTAAAATGCATATCAAAATACATAACATTCATTAGTTAAAATTATGATTAAAATGACAATTGTATGGGATCAGTTCCATCTTCTGCTATTAGCAAATGCTCAGATAGGGTGAAGAAAGTAAGAAAGATTGTGAAGATCTCTTGCCAAAGCAATGAAGGGAAAAACATTTACAAGTAGTTCTTGGCTTACAACCACAATTGGTCCCAAATTTTGGTCATAAATTGTTGAGGTTGTTAAGCAAGGTGCCCACATGTAATAAGCTACTCAACAACCTTTATCCCCACCCTCCCAGGTGCGGTCACCAAAAGACTGTTGGTCATTAAGCAAACAGAGCAAAAGAGCTGCCTGTTGAAAGAGACAAGCAGTTCTCTTCCATGCACAGAAAGAAATTTATTGTGCTGGACCTGAGAAATAAAGTATGAATCCCATAATCTCATAAACCCAAAATGAAGCTTGGATCCCCTTCATTTCTCTGGCCTCCAGCTAAATACTCATTCCTAATTCTGATTCAGTTAATATTCTGAATAATAATTCATTTTGCTAACCTGTGTGTATCTTTTGTTCCACTGAAAACGCAGAAATCATCATCCCACATTTCGTCCAAGCCTTTTTTGTTGCTGCTGGCTTGATGTTTGCTGCCACTACATCCTCCTTTTCCTCCTCTACTGTGGGGTCTCCCTCTTCTCTTTACTGAACTCATTTTTTAGCTAAAGGAAAAAAAACCATGAAACAAAATGATCGCGAGTGAAGTGTCGCACTAGAATGTAAACACACAGTAAAGGTATCAGTTGACATCATTAATTGATCATCTCTCTCCCACAACTCAAAAAAACACAGCAGTATGCAGCAGCCACCAAAAAAGCTAATACAATCCTGGGTTGTATAAACAGAGGCATAGAATCAAGATCACACAAAGTATTAGTACTGCTTTATAAAACCCTAGTAAGACCACACCTGGAATACTGCAACCAATTTTGTTCACCATACTACAAAAAACATGTTGACTATGGAAAAAATTCAAAGAAGAGCAACTAAAATGATCACAGTCCTGGAGACTAAAACATATGAAGAATGGCTGCAGGACTTGGGTTTGCCTAGCCCTAGTCTAAAGGTGACATGGTAGCAGTATTCCAGCAGTATTGAGAGGCTGCCACAGAAAAAAGGGTGTCAAATTATTCTCCAAAGCACTAGAAGACAGGACAAGAAACAATGATTGGAAACTGACCAAAGAGAGAAGCAACCTAGGAGAAACTTCCTAACAGTGAGGACAATTAACCAGTGGAACAGCTTGCCTTCAAAAATTGTGGGCACTCCAGTACTGGAGGTTTTTAAGAAGAGACTAGACAGTCACTTGTCTGAAATGGTATAGGTTCTCCTGCTTGAGCAGGGGGCTGGACTAGAAGATCTCCAAGATCCCTTCCAGCTCTATTCTATTTTAAACAGTGAGATTTATTTCCTAGTAAATTTTCTTTGGCCCCAATATTTGTATATTATCTATAAGAGTGTATTTATCAGTAAGGATTCACTTGTGTCATGGGCAACAGTATATCATACTCCATTGGATCAAGTTTAAATCAATAAAATTGATTAAATTATATCTGTAGAGATGTATATACATTGCATGCTATGAGTTACTTTCGGTAATGGTTTAATTACTTTCCAATTACAATTAACAAAGTCACCAGAAGAGCAGCAACAGTTTTTTGAGTTAACTTTAAGTTATTTTCTTATTAACATTGCAAGGAACTCTGGGATTGGTGGGATGAAAAGCAAGGTAAAAAAGCTTTAAATAAATCATAATAAATTTAGTACAAGTGTATTATAAATTATAATATAAATTATATACTGTATTAAATACATCATCATAGTATAAACTATAATAAATCAGAATAAATTATGTATTCTCTAAATCTAACTGAACATATTGATGCTCACTATTGGGGGAGGGGAGAACCTCAATATTCACAGTGAAAATAGGAAAAAAAACATAGAGAATTGTAGTTGGTGACCTGTACACAGTCCATTCAACTAATTATCCAATGTAGCATAAGTTATTCATCAGTGCCACTAATTTAGAACCCTCCTTAAGGATATGTCAGGGCCAAGCATGAGATCTCCTTTTGCAAAGAACACTCCACTACAATTATTCTAAAAAGCCATATTGCATCACTAAATACTATACACTGGACTGAAATTCCTCGTCTCCCCCAATACTGACAGGCATCTCGTGTTCAGCGTTTCCAGAGACTTTTTCAGAAAGCTCACAGCCTCCCTGTATGTTGCAAAACACCCTCCTCGATCCCATGGTTCTCCATCCTTCTACTCTCCGTACATTTGCCCTGTTGTTAAGGAACTTGTAAGCCAACTGAAGGTTTACCGCGTTAGAAAAGATCGCCCGAAAGGCACTATATCACCCCTCCCTCCCCATAATTACAAACCGCTTTCTCTTACCGCTAACGATTCTTAAAAGATACATCCGCTCCCGCCTGGAATCTCAGCTGAAACCAACATTCGACAATCACCTGGAAGTAAAATCTTTCGCTTCCTGTAAATCTTGTCGTCATAGCAACCGCGTGTGCCCCTTCCAAAGTATGTCCGGTGAGTAGCGATTCCAATCTCCTTGATGGAATGATTGGTTAAAAAAGAAAAACAAAAAAAGGAAGATATTTCTTGATCGAAATCAAAAAGTTATGTCAGTTTCAGTACAGGAAGAATTTGCACTTCTCCAGTGAAATGGGTTTGCACTCAAAGATCAGTAGAATACTTTATGGGTGACAGATGGAATGAACTAAGCTTGAGCAGATCAGATGATGACGATTATTCTGTGTGTGTGTGTGTGTGTGTATGCATGCATGTATGTATGTATGTGAGGTGGGCTGGGCTGATGAGAAGCGACTAGATGAGAGGCGACTAGAATGAAAGCAACAAGCCCAAAGTCCTCTAGTCTAGCCGGTTTTCATGCTTAAGGAAGGCCTAGATCTTAGAATTTCCTGGTTTCTGTGTCTTAACCACTACTTTAAACTCGTTCTGTTTATATTTTACATTTAGGGAGAAGAATACTTTTAAAGATCAGTAAAAGTATATTATTTTTCAACAGGTTCTGAAGTTTATAAAATATCATTTATATTTCCAAATCAAGATAAGTATGGTAAATATTTACAGACACTATACCATGATGTGTTGGTGACAGATTATTAAAATGTATACAATTTCTTTCCAATTCAGGCTGTAGAGCTTTAGCACTTATTTGCAATAAAATTAATCCAACAGTTCTTATTTTTGAAAAAATAGGATTATGCTGTAAATGAGACAATAGCCTGAGCATTACAATGCAAATGAATTATTTTAAAAAATAATCTGCTATGTATGCTTGTACTAGTAGGATAGGCTAAGATTAGTTTGTTTTTGAATATCAATGTTTTAGAGTTGGATTTCTTCAGTTTTCTCTAAATTATAATCTGTTTGGGGAACATAGGAAAGTGGCTTTGAAGAAATTTTCAACTAGTGAACGTTTAGCTACATTTAATTGTATACCCTGAGATTTCTTGTATGATATCAAAGCATGATGCACTATGAATATTACAGTTATTGGGAGCAGTATTGAAAATAAAATATAGCATTATCATAAGCCATGTCTACATGACATACTGAGTTTAGCTCAGCATTAATCATAATGCTGAGCTGACAAGTTCAGTGGTAAAATCTTGTCAAGAATTTCCTAAAACTAAAGTTTGTCCCATCTGTTGGACTAATTGGTTCATAGTCTGAGCTAACTGATTCATCTGGGTAACCACCTAATTCTGATACTGTAACGAAGAATGAACTATTTATAATCAGTGAGTTTTCAAATGATTCAATGACCATTGTTCTGATTCCAAGTTATATGCTATGGCTCTCCTTCTGTAGTGGAGGAATTATGGAGAGGGCAATCAAACTGTAAAACCTTCTGTCAAAACTTCAGTAGAAATTTCCAGAAACTTAGCTCAGCATGGCTTGTTTAGGTTGTCAGTTCAAATTTAGCTCAAGACTTTCAAGACACATGATACCATGTGGCCAAATAAAAATCTTTATAGCATAGTAAAAACACATCACCAACACTATTGAGTGACTTGTTTAATTTTTATTTTATTGGGTTTTTCCATCCTGCATTGCCTTTTGCTTCACTAGATGGTGAATGTACAAGAACACCTGATGGAATTCTTGAGAGAAATGGATATGGGGTTCATACAACTGCAGGTGGAATTATTTATCGTGGAACATGGAAGAATGATAAGGTATATTTGTTTTTAAAAATATCTAAAAACATGCAAATAATTAATGATTTCTCCTATTATAGTAATATTAAGTCAGTTGAGGAAAAATAAAAACTGACTGTTCCATGAAGCCATGACGTTCCAAAGTGATTATCTAGCAGAAACTCACATATTTTGTGTGATATAAATAGTACATTAGGGAAAATGTTTGCTTGTATCAGGGTTGAGGGAAATGGAAGGAAAAGATAAACAGTAAACAGGATAGAAAAGGTCAGGAATATCTATCAGATTCCCTGAAAGTTCTGTGGTACTGGAAAAAATAGAGAGAGAGAACATTCAGTGATCAGAATTTGGAGCTGATGGAATAATTGATTTAAGAAATGTTTGTGAATAAATAAAACTTGGATTATATCCAAAGCTTCATTTTACCGAAAAGTACCTCCATTTGAACATTTTGGAACCTTCAGTGCTGCATCTTATTTGATCTCATTGATTTCCTCTCAGCCTTCCATAGCAATTTCTTATGGGGATTTAAGTAAGTAGGGGTGGAGAATCAGTGAAAACCAGATGTCCACATTTACGAAAATGTGAATATACACAAATATACTCTCTTGATATATATCCTGAATAAACCTAGTGGTGTCTCAGCCACTGTCTTGTTTTAGTACAAGCAGAGTAAGTATAACGTTAGAACATTTAATTGGCTTTTCTACCTTAAGCAGAATGATAGGTGAGAGTTCATAATGCATCACAATTTTCCTAATTGTTGTTTTCTTTCCAAGGCTAAAGCTGCAAAGTAAGGCAAGAACTAGTTATCTGATGTGTTAGTTTTCGTGCTCTGAGATTCTACAAAAGGATGTAGATACAGTACAAGAAGATCTGAAGGACCAATTTGAGGACAGATCAGCCTAGACCTAGAGAAAAGCTATCTATATGGACACTAAGAGTCTACATGGATTTGAGGGACATGACTGTAATAATCAGGGATTTCACTTTATATCTACATAGTATCAGGCTTCATATACTTTAAAATAGATCATAAGGAAGCAAGTTTTTATTCTTTCTAGGGCACTGCCACAATGTTTTTAAGTTGTAGAAGAAGACAAAAATTTAATTCTTTATCAATCTGTCCTAAAACATGTTTAGCTTGATTCTGAATTCATTCTTTTTAATGGGCTTAAATGAAATTGGTACTGTACAGGGTTGTTTAATTTTTCAGCTCAATCATATGTATGACTGTCTTAAAGTAAACTATAAGTTGAACTTTATTCAGCTGAACTTGTCCTGAGTTAATTATGCATAGGATGACCCTTTTAAATTTACTAAATTTAGGAAAATAATATTTGGAGTAATTTTATTTATACAGCTGCTAATGCCACTTTTCGTTAAATTAGATGAATGGTTTAGGAAGGCTAGAACATCCTTCAGGTGCAGTTTATGAAGGTGAGTTCAAGAACAACATGCTACATGGAACAGGAACTTATATATTTCCTAATGGATCCAAGTATACTGGACAGTTCAATGAAAACAAGTAAGTTGAAAAAAATTACCTCAAAAATTATCTTAGTATCTTTACTATGGTAATATGTCTTGTTTGTATTAGAAAATTAGTCTTGGTTTATGTAACTTGGTTTATGTATGTAATCCAAAATATAGTTGATTTGTTTCTGGCTTACTATGTTGTGTCAACCTAGAAGAATCTGACTTAATTTACAGGTCATGGCCTAGCATTCTGTGTTAACCTATCTTTGTAGGTATATGATTTCTTCAGTTAATATTTCTAGAGCAGAGGCCCCCAACCTTTTAGGCACCAGGGACTGGTTCTATGGAGAAAGATTTTTCCGCGGAGCAGAAAGGGTGTGGTTTTGTGTGCTGCCAGTATCCCACGGATGGGGCTTTGCTTGTTTGTGTGGCCCAGTTGCTGCCATGCTGTGGCCCAGTGCTGGTCCATGGACTGGGTTTTGGAGACTCCTGTTCTAGAGTTAGTCATACTCTCAACATCATGCTGTTTTTGAAGATGATTGGGCTAAATATCTGTAAACTAAAATATCTGTTAACTAATTATTAGCTAATTCCTATATTGGTTCCAGAGCTTGGTCCCAAGACTTTTTAGTCTGAAGGCAAGTAATGCAACAATTAACCAGGCTGCATACTGCACTCAAAGTTCCATTATATAAGCAAGAATATCAGTGTCTATTCTACTGTGATCTTAAACTTTATTTTGTGCGCTGCCTTGATCTGTTTGACAATTATGTGATCCTAGAAATATCATAAATACAGAATTATCTATTTGTCTATTTATCAGGCAAATTAATCTTGCAAATTAATCAAATTAAATAGTCTCTTCTATTAGTAGCAAATTAATAGGTAGATCCAGTATGATGGTATAATTTCTGCTACACAAAAGTAGCAGAAAAAAAGTAGGAATTTCAAAATTCCAAAATTTAGCTTTTGTATTATTTTAGTGATTTTTTTTCCTCACGTCCAAATTCAGTGTTGTTTTTAAGGCTTATATACTTAATGACCTTGAGGCTAGATTCTCTAATCCAGGGTTTTTCAAACTGTGTTACAGCAGATTCCATGGCCTGAAGAAATTTGAAAACCCCTAGTCTAAACAACTGTCTCATGATTAACCCAATTGGGGCTTAAGAACTATTATTGTCATCAGCCATTCAGTCATGACTGACCCTTGGCCACTCTATGGATCAGCACTCTCCATGCCCCTCTGTTTCACGCTGCCTCCTTCAAATCTGCCGTGGTCATCCCAATGTCATCTTTATAGTGTCCAATCACGGGCTCCTTCTCCTTTTTCCATTGATCACTCCCAGCATGGTTGACTTTTCAAGTGAATCAGCTCTCATGACATGACCAAAGTATGATAGCTTCTGTTTGATGATCTTGGCTTCAAGTGATATTTTTGGTGAGGTTCGGTCTAGGGCTTTTTTGTTTGTTATTTTTTGCAGTCCATGGGATTCGTAATAGTCACTTCCAGCACCACAGTTCAGAGGTGTCCACTCTTCTCCTATCTGCCTTTTTCAAAATCCAAGTTTCACAGCCATAAGTAGCAATTGGAAAAAATATTGCATTAATTAATCTGCATTTGGTTGTAAGACTGGTGTCTTTACTCTTCTAGATGTTATTCATACCAGACATTGCAGTTCTTCCAAGTGCTATATGCCTGCTGATCTCAGGGCTGCTATCACTACTATGGTTGATTTTAGAGCCCAGGAAGATGAATGTCTTTACTTTTTAAGAACTGTAGAGAAGACTTGGGATCAATAGAACTGACAGGATAGGAATATTACCATGTACTGTATAGCTGGTATTTGAAAAGATTTCAAGATTTTAATTTTGCTATTGAAACTCCTTATGTATTTCTTCTATCATTGTTTAGATAATTTTAGTGCTCTTTTGTAGTGATGGTGTTATCTCTTAATTTGTTACACCTCTTCTTACTTTTTTATACAGAACGACAGTATAAAAAAACTAATTAAAATAAGTCAATATTACTATTTTAGCAAATTGATATCTCAAAATACCACTAGGTTGTACATGATTATGGATAATTTATTACTTTTGTTTAACATACTAATTTTGTTTTTATCTTAGGCTGGAAGGGAAAGGAGAATTTACAGACACACAAGGACTGGAATGGGATGGCACCTTTCACTATACAGCAGCACCAGGATTGAAGCTAAAGTTAGAAATGTAGAATAGTTTGGACTGGCATAGTAAAATAAAATTTCTGTTAGAGTTTTCAAGCAAATAGTTTTATTTGTAGTTTAATGGAAGTTAACTACTGTTTTTAAAAAATAAAGTTTAAAAATGTAAAATAAAAGTCTATTTATTTAGCTTTCAGAACATCATTTTTTTCTCTTTATTGTACATATAGCATGCTAATGTTTAAAATGTTTTGTTCTAATAATCTTTATAAAATTATGAACAGTTCAATATTATCAGTTTTAATACAGATATTTGGAGAGAATAGAAAGAGTGGAAAACAAGGTAAAATTTAACTGAATCAATACAATAAATAAGTTGTTTAAAGTCTGCCATTTCCATAAGTCTGTTTTAAATTAATACATTAAACATGAACTGAACTTGCACCAATGCGTCTAGTGAATTACTTAACTCCAGTTTTGCATAAATCTGATGTAAAGTATAGCCTAGAGATATGGATTTATACTGAGATTTTGTTAATATACCATTTATTTCAGGATTAACAAATATCTAACAAATAAGTTTGTTAAAATAATCCAATATTTTAGCAACAGAATTTCTGAACACAATGAGTTTAACTTTCAGCAGCCTATGGAACTTAATGGAGGTTAGTACCATCTCTTTCTCACTTTCATTTCTATCCATATATTAGAATAATTCTGATGACAAAGATGGAAAGAATAATTGTGTTACCACTGATATGAACAGATCTGTAATTCATATTGCAATTTTATTCTTTAAATATCCTTAAACAATAGATAATTATGGGCCAGGGAGAATAAGTATATTCCACGCTGGATGCACACTTACTGATATAATGCTGGATCTCAAAACTTCATTGTTTGTACTTGATCAACAGTGCACTGTTGTAAAAAGAATCCCGGAAGACTGAGACTTCCACAAAGTAATTTCCATTTAAACATTAAACATAATGTATAAATTCCATTTTTAGTGAAATATTTAGACTGTTTTAACATTACAGCAGTGTTTCCCAAACTTGACCATTTTAAGGCATGTGGACTTCAACTCCCAGAATTCCACAGCCAGCGTTGCTGGCTGTGGAATTCCTGGAGTTGAAGTCCTCATGCCTTAAAATGGTCAAGTTTGGGAAACACTGCATTACAGGATCATGCATAAAAAAATAAACTCTAAATTAAGTGTCCTTTTCACAACCGTCTGATGTATCTGATGGTCTAATGCCTCCTGGCCCTGTATGTTTGCCTAGCCATACAGACTTCCGAAAATAGTATTTTCTGGATATATTACAGGAAAGCTTTCAGTATGTCAAGTCAACATGGACAGCTGATGTAGTCCATTAAAGAGAGAGGGCCAGCAGATTGGGGGAAGATTAGTAAATTGAATTGATTTATGATCACATTTGCTGAATAAAAAATACTGGAGAAGTGCACATTCTGCTTTGTTCTAGCTAGATCTTTTACTTTTCCATTTATGAAACACCAGCAGCAGTGCTTTAACTACAATTAATGCATAAATTTTTGTTGCTACTAAAAAGTAAAAAAATCAAGTAGAATTTTATAATTGAACTAGCTTTTATCAACTGGGGTCCTCCATTACCTTAAGGTTTCATGAAAGACTACTAGGAGTTCTACAAGAGATTGTGACTGAAAAATATCACACTTCATTTCTTAATTTGCACACCGCACAGTGATAATATTTAAAGCTGTGTAGGTTAAGCGTGAATTGTATTATAAAGATCTTGCATTTTTTTGCATTTTTTATAGAGATTCCTTGAGACCTGAACATTATTTCAAGGTTCCTCCAGGGTTAAACAGTAAAAATGATTGTTTAAGAAATGTAGCTGCTGTTTTTAACCAGCAGGGAGGATGTGACCTGAGGATTGCATAATTAGAAAAGTTTAGATTAGATATGCCTGGATTTTAAATGAATAATTAATGTGTGATAGACCTACTTCAGAAATCATCAGCTTCTATAGCTACATTTTCCCCTTTATTTGAGACATTCATTGTTTCAAAGTCAAAAAGGACCTGATACTGTGAGACAGAAAGAGAGCACAGCCAAAGGTAAGTTTAAAATTTATTGTATTTCCACTTTTAATAATTAATACTTAAATGTAATATTGAGAATCAATTTGTTCCTTATATGATACACAAATAGCAAGAGATCCTAGAGTAAAAAGATCTGCTCTGATACATTAGGTAAATTTTCAGCATAATTTTAAAGCTGAAATTCTATATATATTTCACTGACTGGAAATAATTCTATGAGCTATTGACAGATTGTCAAGCTTTGTTTGTTTATCTTTCTTAATATATGGAAAAGTGCTGGGAACTAGTAATCACAGGTACCTGAAACTAGGAACTACAGTAGTGTTTAGCATGCCAGCTAATGCTTCTTCTTGTGTCTCCTAAAAATGCCTTTGAGGACTAAATTGCCAAATATTAAAACATAAAAAAAACAAATATAGTCTTTCCTCTTTTAGCATTAATATAACTAAAGTTTCTTTGTACTAGCTTCAGATGGTATCTTAGCTATTCCTGCTCTGAATGGGGATTGAAGTTCCAATCTTAATGATACCCTTCCATTTGGATTACTGTAATGTGTTATGTAGAGAGCTGCTATTAGAATCTGGATGTTTGAATACAAAAACAAGAATTTAAACTGACTTTTTGTATTATGCGTGTATTGTACAGATATCACCTTCCTTGGTTCTTAATTGCTTCCAACCTCAGAACAATGTATTGCCTTCATTCATCAGATTAAAATATTCATGTCTACCTACTTACTGATATGTACCTATTTTCTCCATAACATGAACCATTTCTGAGAGATTCTGGAAGTAATATAATGGTCATAGGATTCTTACCCTTGCACCTAGAGAATACAGTAAAGAATATAAAAATAAATAGACACAAAAAACCCACGTCCCTCTAGGCATCTAGATTGCCTCTAGACATCTAGGTTGCCTTAATCTTGTTAACCTTTCACAAGGCTCTGAAGACCAGGTGTTTGGGCTAGGGAGTTAAGCAACCTCTGCTGGTAATGCTGCTTTTATGATTTAAGTCTATTGTTTTAATTTTGGGTATCATGGTTTAGATGGTGAAGTGTTGTTTTAATTTTGTATGTTACCCGGTTACTCTTGTGAGATGGGTAGAAGTCATGTAAATAAATAAGTAATCAAACAGGCAGCACAAAAATTATGGCCAGTACAGAGTCTATAACTAAAAACAATGAGGATTTAAAAATGGAAGCAGGTTGTTTCTTGATTTGAAAAGCTTCATTAAGAACAGAAGTATCTTGGCTTTCTCTTCTCAGTAAAAACTTTCATAGAAACTCTTAATGGTACTTGTTTTAGAGAAGAGCCAAATACTATATACTACACTGGTAATCAATAACCTCATTATATTTTTTCTTCCATTAAAATTAGGAACTCTTTCATCTAATTCATATGTAAACGTTCTTCAGAACAATGGGATGGATTTTTCCCCTCAGTAAAATTTCAAAGTGGGAAATATATTGACTGAACCTGAAACAATATCCAACATATTTAAGAAGCATGGACTCAAATAGAAAAGAAGGTAATTAATATATTTAAGCTATTTAAATTCTTTTTTATTCTTACATAATACTGTATTTAGCAAATTTTAGAAAAACATTCAAAATAGAAGACAAAATATAAAACAAAACAATAATGCTGAAGGAATAATCTGTGACGGAAAATGCTGAAAAAAATTATGGCTTTGACATATGGAAGCAAAATGCTGTGCATGTAGAAGCCAATAAGTTCCTGAGCAAAACCTCATTTGAAGAGGTTGCTGCCATGAATCCCATAAATTCTGGCCAATATCCAATTTGAGATAAATGTTATTAGAACTCTGTGTAGTCCTTATTATTGAGAGGAGAAACAATAAGCCTAAATTGCAAATTATAATTGAAAGTAGTAACAGACATTTACAGTATATTCCTGTATCTGTTGTCCAAACCTTGGGAGATTAAATAGACAATGAACCATGGATTGGCGATCCAATTTCTGTTGCAGTTCTAAGTGTTAAATGAGACCTCTACTTCTAGAGATAGGACTTTTGTGTATCCTTATTGGACAGGCTTTTTTTCCCTGTTCCAAGGCCTCTTTAGTAGGAATGGGATGAGACAGCTAATTAATAGGAGAAACAAGTCATCACATTAATCAGGAGCACTGATCCTAGGAAGAGAAGGAACCCCATTTTTCAGGTAGGATTCATGTTTTATATGTGTTAATACTTCATTTACAACAGTACCGAACTTCTCTGTCTACTGATAATGATTACAAAAACAAATCATTGACTTGTGAAAGTTACGCATGTTACAATCGAAAAGAACATCCTCCCCCAATAAATTAAAAACATTGATTGGTATATAAAAGGTTTACATCTCCAATGGCACATCAGAAAACAACCAAAGTGTTGCAAATAGTACCTTTAAGAGCATCAACAAGAAACATACAAAATAATAAAAGTTATGGGCTGAATGTTATGATAAAGAAACATATAATATATAAAGGCATGAGTGTTGGAGGGCATGGTAGATATAGAATCAAAGATGTGCAATTATGTCATTCCAGAAATTTAAAATTCAGAAGTGAAGTAAAAACATTTCATGATGAATAAGATTAAAGTGTGATATCTGTGAAAAAGGGTAGTATGTATTACATATTTTTACTACTAACCTATCCCAAGTAATTTTGAATCTGCTTTTAATTTTTATTTTAAGTGAGAAAAAGCTGTTGCAGTTCATACTTATAAGCTCTTTCTCCAGGTAGTTTCTGACTATTGTGGTAACTCCCCAAACAACCAGAAGAGCTGAAGCAGGTTAAGTGCCTTGTGTTTATTATATTGACCGGAGTCCTAGATTTCAGAGATGCCATCAAAACTTGGTTTTTTCTACAGGCTTTGGAGATGGGAATGTTGTGAGCATCTTTCTCCTGTAATTTGGAGATTAATGGTTGCCAGGTTTTTATTTTAGTTCTAGGGCTATGCTTTGTACTGTATTAATACGTGTTTTAGGTTTTATGTGTTATTCTAATTAGGATATTTCAGAAGATATTTTACATTAGTGGGTGGGTGGATATTATATAAAAACTGTGCCCGGAAATCCCATTTGCTAGCATTGGCTGAAGTGGAAATTGATTTTAGGATGTTTTCAATTAACTGAGGTCCCCATGGGAAGTAAGACACACAGAATTTAGATTAAAATGATAACCATTTCAGTACATCTGGATGTGTTGATTTTTTGAAATCAGAGGCTTTCTGGGATGTTGCACATATTTAGGATGTTGTATCCATGTATGTAACCAAATTGGGGACTTTGTGAAAGATGACTAAATTGGGAGATTGGCACATTAATAAAATCGTGCCATAGTGGTCATGGCTCTCCTTTCCTATCCTATCCTGCCCTGTCCTGCCTCCAGATATTCCTGTTAAACCTTTTAAATTCTTTTTTTCTGGTTAGTTGGGCATATTTCTAAAGCAATTCTACTATTACCCACATTTTTATTTTTGAAAAATAACAATAACAAAGTTACAACTTCATTAAATTTATTTATTTAGATTTTTAAAAACAATTCTGAGGTCAATGTCCGGTCATATTCTTGAAAAATATATATATAAAGAGGTGGTTTATTTCATGATCCCTGCAGGAATCAGGCCTAACCATTGTAAAATAAAAGATGTAGTTTTTCAAATGTCTATACATGTAGACTTTCTCATTCATTGATTTCCTTACTAATTTATTGTAAATATGATACTATATATTTGTTAGAAGCAGAGCAGACCAAATGGATAGAAATACTAGGACATTAGCGAAGAAGAAAACATTTAACATTTGACCTTTGGTAAATCTGGGAATGAAAAATATTTAGATCAGATTCACAACATTAAATTATATTTGTTTAGCTATGGTTTATTGGATAATTTAAAATTGATTAGGTCAATACATTGCCCTTAGCTATAAATTATAGCTTACAAACCACATTGGTTAAGTTCACATAATGCTAAACCACAAATAATATGTTAACCTATTCCCAGACAGCAAATTGACTTGTTCTAAGGATAAAGTAAGAGTATCAAAAGTATACTGGAAGGTTTAGGAAGATTCTCATAAGGTGAAGGAGCAGCAAGAAACTATTTTAGAACAGCCAAATTAGGCCAAAACATACATCACAATCTTTGAGATGAGAAGTGCTGAAAAGTTTTCAATCCTTACTGTTTGAGAAATTTGATTTGATTTTCACTAATGAGAGCCTAAATCCATTTTAAGAGAAATGCCTTTGAGTTCTTTGGTGAACAATTAAGAGGTTTTCTTTTTCATCTAATCTGTACACTTCCGATTAAAACAACTATAATTCTCATCATTCCCAATAGAATGGAAGGGAGTCTGATTGGGAGAAAATAGCCATTTCCCGTTTTATAAGGTTTATTATGCAGTACAGTATTTAGTTTTCTTTCATATAGCATGTTTGTGGTAAAACTATTGCACAAGTGTTATTAGATTATTTTGTCTTCTACATGTATAGAAAAATGGTATTTTAAAATATATTAAACCAGTAGGTCTGCCAGTCCATATCTTAAGAGAAAGGTTTTGGAAGGTGAAAAATATGGAAAAAGGATTTTAAGTGCAGTTTTAGGCATCTGGGAATAAATAATCCTAGAAAGGAATTAGGACTAAATTTAAAGTATTTGGAAATCTACTAAGTCTTAACTTTTCTGGGGTAATTTCTAGATCATCCTAATATGAAAACATCTCACATGGAATATTACTGCTCAGGGCTTTTTTTGTCATACAACGCGCAGAATGGAGTTCCGGCACCTTTTTTGAATGGAACCTTGTAGGGTAGGCAAGGCGGGTTGTATGACATGTGTGAGTTCCGGCACCTTTTTTTTTTTTTTTTTTTTTTACAAAAAAAGCACTGTTACTACTTATAGATAGAAAACTGGGTTCATTAACTGAATATCTGACCTTTGGTAGCAAAAACGTGGAGTTGGTGTTTGCCCTAGAGACACTACTTGGTGCTAACCCTACAATATAACGGAGATAAAAAAAGTAAATTGTAATAAATGAAGGAAAAAAAGTCCACAAATGAAATGGAACTTTAAAAAACAGTTGGCTTTAACATGAGGGGGGCAGATCTTGCACCTCCACTGTCATTATTTTTCCATGTATTTACAAAAAATTAACTGGAATAAATGAGCAATGGAATCAATTTCGTATTCCATTGCATGTTCACAGCATAACATTTCCATCACAGTACTGGCCACTTCTGCACAGCTGCAGGTATAGCCACAGGGTGTTTAAAAAGCATTTTTAAAATGGAGGGAGTGAGCTCACAATTGAAACCCTGCTGCTTTTTTACACGTATTGTGTCTGCAACACACCATAGAAAAAGTGTAGGGTTTTGATTATGCCATCTTGTTTATTTTTCGACCCCTTTGTGGATGTCATAGCATCTATATATGTATACAGTACACACACACACACACACTCACACACACACACACACACATCCCTATTGCAAAAAAATCCTGTAATTGTGATAGATTGTACAAAAAGGTATCAGAGGTTCAAAATAGGACTGTGTGTTCTACAAAAGGGAGAACTTTACATCTACAACAAATTGCAAATTACTCTGCTCCCATTTATACATATATATATAGTAAGTCTAATAAGTCAGGTTAATTGACTGAAGCTCTTTATTCCCACAGGAGAAACTGAAAGTGTGCCAGTGATTAACCCTGCAACACAGATTGCCCAGGTAAAAAAATGAGCAAAATGCTCTAAAGAATCCCAGATATATAAAGAATTAGCGAGGCTTTTGAAATCTCAAAGTGTAATTCAAACTAAATTTTAAAAATCAATACAAAACAAATTAATTGTAATTATTTGATATGTTAATCATACTAATAAGAAATAATTTTTATATTTAAAACATCCTTTCTCATTCTGTTTTATGTCGCTTACCTAGATTATAACTTCACTTTTTAGAGCATGTGTAGATTATATACGTCCCTGCCTTTTTCCTATAATGCCCTATCTAAGAAGGAGTTCTGATGCATATACGCAAAGCTATCAACTGGATATCTACCAGATCAAGGCAGTCCACAATGGCTCTAAAAGAAAAGAAAGAGAGCACATGTAGGGAGTAGGTTTTTATATCTTCTTGAGCCTTTTGTTAGGAGTTGTTCCTGTGGCATGAACTTTGACCTGAGTCTAAGTGTGCCCTTTGGGATCTGTGGGTCAATCCTATTATGTCTTATCTTAAGAGTTTGGGTGGGGTATGTAGATTTTAGGTGTCTTTGTCTTCCTAAACTTCTAGCTGGGGCCTCCAACCTTCCTGGATTATTTACATCTGCATTTCTACAGAGCTGGTTTCTGCTTGGGGGAGGGAGACTTGGGGCTATTAAGAAAACTGGGCATGCTTTTCTGCCTCTTTAATATTTCCTTCTCGGTGGGATGCTGACTTCCCACAACATGATCAGATTTCTGAAGCAGAGGCAGTAAAAGGAAATAGAATAAGGAGAGTCTAAATCAGTGGTTCTCAACCTTTTTAATGCCGTGACCCCCAACCGGTCGTAAGTCGAGGACTACTCAACCGGTCGTAAGTCGAGGACTACTCAACTGGTGCAGCACTGTTTGCAGAATGGGACTTTTGGCGGGCTCAGCAGGGCAGAGACAGCCTGGACAATTCCTATTGGCTTTTGAAAGCCAATGGAATTAGACTCTATTCAAGAGAGTCTATTCTATTGGCTTTCAAAAGCCAATAGAATAAAAGGGAGTAGCACAGCTAAGGAAAAGGGGGAAAAATGGTGGACTGCATTGTTTGGCGACCCCCGTGAAATGCTTGTTCGACCCCAAATGGGGTCCCGACCCACAGGTTGAGAACCACTGGTCTAAATGCTTATGAAGATACCCAAATTACAGCATTCTGTAGAGAATGTCTATCCACCCTCTTCTTGAACACATTTGACAAATACCTCTGTAAATGCAAATGATGGCCATAAATAATCTTGAATGCCAAGCTTCACATTACAAGTTTGTTGTTGCAGTACTTTGTGCAGGGTGGTTTAAGATACTAGGTTTCTCTGGCACATTTTTCAGGCACTTGTAGTTAAAAAGAAACAGAAGGATGGATGAAGAAATAAGTAGAATAATCAGGGAGATATTTTAATTCTTATGTTTTGGATAAATCACAATAGGCTTGGTCTGGAAAAATGCTGGATGACATATAATACACACGTACCTGTACTTATTATTGGACTTCCCCATTACTGTAACTGCTGTCCTGAAAAGAGTTCAGCAACAATTAGTGAAGTATAGTATATGTTGATTATTCCTTGCACTGGGAAAGGTTCCAAACGCTTTTCAAGAAAGTTGTAAGAAATAAGGGAGATTTTGTTTAGGAGGGTGCATCTTTAACTAAGCTTATGTGGCAGAGAGAAAAGGAGGTTTTTTTTTTTTTTTTAAGGATTTGGAATCCCATTACAGAAAAAAAGCAATTGATTTTAAATAGGAAATAGTTTAAAATTGTTGTTTGTTTTTTTTTTCAAAATTTCAGATTTCCAATGTTTAAATTTTTAAAAATACAGTAAAACCAACAACAATTTTTGGCTTATTCACCTACTTGTCTTTTAAGCTGCTATCGGAGGGCTAATGTCAAAACACTCTAAAGCCAAATTAACCTTCCTCCCAAAAGGAAGGGATGAGGGAAACCTGGTAATTGTACTGTAGTACTATTGAAGTATTAGTGGCTTGTGATGAATTGCAAGCTTCAGTGTACGGGAGAGAGGTTTGCTTTTTGATACAGGGGCACAGTAGATCTCTATTGTTTCATTCTGCTCATGCTTGGTCAATTCTTTTAGCTTCCTGATTGGATGACTGATGACACCTGGGGTGTGTGGCAGTTTCCATGCATTGTTTTCTATATTAACACACAGAGTTCTGGATTCTAGAGAGGATTTTACTATAGGATGGATGTTTACTAATTTTTGAAGAGTGATTTATTTAAGGTGAGGAATTTTGCTGGAACTTGGATTCATCAAATCTGTGTGATGCTGAGATTGCAATAATTAGTAGAAAAAGAATAATATTCTAGAGCAGTGGTTCTCAACCTTTTTAATGCTGCGATCCCCAACCGGTCGTAATTCGAAGACTACTCAACCGGTCGTAAGTTCAAGGACTACTCAACTGGTGCAGCACCGTTTGCAGAATGGGACTTTTGGTGGGCTCAGCAGGACAATTCCTATTGGCTTTTGAAAGTCAATAGAATTAGACTCTATTCAAGAGAGTCTATTCTATTGGCTTTCAAAAGCCAATAGAATAAAAGGGAGTAGCACAGCTAAGGAAAAGGGAAAAAAAAATGGTGGACTGCGTTGTTTGGCGACCCCCGTGAAATGGTCATTCGGCCCCAAATGGGATCCCAGCCCACAGGTTGAGAACCACTGTTCTAGAGAGAATGGAGCACTTCAATGCAATCTCAAGAAAGGCTGCTTTTTCTAGAATAGAAGCAGTTTCTAGTGTGAATTTTAACTGAATAGATAAAACTGATGTTAACCCTTCCATTTAAGAGCATTGTGGGGTGGTAAAAGAGTCAAGATTGAAGCTTCACCATTTATTTATTTGTGTGTGTGTGTTTGATACATGCAACACACCTAAAAAAAGATCTTATGATTTCAACAGCCATATTGACTTTTTCACTTTCTTGTAGATGTTCCAGATTTTCCTGTCCTATCCTTTTCATTTTTTTCACTGTGTTTAATTTTATAAGGAAGGGTCATTGGGGTATAAATCTAACAAATCGATAATCAAATATGTAAAATCAATTTTTGCATTGATTGTAGCCATACTAATTCTTGGTTGGTCAAAATCTAACTGCTAATCTATGTTTTGATATATTAAAACATATAATTCGATATGTATATGTCTATCTGTGCAGATATGTACACATTTCACTTGGGATTTAAATTGTTCAAATGAAAGCATCGGGTGGCTTATGAAAATTAACAAATGTTGCCTATTCAGTCTTTACTGAATTACTCCCAGTATAGCTACCAATAGACTGATAAAAAACTGTGAATAAAGGACATATTGCAATAGATAGTTGTGTCATCCTGTCTGTAATTCAAGGTCATCACTTTGTTTTGAATCTACTAGCCTGGACTGTGCATTACTTGTTACAGAGTGTAGACCTGGTCTGTACAGTTTATTCCCTGTAAATTGAATACAGCTGAAAGTTTTAACTGCAGCCCAGTAAGGACATGATGAAAGCCAGTTTAGCATGGTAGTTAAAGTATCAAGTTAGAAACTGGGAAACCATAAATTCTACTTTCCTTGGGCATGAAACCAGCTGGATGACCTTAGGCCAGTTACTCTTTCTCAGCCCTAGGAAGAAGGCAATGGCAAACTATTTCTGAAAAACCTCACCAAGAATACTGCAGCGTTCAGGCAGTCTCCAAAAATTGGGCATGATTGAATGGAAGAAAAAAATTCACACCATTTTTGTCACATGATTAGCAGTCCACTATGCATGGCTGATGATCTGTTAGGCTGACTGGTTAGTAGGAAACTGACCAGTGTAGTGTAGTGGTTAAGATGTTGGACTAGCAATGGGAAGACCCAAGTTCAAATTTGCCCCTGGCCACAGAAACTCAATTGATGGTTTTGTGCCAGTCATGCACTCTTAGCCTAACCTATTTTGCAGGGTTGCTATGGGGAAAATATTGGAAAAAGCATTACTATGTGTATTGCCTTAGGTTTTTCAAGGAAAGGTGACATAGAAATTTAACAAATAATGTTTTAAAGTAATATCAGATTTAAGCAGAAGAAAACGCTATTTTTCAGGATATTTCCTGGTTCTTGTAGCTATGAAGAAAAAATGGGATATATATTAAAATATAAAAACACAAGACGATTTTTCAAAGATCTCTCTAGGATGTTTTTACAGGGAACACCTGAAGAATATAGATGCTGATCAGGCAAATAGGTTATCTTGCACAGCATTCTGCTTCCTATATCTGTTTATAGTATTGCTGCTTCCTAAAAGCTATGGAATACTTTATAGTTTGAGAGATGGTGATGGTGCATACCATATCCTAGTGTGTTTACAAGCCATACTAGAGTGCAATAAACCCAGCCTCTTGCATTATTATGTATTACTATTTATTAAATTATTATACCATTCATCTCCCATATGACTCTTTTTTTCCGTATTGCTTTCATTTGGTACAGTATGTAATCTATGAGTTGGGAGTTTTTGAGACATGGTGGAAAATCAACTTTTTCATCTGAAGAACAAAGAGTGGAAGGCATATATATGCATTTCTCCTAAAACAGAAGATGGATGGCTATGGGAAGATATCTTTTTCCTGTGATTTGCTAAGAATTGTAACTTTTTTGGTTATGACTGAGGTACCATCACTGAATTGCAGGTGATGGCAATGAAAGTGCAAGGAGTGTGTTTAGAGGTAGATCTGGAAATTTCTCCATTTTGATCGGACTTTGGAAACCTCCCTCTCCAGACTGAAAACTATTTCTAATATACCTAAATGACTGATCAGTATACCAAAGTTAAACACTGAAACACATTCTGCTGGAGGAGAAGATAGAGACAAGATTGGCTAGGGAGGACCCCCTACCCCAACAGGGGGAAAGGAAAAGCCAAGATGTCTTAGCAGGTAATTGACTAGAAAAACAGGTGTAATATTATAGAGATTACTTGCACTTCAGTAAGAGTAGTACCGTTTGTAAGAAATGTCTAGTTCTGTGTGAGACGACAGGCTGTAGATATCGGATTCACTTCCTGATATGTCACACAGAAAGTTGGGTAGAAGATAATGGATAAGATCTTTCTCTTTAGAGATTCTGGAAAATCACACTCAGCCTTTTCCACTCTGCCTGAAAATTTATTTTGATTGCAATATCTATAAACCACAAGTGGCCTGATAGTGTGCTTGCTGGAGTTAATGAAATTTTAAGCCAATACTTGCGGAAGAAGATTGGCAGAAATAATTACAGATTTAATGAAGGGTATCAATCAACAATTCCTGGATGATAGCTCTCCACCCACATTTCTACAACCCCAAAAGCTACTACTGTTATTCATTAAATTGAACATTAAATGTTGTTTTGAGGTAGGAAACAAAAAAAATAAAACATAAAAATCCTAATGGAAGACACAAAATAGGTTTTAGATTATTTTTAAAAGAAAGAGCAAAATAAAAGCCATGCCACCTTAACATTTTTTTATGGCAGCCTTTACCCTCCCCAAATATTATTTCAAGCCCCTAGTCACTAGTCGTATATATCTGGATTAGGGAGGAAATGTCATAATTAAGAGAAGACTGTATGGGGTAAATAATAGAATCCATCTTGTCTACGTTCTGAAGAATTTATGTGGGTTCCGGCTTATCAGTTGCAGGCTCTGGCTTCTGAACTTAAAAGTAGCTTCAGTGAAGCAATGCAAGAACTTTCAAGAATTCAACATGGAGAGTATGCTCTTGAGGAGAAAGTTCAAAGCTGCCGGTGTGCAATGGAGGAAAAAGTGGCCGAGATGAAAAATTCTCTAAATGATTTCAAGGTAGGCATGCAAGTATTCTGGGGCACTAGTTTTGGAAGGCCAAAACTTGCTACATGATATAGCATGACGATGCCAAAAGTTGAAAAACTAAAGTACAAAAGGGCTGCTTACTGACAAGGAGATGGCCTGGTGTGTGTTGAACAGGCTTATTTTTTTTGTCACAGCATTATTAACAATTAGTGTAGCAAACAATAATCTAATTTACCTTTGTGCTTAATTATAACAGTATTCTATGCTACCCCTAGGTCAGGGGCAGGCAACCTTGGCTCTTTTATGACTCGTGGACTTCAACTCCCAGAATTCCTGAGCCAGCATTGCTGGCTCAGGAATTCTGGGAGTTGAAGTCCACGAGTCATAAAAGAGCCAAGGTTGCCTACCCCTGGCCTAGGTAAATTAGCCTCTCTCAGTTTTCTTCAATTTGACACATAACATGATCCATTTGAAAAAAGAAGTGGACAGATTTATTGCAAAGTGGGCTATGTTTTCCTTCTCTTTCTTTCTCCTACGATGCGCAGTTCTGAGTTTTCTTAGTTATCCCTGACTCAGGCAATCTCTTCCCTTTTTGTGTGTGTGTGTGTGTGTGTGTGTGGTTTTAAAAGAGTTTTTATCAACTCAATTATTTACAACAAAGAAAATGTTTCAATATACAACTTAATAATATTTGGGTAATTCAGGTTCCCAATGATTGCATAATACCTGCTGCTGATGAGAGAAACTAATTTTTTCCTGTCTCTTTCATAAAAAAATTCCAAAAATAATAGTGGGGAAGGAGATGGTACATGACTGATGCATCTACTGTTTTTTGTTTTCATCTTCTATAACATAACATGCACAAAAGTGAAAAAGAAAGAGAGGGAGGAAGGAAGGAAGGAAGGAAGGAAGGAAGGAAGGAAGGAAGGAAGGAAGGAAGGAAGGAAGGAAGGAAGGAAGGAAGGAAATTGATCTACTAGTCACAGAGAAAAAAAAGTGGTCTCTGCCCTTTCCAACCCTTCAGTTTCAATGTGAAATTCTGCTACCTTCTATCTCGTGCTGACTTCCTCTTCCTTTCACAAATGGGACAAATGCAAAGCAAAGCAAACTGAATATTGGGACACTCCTACTTTTTAAATCCTGCTAGGATATGTTGGGATAGATGACTTTATCATTTATACCAGAGGTAGCAGGACTGTGCAATCCAGACCATTATTAAAAATCAACAGTACAGCTTTTCAGTACAGTACCAAAATGGAAATTGGGGAAGCATGTTGTATAGATGTTTCTATTGTGGTCAATAGATCTACTACTGAAATGATGTACATTTATAAATACTTCTTTGTGAATTGGTGTAAGTAATTACACATCTGTGTTATTTTTTCCTGTAAGAAAGAGTTTGAATGCAAAGCAGCAAACTTTTTCATGTCACACATCAAAAGTTACTCTTTTTTTTAAAGGAGGAGCTTAATGACGCCAAATCTATGATTGAGGAAATTAGTGCCAAACAAGAAGAGATGCAGCAAAAAATTGAGCAGCTGCAACAAGAGAAACGGAAAGAATCTCGCAAGCTCAAAGTGAAGTACGTGACCAATATTTTTCAAATCCCTTTATAATTTCAGAACAGCTTTGCCTTTACATCTCTTCTTTTCTCTTATCTAATGTATTAGAATCAGACTTTTCAGGAGCTTGGGAGGAGGGGTCGAATATAAGAAAAAGTATAAGTAATGTAATATTTACTTGTTTTTATTCCACTGAAATCCAGTTCCTAAAAAGTCTGATTTCAATATATTATATAAGAGAAATTTTTAATTTAACACATTTATTCAGCTATGGGTGAGAGGGCTGGCAGCATGTTCAAGAGAGTGGCTGAGAGATTATTGTAGCTCCTGGTCCCCTTTTAGATGCTGTGCCGACATGAAGAAAGCAGTGCAATACCAAGTGAGCCATAATCAATGGATTATTTTGCTGATGTATATGGAGCCTTACTATTAATACACTAATATACAAGGAGCCAAAATTGTGTTTATTGATATTGCTACAACTTTTAGAGTACTACTGTGCCATTGATCTGAGCCCCAAAGCAGCCATTGTATCTTCCCAGAGATATCTTTTGGCTGTCTTGCTTTTTAATATTTTTTTTTCCTCAGAAGGATTCAAAAAGAGGAGCACGGTTCCCAAACTGTGCCTACTCCTCTGCAAGGAAGCCCCTTTCGAGCCCTGAAACTTCCAGAGCCAGTTTTAATTAATGAAGATTTTGTCAAGCTTTTGCACAATGCAACATATGAGAAAGGTACTACCGGTAGTTCTTTTGGCTTATATATCCTATTCTGTTATATGTACTAGAGAGTGACTTACAATATACAAAAGGTTCTCTCTCCCTTGTTTCTGTTCTCCTGTTCCTAAGCCTTTGCTTATCTGGAGGAACTGTACACTGGGCATGGAAATCCTGAGACAGCAAAGTATTTTTGTTTAGTATTGGAGCTTTATTATTATTGGATGTTTATTATCGGAAAACGAAGGACCATTTTAATGCTTTACTGTGTGTAATAAAGAAAAATATTTTATATTAAAGTTGCTTCAAAAAGATGCCAATCTGTCTCTTCTCTTCCATATATAAGCAGTGTATATAGCATGAAGTAAGGTATGTTGCAATGTTTGCTTAGGATGCATGTTTCTATATCCATCTGCAAATGACTGTGTTCATGGTGTATAATTCTTTCCAGACACATTTGCTCCATTGTGGGAATTGTTTTCCCTAGCAGTTTTGGCTTATATTTGCTAGAGGACAGGCTGTTGTCAAACTGATAGAGCCGACCCAGAAACATGTCTTAGTATGGTACAATGTGTACTTTCCCACACAAAAAGCATTTAATTCAGACCACAGAGGTTCTCTTGCATGTACTGGGGGGGGGGGCAAACCGTGAAAAACATAGACTTTTCTGATAGAGACTTTTTCTGGGTAAATATAATTAAAAGGCTAGGTAGTTAGCATTGAAGGCTACCAAGGGAAGAGGGAAGAATGAATACTAAGAAATTTACAACTGGGAAATTACTGCTTGGCTTTTGGAGAATGGATATGAAAGAAGAATTACAACAACAACAGAAAATCTAATAGGGAAAAATAAAGAGAGCAAAATTAACAAAAAACTCCTCAAAAGAGGAAGAAAGTAGTTCCTAGTTCTGTGCTGAGAATACCTGTGATGAACCAAGATTCACAAAACGGGGTTGTGTTGTTAAAAGGATAATTTCTAATGTTGAAAATAGCAATAGCACTTAGACTTATATACCGCTCCACAGTGCTTTACAGTCCTCTCTAAGTGGTTTACAGAGTCAGCATATTGCCTCCCACAATCTGGGTCCTCATTTTATCAATCTCGGGAGCACGGAAGGCTGAGTTGACCCTGAGCTGGTGAGAATCGAACTGCCAAACTGCTGGCAATCCACAGTCAGCAGAATTAGCCTGCAATACTGCATTCTAACTGCTGTGCCACCACAGCTCTCTTTACTAACAAGGAATAACCAAGCTTATTCCTTTTTAGTAAAAATGAGAAATTTAAGTACAGTTTAAAGTCCTCTTGTAGGAAATCACTCAACATTGCCAGTTACCATCTATGTATAATAGTGTTATTATTCACAAAACAGAAGTCATTTGGACATTGATGCTTTGAAAAAGTCCTAGATTATTGAATAACAGGAAGTCATGACCTTGTCCTTTAGCTCTTTATTAATTAAGTTTCTAATATCTTCCCAGGCTGATTTATATAATATTAATCTTTTCATTAGACAATATCTGAATTGCCCAGCAAAAAGAGTGACAGTAATGCAGCCATCTATCATTCCTTGAAATGAGGGAACATATAAGTGAGTTTAAGGGTATCAATAGCAGCTTGGATACAACTGCATGCCATACAAGTCTTTTTATGAAGGAGGGGCTATTCTAGGAAGTAGAATTTTCCATTCATTCAGTGTTTCTCAATCTTTGAAACTTTACAATGTAAAGACTTCAACTGCCAGAATTCACCAGTCAGCACTGAAGTTGAGAAACATGGTACTAAATACATATTATGTATTACTGTATTGCAGTAATAATTTTTAGAACACATCACTGTAACAAATTTCATCAAATTAATGTGTTCTGATGAGCTGGACTTCAGCAACTAATTTGACATGATTAGAGATAACATCAGTTTGGTAGATAATTTTCAAGTGCATTTGTCTTATTTTTTTCTCCAAATTTTGTCCACATTTGCATTGTTTTAATTTGCCACATTATTTCCAAACTGGTCTTTTCACACAAGCAATCAGTAAGAACTGAGTCTTCAATTCACAGAAACAAACTGTAGAAACCAAAATTTTGGAAATATTTTTCTCAGTTTAAATCTATGCCTTTGTAAAAACTTTGTTTTATTGATCTGGATATGCATGTAACCTAATCTCCTATTTTTGCCCAGTCTCTGATTGCATACCTAGAACAATAGGAGAAAGCAATATGAGAGGTGAGTGGATATGCATTTTTTAATAATGTTCTCTGATAAATATTTTCAAGAAATCGGTAAAACACCAACACTGTTAATGAATAGTGTTGTATAATTCTGTATGTTTTGCCTATTAAACAAAGGCAGTGAACTACATAAAATGTAGGAATTGGGGGGTTAAAGGTTTTCCTGCTGAGATAGAGAAGCATGTTTTCTTAGCAGCTGTAGAACTATTTCCAAAGACCATAATCTAGATAAGTTCTACCAGTCTGTGGTATACTTTGGCTTATTAATAATTATGTATTTCTTAGTGGGTTTGCATATGAAATTATTTTTCTTTAGGAAGCTTCTAAGACTCTTCCTGATTCTCCAAGTCTGAGTTTCAGTCATTCAGTTTCAAGAGACTTATGATGGATTCTGCTGCCAGATCTGTCATCTAGCTAGTTTGACTTGAAGGCTTCCTTACAAGGAAAAATTACAGTTGTTGAAACTTTGCAGTTTAAAGTGAAAAAAGGACAAGATAAAAGTATATAAAATATAAAACACATCTACAGTAATATGTTTTTTTCCATCTCATAGTATAAAATTTGGGATCATTCATTGAATTTAATGCAGAAATATTCAAGATTAAGAGAGGTATATTATTTCCTTAAACATCACATAGTTAAGTTTGGAACTAATTGCCATCAGATATGGTGATGGTCACCAGTTTAGATATTTTTAAAAGAGAATTGGGTAAATGTACGAGAAAAAGGTTGAAACTATGATAGAGTCTCTCTCTGTGTTGTGAAATTAGTGAGTTTTCATTGTATCTTCTAACTATTAGTATTCGTGGATGTACTCTGCTAGTCCGTCTGTTTTACATAGTGGCTGTTACAGTCTTTACATTGTATTTTGTAGTTGACTCTTTTTCTTCTTCTCAGCCTCCTGGGTCTTTTGGTTTGCTAAAGATGTTTCGGAGGGCTTTAAATGGTTTGTGTGCTATGGTGATACCTTCTGGTTGCAATAATCTGTTGATTGTTTCTGAAAAAATTTTATGTATAGTAGTGTCACCTTTTCATAACTTATATTGGTTGTGCTGTAGAAGGTTGAGTGGTCAGGCATTTTGTGATAAAGTTGTGTTGGTATCCATTTTGGGGATAATATTTTATAGGCAGTCTGTTTCCTTTTTTTGGTGTTCTGGGTTGTTGCAGTGCATTTTGTGTTGCTCTAAATTTAGGTTTCTTGTAATTTGTATGCAGATGTAGCTGTTTATGTAAATATTAGCATTTAGATAATCCTGATAAATTACAGGAGTTGTTCAAAGATAAAATAGGAGAGTCTGTATGAAAACCATAAACTGAAGCTTGACTGTAAGTTACAATTGTTGTACATAAACTCCTTTGAGATTTTTTTTTTAAAAAAACAAGAAATATTACAAAAATGCCACAACTTTCACATGGTCTTCCAAATTTCATAATAAAAGATATAATTGCTTTTGGCATAGGCAACCTGTTCAGCTTTCTCTTTTCCTGGAGAATTTTAGATAGACTGATAGATACGAAATAGGTAAATATTTAAAGTTCTTGCACTCCAAAGGTTGACATAACTTCAAGTGTTTGCACATTGGCTTTTAGACTAGTTTAACAGACCAATGACCATTAAGATTATTTCTACTAACACCATGTCCTAATTTTAGGTGTAACCAGTACAAATCTGGACAGAGAAGAAAATCTCATAGCTTCCTCTTCAAGCGATGCTCCATCAAAGGGACAGGCATCGGCAACAATATGGAAACAGCCCAAAGACAGTAAAGAGAAGAATGATGAATATATTTCAAAGAACTTCAATGATCAGCAGAGGGATTTGGCTCTGAGTAGATATAGCTCACTAGAGAATTTGATGTGGGATTCTTCTGTTGCAGGTGAGAAAAATAGAAATGGCCAGGAGACTGAAGAATTCTCTCTTGTGTCAATTGTGCCTATGATTTACAGTTCAGGTTCAGTTCCAGATACAAAGGTACATACTTCTCTGTATGGAATTGACTCATTTGGCACATTCTTCCCAAACAAATCTATGAAGGGTCTCCCCTGCCGCTGCCAAGAAGCTATAGAGGACAAAGGGCTTTAAGACCATTTTTGTTTCTGTTGTGGCCCCTACATCGTGGAAAAGTCTCCTTTTCAGCGTTCACCTGAATGGAAACTCCTAAAGCTGAGAATTTGGGGGAAGATGAATGTGCCCCATAGTATTACTATATATTATTATATCCTTGTCTTCATTTTAATGTGTTGTTGTTTTATTGTTTTAAATAACTGGAAGTCCATGCAGATTATTGTAGTATACAAGAGATAGGCGCAAGAAGCAAACAAATATGTACTTTTTGTTTGAACTGCAAGTCTGTGTAGGTAGTAGTTTCTTCCCTCCTTGTTAAAAATATAGGTAGTCTTCAACTTATGACCACAAGTGAGCCCAACATTTCTGTTGTTAAGTGAGACATTTGTTAAGTGAGTTTGCCCCATTTTATGACTTTTCCTGCCACAGTTGTTAAGTGAATCACTGCAGTTGTTAAGTTAGTAACAGTTATTTAGATTGTTAAGTGAATCTGACTTCCCCAATGCCTTTCTTGTCTCAGCAGGTTACAAAATGACACTGAGACACTGCAACTGTATGTCAGTTGCCAGGCATCCGAATTTTGATCACATGACCCTGGGGTTGTAAGTGTGAAAAAGGATCCTCAGTCACTTTTTTCAGTGCTGTTGTAACTTTGAACGGTCAATAAATGAACTGTTGTAAGTCAAGGGCTACCTGCAGTGCAGACCTCAGTGTTCTGAAAGAAGTTGCAATGGCAACTAGTTAAGTCTTTGATTTTCCTGTTTGCTACTATTCTCTTATATTGAGAGTTTGTTTAAAATCAAATGGTATGATAATGTTTCTTAATCTAGCAAACCAAAATTATCTTTGTTCTGTCATAGCTAAAAGGCAAAATATTGCTTTGGATTTACTAGAGTCTGAAAGAAAGTATGTTATCAGCCTCTCTCTTGTTCTGAAAGTTAAATCCACATTGCAAGGAACAGAAGTGAAAAGAAATACAAAGGAAAGGTACAGTGTTCCTTGTACTTTCTCATCTTATTGCTAATTTTATTATAGAGATGGGCCCAAATGGCTTTTCAAAGTTCTCCATTACATTTATGAGCGGTAGAATGGGGGTGGATGATTTTTCAATATTTCTTCAGAGAAAGTATAAATTACCAACAGTTTCTTGTGGACAGAATTCTCCTTTTGGCAACAGCAATACCACAATTTAAAAAGAAATTCCATGAAGAATAGATTTCCTCCATGGCTGTATTTAATGCTGCTGTTTCCCCATTTTTCGTTAATGAAAACGCAGAACAGCTCTGGGATCTGGATCCTACTGCATACCTGCCAATGCCGTACATGATCTTTAGTTGTATCACTATGAAATGAGCGTTGCCTCTTCTTATCCTGATACAGTTTTGCCAAAAATGTGATCTGAAGCACTTCATCAAGCATTCCAACTGTAATGCAGCCAGGTGACACCTAAAGGATCAAACCTACAGGGTAGAACCTATTGGCTACTCTAGACCAGTGTTTCCCAAACTTGACAATTTTAAGGCATGAGGACTTCAACTCTCAGAATTCCACAGCCAGCAACGCTGGCTGTGGAATTCTGGGAGTTGAAGTCCACATGCCTTAAAATTGTCAAATTTGGGAAACACTGCTCTAGACTAATGTGGGCATGTCCTCTTCCTTCTCCAGTTTCTAAGCTCTACTTTTTAGGACAGAGTTCTTAAGGTGACCAACTTTTTTACAATGAAAAGGAGGACACAAATAAATTGAAGAAAAAAATATCGTAAATAAAAGAAACATTTTATTCATTGCAACAATAATACAGACAACTTGCATGTGCAAAGTTTGCCAGCCGGGTGTTTTGGTGCACTCAGCAGCAATTCCTATTGGCTTTCGAAAGCCAATAGCAGGAGTAGCACAGCTCATGCAAAAGTTGAAAAAAAAAACCATCAAAAAAAGGTGCCAGAACACCATTCTGTGCGTTCTATGAGGGGAAAAAAAAGCCCTGCAGATTAGTCTTCAAATATCGAAAAGAAGGATATGAAGGAAAACACTTTTTGAGGGAGGACAGAACTTACAAAAGGAGGACTATCCTCCCTAAAGGAGGACGGTTGGTCACCTTAGAGTTCTCCAACTTTTCCAGATTGGTGGCCTGGCATGGGGGAGACAGGGGGGATGATTTTGAGCAAGGGGCAGGCTCGTGTGAGGGGCTGCTGGTGCCCATCGTTCGTGCGAATGGAGCTACTAGCGCCTGTCACTCATGCAAATGGGGCTGTGTGTACATGCATGCATGCATGCTGGCCTGCCATTCAAACGGCTCGGTTGAGAATAGGCCACGGCCCAGAATTGGGCTGTGGCTGACAGGCTGGGGACCCCTGCTCTAGGGCTATTCTGTTTTGGACAGCCTGATAATTCTGCTCCTTCAAACCAGGTTATGCTCCTGTTTCCACTAAATCTCTTGAGTTGATACTTACTGGGCTGTGAAAGAGGGATCAGCCTAAATAGCAACTGACTGATGGTGGTGATGGTAGCTGGGGTGGAGAAATGCTTTCAAAATAGTACTAAATCTGTGTTTCAAAGGACCTGATGAGGTGGGGAAATTGCACTGTGAAATGGCAGGGAGATTCCTGTCATTGGCCAGCTGTTAACCTGGGCTCAAAAGCAGCACAGTTATCAGCTACAAAGAGCACCAAGCCCTTGTCAGAAGAAGGCGGAATAACAGGAAACAAAGATGAGGGTATCCATCCAGTTATGGTTGGTCGAGGCTATAAAATGCTGTATAGTAAATCACTACTGAGGAAATCACTACTGAGAAAGATTAACAACGGATTAGTCTGTTTTTAATATTTTATATTCATAATTGTTTTTATATCTTTATGGTTTGTTACTTTGTAAGCCTCTCAAAGCTGCCTCAAAGCATGAGATGGGCAGCATATAAATTTAATAAATAAATAATAAATAAATAAACGTGCTCACTTAGTACAATTGCTCCAGATTAAATAGGAAATTCCTTCAACTGCTTTAGATTAAAAAAAAAATAGCAAAAAATTACCATGGAATTTCAGGTTCATGCCTGCTTCATCCTGGAGTTAAAAATCTGCATTGCAAATTGTTCCTGGAATATTTTGTGCAGGAGTCTTCAGTTTACGACCAAAATTGAGCCCAACATTTCTACTGATAAATGAGACATTTGATAAGTGGATTTTGCTCCATTTTACGACTTTTCTTGCCACAGATTATTAAATGAATCACTGCAGTTAAGTGAATCTGGCTTCCCCATTGACTTTGCTTGTCAGACGGTCGCCAAAGGTGATCACATGACCCAGGGACACTGCAACCATCGTAAATATGAGTCAGTTGCCAATCTGAATTTTGATCCTGCGACCATGAGGATACTCAATGGTTATATGTGTGAAAAATGGTCATAAGTCACTTTTTTCAGAGCCATTGTAACTTTGAACAGTCACTAAATGAACTGTTGTAAGTCAGGGACTATCTGTACTGCTGCCTTAGTTCATATACCTTTTGAAGCTTTCCTACTGAATATTATTTTAGCTATGTTATTCTGTTAGTATATCTGTGAAAAAAAACTATTTTTCCTGTTTTCTGTTTGCAGTTTCTTCCCCAATTCTTTGCGGTACTTGGTCCAGCAACATGCAGAGTTACTTCATGCCTTGCAGGAAAGAGTGTTGAGCTGGCCTCAGCAAGGAATCCTAGGAGACATATTTCTCAGATTGACCAATGATGAGGTATGTTTTGAAGGAAAGTAAATAATACCTGTTCAAGCAATTATTCTACTATGAATGGCTCAAATCGATGTCCATATGTGTAGGCATAGGCATATAGACACCTTTTTGGAATCTCTTATTGAAATACACTTGAGTATGTCTCAATAACATATATTTTATATTTCCTAAGAGATTTAATTAATTTGCATTTTTAAACTTGCTTGTATAGTGTTACAGTACATATGCAGTTCATACTTGTAGCAGAAAAGCATACAGGTTGCCCTTGACTTACAACCATTCGTTTATTGACTGAAGTTACAACAGCATTGAAAAAAGTGACATGACCATTTTTCATGCTTACATCCGTTGCAGCATCCCCCATGGTCACGTGATCATAATTTGGATGCTTGGCAACTGACATGTATTAATCATGGCTGCCAGATCCTGAGGTCATGCCATCATCACCTTCTGTGACCTTCTGACAGTCAAGTCAATGGGGAAGATTCACTTAACAGGTGCAGTGATTCAGTTAAGAACTATGGCAAAAGAGGTGGTAAAATCGGGCAAAACTCACTAACCTCTATCTTGCTTAGGAATGGAAATTTGGGACCCAATTACGATTGTAAGTCAAGCCAAGTCAAATACTAGCTGTATTTCATTTTAGATATGTCTTAAAAGTGGATACTTTTAATTCAGATGTATGTGGATATTTTTTTTAAATCTAGTTGATTTTAATAGTCTTTGTACAGGGCAGAAATCACTTTGGGGGTTTTCTATATTTAGATAACAGAACAGTATCATATGAATCTTTGGCATGTGCACATAATGCCCCTTGTTCCACCTTCTTTCTCTGATTAACTTTTAGTCTGAGAGAGCTCATCTCTGGGCCAATTTACCATTAGAGTGAGATAGCCACCACAGGCAGCTGGTTTGGGGTGTCGTAACTCCCAAGCACTGTGTGTGTGTGTGTGTGTGTGTGTGTGTGTAACAGAGAGAGAGACAGAGAGAGATGGAGAGAGAGAGAGAGAGAGAGAGAGAGAGAGAGAGAGAGAGACAGAGAGACAGAGACTTCGAATCAAATGTTGACTCCTGGCAACTGCCTGGACTCATTCCTGCAGTTTTTTTGGCAAGATTTTTCAGAAATGATTTGCCATTGCCTCTCTCCTAAGGCCAAGAGAAAATGACTGGCCCAAGGTCACCCAATTGGTTTTGTGTCTAGGATAGGACTAGAACTCCTGGTGTCCCAGTTTTTAGCTATATGCCCTAACCACAGCACCAAATTGGCTCTCACTTAATATATCCCTGTTATATATGTTTACCTCCAGGAAAAGGGAAAGTTACACTGTATGTGTCATTATCTGGCTCTCTTGCCAAAGAACCTTACCCAATTTGGCTAGTTTTGAATACTAGCCCCCTGATGTGTGGTGGAATATCACATGTGGCATTGCTTCCTGTACCTAAAATCCAAAGAAACAGAATCCTAGTCCTTGACCTGTATTAGTAGGTTTAAGGATAATCAGGAATTTGGTATCAGACACATGCCTAAGAATTCTGAGGAAACTTTTTAATTTCTCTTCTCAGAACAATTTTTTGGACTATTATATTGCTTACTTGAGGGACTTGCCAGAATATATCTCTTTGATCCATGTGGTGATTTTGAAAAAGGTGAGTTTTGATTTGTTAAATATTTTGTTTCCTGCAATTTTATCATTTGAAGAGAAAACGGTGTAATTGTTTCTGATCCAGACCCCTTTCTGCATGAATGATGTGGAAATTTTGCATCAATTTCAGAGAAAGAGTAATCCTAGAGGCACATAGGAACATATGGGCATGTTTCTGCCATTGAAAGAGATCCTAGCAAGAGGATGAACAACTTATGTCCATCAGAGTTTTATTGGTTTGGGAAAAATAGCTTAAATTGTTAATGATCTCATTCCTGTGTCAATGTTAAGAAAGTGGGCTGTAGATGGATCGCTATCATCACAAGGGTTATAACAGTGATGGCGAACCTTTTAGAGACCGAGTGCCCAAACTGCAAACCAAAACCTACTTATTTATCACCGGGTGCCATGTGGGTGTGACCCACTGGGTGGGCATGGCTCTGGTGGTCATGGCAGACTGGGTGGGTGTGGCCAAGGTGGGCATGGTCACCTTGATATTGCTCGTGGGGAGGGACACCTGTGGGGGTCAGGCAGGATTGGGGGAGATCCAGGGGGTCTCTGGCAGATGGGGCGGTGGACAGGAGGCTTGTCTTGCGGGGTGAAGAAAGGCAGGGCGGGGATGCCATTGTCTCAGGGCAAGGTGAGGCAGGGGCCAGGGCGGCTGCTGCCTGACACCATTGGCCCCCGCACTCAGAGGCCAGTGAGTGCATGGGGGCCGATAATGTCCATCAGCAGCCTCAGCCTGCCAGCCCCTCGACCAACGCATTCTGGGGCTCCACAGCTCATCGCCAGCAGTTCAGAAAAGACGCCTCTGAACTGGCCGCCTGCCGACAACTGAGAAGGCAATGCAGTGGCTCATGCCTGGGCAAAGGACAGCATACGAGGCCAGGAGGGATGGGATGGGGAAGAGGGAAACCAGCCTGCTGGGATGCATTCAGCCACATGGGACCTCGGAAGTTTGCGGGCGGCTGATTGAAGAGGGACGGTTGCCATCTCCGGGCATGGCACGTGTGCCCACAGAGAGGGCTCTGAGTGCCGCTTCTGGCATGTGTGCCATAGGTTCGCCACCACTGGGTTATAACCTTTACATTATTTTTGTTTGGTTATAAAATACAATATTCATATCATATTTTTTGATTTTTTATTTCCACATTTGCAGTTATGGATTACAGGTTCACAGACATTCAGAATAATCAGCCATATCTGAATGAAAATATGGAATCACATATGTAATGTCCAGTCTCTAATAAAATCCTTACAGTTTCATTTTTGATTAATTTACAATTTATGAACTGTCTTTAAAGACTGATCCACATAGGAGTACTTTGTGGTACACCAATCTCCTGCTTTAACAGTTTTTTTAAGCATAGAAATTTAGAAATAATTAAACAGTGATTAATCTACTAATTGTTACAGACATTAGTCCACATAATTTCATGCAATAATTTAACAAATGTTTTGGAAAAATATGCACCTATTTCTGCAATTAACAGTACTCGTCTCTAATTTATAAATTAAATTTGTTTTATCTTCCCTCATCAACAGATTGAGGAAGAAATCAAGTCTGATCTCTACATATTTTTCTTCCATATTGTCCAACGCATTCCAGAATATCTTCTTCATTTGCAAGTAAGTTCTAATAACTTTCTCTGACCTTTCTTTAATTAAAACGTGAGAAAGCTTTAGCCCTTCCAGATGCAGTTATATTATAGCTCCCATCATGGCCAGTGGATAGAAATAATGGGACAGTTGTCCCATCATTTGAAGAGTCAGATAGATAATGTGGGTTTTAGGAATACAGGAGGCTACAGTATGTTGTATTGTTTTGCTACAGTGTTTTGGAAGAGGGTCTATTTCATCATATAGCTCTCCATACAGCTTTGGCCCTTTCAGAAGACTGTAAAATGCTGCCTCATATTGAATCAGAACAGGGATCCATCTAGCTTGGAACTGTTTGTAGGCTGCTACCCAAACCCCATTGTCGTTCCTAGCATCATAAGGCTTCAGATTATAGCACCAAACTTCAGTAGCAAAACTGCTGCTTTTTTATGGGCTTTTTGTAAAAACAAAATAGCAAATTGTATATATATTTTGCTCCCTTGGCCATAGCATGAGAAAAACAATAGGACAAATACTCTCTATTTGGCCTACGACTCTATCACTGGACAATCAGTGTCCATTTCTCCTATGGCTTCCAGACGTTGAAAGAATAGAAATTGTGACTTCCAGCCAGCTCCGATGTACAGTATAGCAACTGGCATTTCCTGCCCAAGATTTCATTCAGGACACTTTCTCAGGCTATGAAGAGACCCTATAAATGCTCAAAACTGAAAACCTTTCAATTCAAAGCAAGTGCTGTACCGGTTGTTACAGCCCATACTCAGGAGGAAAAAAGGGGGCTTTGACCTGGTTTTCAATATTAGGTGAATGTCATAATATATATCAAATAAACTGAGAAGATGTTGAGGTTTAATTCTGATTTTCTCCTTTTATACTAGAACATCCTGAAATATACTGAGCAAGAGCATCCAGATTATTACCTCCTTCTTGTCTGTGTTCAGCGCCTACAAGTATTTATTTCTCATTACAGTCTTCTCTTCCAGTGCAATGAAGATCTGCTAATACAGAAAAGAAAGAAACTGAGAAAGTGAGTCCAATACCGAAGTGTAGCCTTTTTGCGCATTTTTATGAAACTTTCTTTCCAAGAGCAAAATATATTTATATAACATCTCTCTTCCCCTTTGAGCTTCTCAACTAGTCGGAGAGATAAGTTGACTGAATGACTGGACCAGGATCATCCTGAGAATTTCAGGGTGAATTTTAACCTGATCTTCCCAGCTCCTAGTTGATTGCTATACCATAGAATGTGAAAACAACAGTACGATGCTTTGTTGGCTGCGCCCAATAGAGTACACGAAGTAGTAGGGGAAACATTAGCACTCCTGTGGGTAATCACAGTTCCCTTTAAAAAGACATAAAAATATTTCATAATCTAACTATGTAAAGACATGTGAATAGATTGGCCATTGCAGTCTTTGTTGTTCCCAATTTTTCCCCATGCTCTTGACCCAATACATCAGGAGTAGAGGCCTAGGATAATGGGACTAATGAAGACACAGCTGTTCTTAGTCATCTCTTCTGTAGTATCAGACATGTGGAGCAGTTCCACTTTTAGCATCATTACTGTGCCTCCTGGTGCTATTTTATTTGTCTGTCTAGAGGGAATGGTAGAGGCTGTTCAAATATAGTAAGTCATCATTTCCCAGACTTACCTCAGAGAGATGTTAGCTCCAACTGAGTTCTGTGAGGTTGTGCCGGTTGGCATTGCCTTTCCGTGGAGGATTTTTTCCTGTTTCTTTCTGCTCCTGCTTTGAAAGTTGTCCTACTTAAGAATGGAGCACCACCATGAACTGTTGAGTTGGAGTTGCATGCAAGGGTTAACCCTAACCCTTAAACGGTGTTTTCATTTCTGTCATCCTATAGTCCCAGGCACCAACAGTCTTTGGGGTGGGGGATCTGCTTTTCAAGGTCAGGTCTGCAGATTATACATTCTGGTGATAGAGAGGTAGATTTTTTAGGAGCCATAGTGGCACAGTGGTTAGAATGCAATATTGCCGGTTAACAACTGCTCACAGACAGGAGTTCGACCCTGACCAACTCAAGGCTGACTCAGTTTTCCATCCTTCCGAGGTTGGTAAAATGAGGATCCAGTTTGTTGGGGCAATATGTTGACCTCAGACAGTGCTGCAAAACAATGTGGAGCAGTATAGAAGTCTAAGTGCTATTGCTATTTCTCTATAATGGCACCTGATTTGTGGAATTACTTCCTCTTCAATGCCAGTGTGATCTTTTAAGTTTCTTTGTTACATTGGCTTTCCCCAGCCATTGTTTTTTTCCTTTTAATTGCTTTATTCCTTTGGAATCTTTGCAAAAAAGAGTAATAATGTAAAATATTTGGAATTATTTATAGTATGTACAAAAATATATGAAGGAATAATAGAAATTTGATACTGTTCTATTCTAAGAAAAGCTTGATACATGTTCTGCATGGGTAATGCAAATTTAAAAGTGCCACTATTATTCCATACTATTGGAATTATTTTTGCATCCAAAATGTAAATGAAAAATCAGGTGGATCAGCTCACTACTTTGCAAGAACTGAATCCTCTTTTAGCTTTTTTTTTCATATAATGTTAAATTTGGAGATTAATCGTATTGTCTCAGTTATACTTTAATGGCATTTCTTGAAAAAGCAGCACCAGACTCTGGTTGATGAAACTTGATATTCTACTACTAAAACATTAATCCTATAAGCCTGTTTCCTCTTTATGATATATGCAGCATATTTTCCTTATTTGTTTGGCCTACTGCTGTTTGGGAATTTTATACATAAGGGCTAAAAACCTATTTCTGTTAATGAAAGTGAAAGTTCTCAAAAATTGCTTGTGATCTAGATATTTATCATACCTCTAATCCTTATATGGGACTTTAGTATCAGTAATAATGGTATTCAAGCACTGTAGACATAAAATTATCTGTTGCTGAAATTAATACAAAGCTAATTCTCTGCTGACTAGAAAAAATGGCATGGCTGCATTCTTGTTGAACTCACAATATTACATTTCTGTTTTACTAGATCTTCCTTCATAAAGTTATATAAAGGTCTAGCCTCTCAGTGTCCCAGCAGTGGACCAGCAGCCTCTCCAACTCCAAGTGCAACTTCCTTTCACAATAGTGGAATCCATTCTGAAGAGACAGTGCATCTGTTTCCATCAGCCTCTGTTTCTGGAATAACTGCTATGTGAGTACAAAGATAGCATCAGAAGATACTAATTCAGGAATGTACATTACAGCATCATCTTCAGCTTCTTTATTCTTATTCTTGTCTGTTCTTATATTTTGCAAACTTTTTTCAGTGCAATATGTTTCGCAAATACCGTATATTCCGGCGTATAAGGCGACCCGGGGTATAAGACGACTCCTGTCTTCAGCACCAAGTCGCATGCCTAGAAAGTCATCTTATACGCCGGAAACTACCGTTATTTCCAGCGTATAAGACGACTCGGCGTATAAGACGACCCCCAACTTCGGCGCCAATTTTAAAGCTTGCAAAAGTTATCTTATACGCCAGAAAGTACGGTATTTCAGATTTTGTTCACATACTTAGCTCACCTAAGATAGTAAAAGGAAATGTACAGTATTCTCCAAATCCTTGTGAATTATTCATATCAGAAAATACACATTAGCAATTTGCTTGGGGGGAAGCACTTAATTTACTTGAATGGCAAGGGGCTCCCACAAAATTAGTAACCCAATCATTCAATGTGGAGCTACTTTCACCTCTGTTGGGGTAGAGGGGGAACACTGTGTTTGCTTAAGCTTGTTTACCTTTATTCTCTTACCACTCTTTTAAGGCACTTGATGTCACACATAAAAAAGGGACAACAAGAAATGGCAAACATTCCAGGGAAACCATGTGAGTGGGAAGCTGATGGAAGAAAGCATGGCAGACCAGAGAGTGCTTTAACTTCATCTCAGTTCAATGAGGAGGACTTGAAGGCTCTAGCGGCTTCTCTGCAGCCTCTTCCAGACATGGAGTTCAATGCTGCTTCATCAGATATGAAAGAAAACATGGAGAAGCCCCACAAAGCTTCTGCGGAGCTTCTGCAAGACAGCAGAAGCTTTACTCCTGATTTTGAAGATTTTGAATACCGAGGGAATACATATTCCATTCCTGGACTCTATGAGAAAGAGCCTCTGGCTATCCTTCAGACTTGTTCACCAGCCTCTTCTGAATCTAGCATTGACATCTGCTTCTTGCGACCTGTGAACTACACAAAGGAACCAGAGAAGGCTCACCGCACTTTGCAACCACTTCCCAAGAGCAGTGATCTGGAGCACATCAGTAGCAGCACCTCCAAGCGTGAGGTTTTTCGGAGCAAGGGCAAACAACTGAGTCAGTCCTTGAAGGAGTTTCCCCGGAGTGGGTCTGAAGGCATCAGCACAAGACTATATAGCACAAGGAGCAGCAGTGGGAGTCGGCTGTCAAACTTGCAGGAGAGAGGCTTCCAGCCCCAAGAGGCCTCTGCCACCTCCAGGAGCTCCCAGTGGAACTACTTTCCTCCACAGCGAGGAGTGGGTGAAAAGCAAAGCTTTGTAGAAGTAAGGAGAGTAAAAGGCCAGGGCAAACCCACTTCCCAGCAGGGTCTGAGAAACACGTAAGCGGGCTACTGACTCAAAGGCAAAGACGGGAGGGTCAGGGCTGCATCCCACAGGGATATCATTCAGTTAGTCCTTTTTGGCTAGTAGTGCATGTACTGCATTTGAAGCTTTAGTTGAAAGTAGTCTCCAGAGTATCTTCCTGCCTCTGTCTAGACCAGGGGTGTTCAACCATAGCAACTTTAAGACTTAAGAACTTCAACCCCCCGAACAACCCATTTCCCTCCCATGCTGGTTGGGGAATTCTGGGAGTTGAAGCCCACAAGTCTTAAAGTTGCCAAGGTTGACACCCAATGTCTGCAAGATTATGCTCCACTTTTTTTTCTAATTTTATTTTAAAATGATGCCAAATCAAAGAATGTTTCCAGTTCCTTGAATGGGACAGACAGTAATGGAGAGAGTATTTCAAATAACTCCCTTATACATGATAAACTATGGTTCAGTTACTTAATCTAATAGTTTGTATCTTCGTGACAAAGTCAACCATGATTGAATGCGCATAATGTAGGATGAGAAAATATCATTAGACAATTTATATCTGTATGTGTCTTGAATACAGACTGGGACACCATGGCAACCCAGAATTAGCATTAATAAGAATTAAGAAAGAATTCATGAGAGGGCTGCAACTTAGTTGTACTGTTCAAGTTTAGGTAGGCTCTTCTAAGGATTTGCTGCTTTAAGATTGATCTTACAATCTTGGTCTGCTACATCAGCCATGCATTGACAAAATCATCTTAGCTTAGATACTCCTTGCTGCTGAGCCAGGTATTTACTATTGTATTAAGGTGAGCCTTTCTAAACCATATGATTAGATTATAAAGATGAATAGTTAATATTAGTAGTAACTATTAACTACCCAGGAGCTATTATTATTAAGCAATAATAATAATTCCTGGGTACTGCAGGCCTTTGGAGAATATTCATGCAGATAGACACACCTGATTCTTGCCTGCCTTCCTGCTAGAAATGCAGGATGCGATCTTGTAGGGAGAGGATAATCTTTCCTGCTCTCGATGAAACAAGCGTTTGAGAAGCAATTCCTGGTCTTTAAGATGGGTTTGGTTCCTATGACTTCTTTTAGGGACATTGAGAACTGCAGTTACACTAGCCCATAACAGGAACAGAACATTCTTCAATCCATCTTACCTACATGCTCAGAAGCCCCCTAATATTGGTTTCTTGTGATATGTAGCAGTCTTCATTGTGTCAAGGGGGCTCCAGGGAACTGTGATTTGCCAGGATTTGTAAAGTAAAAGGTTTCCTACTCCTACTGCATAAGTTTCAAAACAAACATTAAAGGTTTCCTACAGAGGTTGATTTGCTCAGCCACTTTTGTTCCACTGAATGAGACAATCATTTTTTCCCTTTTCAGGATATGTATTTAGAAGATACCCGATTCTCTTGCAGAGATGACAATGAACAAACATCTTTCAGCAGTCATCCACCACGGCAAGAACAAAAAAGAAGCTTTCGCAGTTCCTTCCGCAAACTTTTCAAAAAGAAATGAGTCATTGAAAGAAAAATAAATTTGCTAACATTTATTTACTCCCGTTATGCAGAAGGGCTACCTAGCAATGGGGAAAGCATTGTGTTAATGTCCATTGTAGTTTATTGGTTCTGAGTTGTTAATGTAAAACCTTAGAGAAGTGTGGGTTGTCATTACTTTTGCCAACTAAACTTCAGGCAGGATTTTTCAGGGCTGGTAATACCTTGCATGCCATACAAGAGCTACAGTGTGTAACAATGCATGTTATACAAATTTGGTTCTATATCATCTTTAAATCAAGTATTCAAGATGGTTATTCAGTGCTCCTGTATGAACTGGTTCAATAGGAAAATGTCTTGTGTCTCCAAATATTCATCAACTCCTCTTTGGATATCTGCATTATCTATTTTCAATAGTGTAGAAAAATGTAGCACAATTCTTGATTGATCTATCTCTAAAAGAGCAGTTCACCTCTTAAGAGTAGCTTTAGGTACAATTTAATCATCTTACATCAAGAATATTGTAAAATAGGAATGTTTATAATTTATTTAAGTGATCTGGAAATAAAAAATATCTAGATCACAAGGTTCTAAACCAAATGATTAGGGTTTTTTTTCCATAAACAGGAAAATGGTGCTAGGCTCATATATACATTTTAAATTGGTATAATTTATATTTTACTTCAAAGTATGTTTTATTGCTTGCATTTTGCTTCAAATGAAATTGAAGCAAAAGACATGGCTAAAAGACATGGCTCATTTGCTCAGCAATTCCACTGAGTATTGTTTGTGTGATTAAGTTATAAAAGACTAATAATGAGACAAAAATCCAAACCACCCAATCGTAACTGAATACTTATACAATGGGTAGTGAAAGCTGGAGAAGTTAAAAAAAGTGGGAAATACGAAAAAAAGTCCAATATCTTTCTGGAACTAATAACCAATATTATATTGACCAGAAACATTTAATCAGGAAGAGGTAATCTGCTGCTCATCTAGAACAGGGCTTTTCAACCTTTTCACCCATTGTACCACTTTTAGGATATCCGAGTACCACCAGCCGCCTAGCAAGGTGTCAAAAACATGATGACCCCCCCCCCCAAAAAAGAAAAAAAAAGGAAAAAGTGAGTAGTACAGATAGTTCTCAACTTACAACAGTTTGCTTAGTGACTATTCAACGTTACAATGGCACTAAAAAAAGTGCCCCCCAAGCCACAGCCTGCCCACCCGCTGTGCTCTTCCTCCTGTCGGAGGTTTTCATTGTTGTGAGCATTTCTGTTGAGGATTGGCAGTGGGGGTGGGGTAGGGGGGTGCTTGGTTTTTATTCCCCATCTGCTGGGTGGTTGCAACAGGTTTTGGTCACTTCACATGACCCTGGGACACTGTGACCGTCATAAATATGAATCAGTTGCCAAGCATCTGAATGTAAATCACAAGACCCTGGAGAGGCTGCAACATTCCAGCTGATTGGTGCTTCTTGGCTCAGCAGAAGCGTCAGGATCAGTGCCAAGCTACAGCTGGAGCCTGGCGCTGATCCTGGCGCTTCCACTGAGCCCTGGCAGCCCTGCATCTCCAGCCATCTCTCACTCAGGCTTGTGCAGTGCTGCCACCAGTTCAGCTCATTCCCCTCCCCCGCTACTTTTCTAGGATGATCGCGTACCACCTGCCAGGTGCCAATGTACCATAGGTGGTACCCGTACCACTGGTTGAAAAGCCCTGATCTAGAAAACTGGGGTAATAAACAATCAGAATTACCTTTTCAGGATATAATATTGAAACTCCAAGTCATAGATGGGATAAATTCTCTACAGGGATTAAAATATTTTATTTACTTATTGAATTTATGTGCTGCCTAGAGACAACATATTTAATATTTAAATACCAGGATTATGATAGTAAATGCAAAGCAAACAAAAGCACAACAGTTTATTTGAATTATTTAACTGCATTTTCACATTGAGTAGTGGCCTTTGGTGCTGCAGACTTAAGATGTTTGGTTTTCATATAACTAAAATGTAGCACATTTTCCTATAGCGCAATTTAGTTTCAGTGCTTGAATTGGATTTGACATCAACAAAAGCTAAACACTCAAACTCTCTTCAAATTAAGACCAAATAGGAAAGAATGAATGGAAGAATTGGACTATGCATTAGGTCTGGGGCAATAGGCTGTATTCAACTGCAGAATTCACATCTAACAGATTCTGAATTATGTAGATCAGAGTTCCTCAACCTTTCAAGCTTTGCGAACTGGCATGGAGGAGAGGGGATGATTCTGTATGAGTGGTGGGCAAGCTCACTTGATCCCAACTACATTTTTGGGAGTGGCGGGCATGCAGGCCTGCTGCTTACACAAATGGAGTGCACATGCAGGTGCTTGCCCCCGCTCACACAAGTTGGGATGCACGTGCACATGCACTCATCTGCCCCTTCCGCGGCCCGGTTTTGAAAGGCTTAAGGCCCAGTAGTGGGCTGCAGCCCAGGGGTTGGGGACCCCTGATATAGATCACCTATATAACGCATGTATCCTCACATGATGCTAAAATACAGTGATTATTTGCTTTTGGCTTAGCCAATTGTGACATGTGAATGTACTAATAAGTTGTAACATTCTAAACCCATTCTAATATTATACTCTTTATTAAACAACACTATAAGTTGAATAAAAAAATACAGGTAGTCCTTGCTTTACAATAGTTCATTTAGTGACCATTCAAAGTTACAACAGCATTGAAAAAGTGACTTATGACCATTTTTCACATGACCTTTGCAGCATCTCTGTGGTCATGTGATCAAAATTCAGACATTTGGCAACTGACTCATATTTACAATGGTTGCAGTGTCCTGGGGCCATGTGATCACCTTTTGTGACCTTCTGATAAGCAAAGTCAATGGGGAAGCCAACTGTGTTACTAACTTAAAACTGCAGTGATTCACTTAACAACTGTGACAGGAAAGGTCATAAAATGGGGTTAACAAAAATCTCACATAGCAACAGAAATCTTGGGCTCAATTGTGGTCATAAGTAGAGGACTACCTTTATGGTAGCTCAACAAATCTAAATTATCATATATAGAGAAATATAGCACTTATGGGATATGTAAGGCCTTTTTATTTCTGAACAGATCTCTTGGGTGCCCAAAAATAACAGCCAATATTAATTTTTAGTTTAAATGCAATCTGAATACCATTGCAGACATAGCATACAAAGCACCTATAGACATGAAAAGGTACACACAGACTCATAAAATTTACCAGTTTAGATATTACATTTCAACTTTACAGAGCTGAATTGGACTGCCATTGTCTTTTAACAATGCATCCACAACATTAAAAAGGCAGTATGTTTTCAAGCATGTAAGTTATCAGAATTAATAAAAAATAAACCTGTATAGAAAACAAGAACTGGCCAAATTAAAAATGTAACCTGAAAAATAAGATCCTATCCAATGAGAGAATCTACTTTTAGAAAGAATTTTTTTTAAAAAGGCACATTTGGCAGCTACTAAAAGTTGCATACATCTGGCACAAGATTCATTTTCCTTTTCAGCTGTCTAGAAGATAGAATTTACAAAGATCGTCCAATTTTACAGCACCTAATTCCTTAACTAATTTTGTATTCAAAGACAAAGGGAATGCACTTTGACTTTAAAGCCTTACCACTTATTTTAAAAACCCTATGTTTTTAATTTTGAATTATAATCAATAATGACCCTACAATTTGCTTTATTTAAAAAAATATGGGAGTGATTGAATGGAATTGAAAAGCAATTTATAACAATTGTGCGAAAGTTAATTCTTCTGACATACCAGGATCTGAATTAGATTTTACAGAGTTTTGAGAGAAGATCCCAGGAGTCAGTTAATTGAGCTTTCTCCTTTATTAAAAATAAAATTTCAGAAAGTCTTCCCTAATTAAAATTTTAGAACAAGGATTTCATGCATGTATTTCTGTCCGCATTAGTGTGGTGTGCTTAATTTATGAGGGAACATTGATAGGTTACTTCCCCAAGCCATACTAAATGTAACAGGAATAGCCAATTCACTTGCTGCCCCCCCCCCCAGCAGAATTCCCAGTACCAATTCTATCTTCTACTGATGGTGTTTTCAAGGGTCTAGCGGGGAAAGTAGGCTACAGAATCCATGTGTGTGCATGCACTGGATACTGGATAATGTATAGCAGAACAGAAGCTGCCAAATTATAAAAATGAAGTTTTCAATCAAAAATCCAATTCCAGGAAAAGCAGCCTGACCTAAGATGGCAAAAGTATACAAAAGCAAACAATACCATGCATAAAAATAACACATTTATAGCATGCTCAAGGAAACATGGCAATAAATTGCTTAGATTTGCACTGATCATAGTAATGGCACATAAATCCCAGATTTCCCTTTTGACAACAAAGTTGGTGATCAGAAAAATACATCTTAACTTGATATAGATAACAAGTGTTTGCTTATGTTCATTTTCCTAAGCCTTTAACAATTTCATGGAAAAGATTTTTTTCTCTCTTTCTCTCTCTCTCACACACACACACACACACACACACAACCTTTAAAAAAGCTCTTCTACACTATTAAACCCTAATCTCTGCAATTCTATATATATATTGACAAGGGACAATAAGAGGAAATAAGGCAATTTTTTTCCATGTTGCAAATGGAGCACATGTTACTATTAACAGTGATAGTACTAAGCAATAAATTGGGTTTGAGGGAATCTGTTTGGATTAAGATTTGCATTTTAAAAGTGTTGATTACCTTTGTACAGAAATATAAATATTTACCGTTACTGTGGTAAAGAATCTAAAACCTTCACAATATGAATAGCATCTCTTGTTAAATCAATCCATTTAATATTAGCCGACTGAGTAATCTTAAAGACAGCCATAATAAAATTTTGCTGGGAGAGTGTCTTTTCATTTAAGACAAAGTTAGATTTGCTTACGAAATTACTATTTACAAATTTTAAATTAGCAATATGTACTCTAGTCTCTTCCTGAATGTCAGACTGCTTGATCAGGGAAATCGTGTTTCATTGTGGCAGACAGAAGCAGGAAAACTTGCATCTATCCTCTGCTTTGCTCAAGTTGCAGTGAATAAATATCATACGATATTTAAGGTTCTTAGGAATGGCACTGTTGCAATTATACAAATGAATGAAAAATAGGTTTAACTGGGGCCCAATTTATGATTTTTTTCATTATGAATCTGAATTATTTCTGAAACATCTTCAACTGAATCCCCACTCAACCCTTCTTATAGTCTTAATATTACACATTTTTCCCAGAATGCTTTTTTGATTCTCATATCATGAGCGTAAAGTTTAAAAGGATTCTTTTAAGATAAATCCAATTATCATTTACTGAAATGCAAACACCACAATTTGCAACTGGGGAAATTTCTTGTAGCAGTAGATTCCCACAATGACACAGACCTTCAACATTATTCCAATGGCATGGCTTTCTAGATTGTTGAAAAGTACTCTGGAATGGGGAAAACATTTCATCTAAGCATATATACTGCACCATCCACAACTCCTAAAGCAGCAAGAAGATTGAAATCTTCAATAAATGGCATGTATTATAATCACAGGATGGGGATCAGAAGCTCATAGGTTCATAGGAAGCTCAGAAGTTCACAGGTTTGATTAATCAAAAACCAGATACCGTATACACATAGATTTCCCCTGATATAGTAAATACCAACTTTAAACTTGAAGTTAAACAGAGTTTACAATGTTATATGCATGAAATCCATTAATCACACCAACTCACCTGGATTTTGTTATTCAATAACTTGGGATTTCTTCTGGGCTTATCCTCTGTAAACTAAAATAATGATCTAGAAACAGAGATGTGTGTACCACAGCATGTTTCACTTCCTCAGGGCTAAAAACTGAAATGCACATTTAGCAATGCAATAATTTAATATATGTCAGCCAGACAAAATATCTGTCTTTATTTCAATTAAATTAAAAACAATTTCCAATTATATTTATGCAACATTCACTATATACATATGATTTATTTATGCAACTACAAGGCATACGTTGATACTGATTATTCATCTACCTACCACTAGTTAAAACAAAGTGATAACTAGGGATTGGGTGGGAGAGATGGCCAGCGGATCATTTTTTTGCATTTCCATGGCATAATCAAAGAGGCTGCAGCACTAACTGGAAAGTTGATCATTGTTAAATCTTAACTGAAGACCTAGTCAATAGTTGCCCACGCAGACATGGATTTAACTGACAGTAGTAGTGCCATTTCAAAGTATTTATTTAAGAAATTTAGAGCCTGCCCACTTCCAAAGTGATTCTGGGTAGCTTACTTTAAAAAATAAAAAACTATAAAAAGATCCCACATGTCTGGATCAACACAATCCCTTAAACAGGAAACGTAGCTACAGATTTCCACAACCTACTCCCAGGCCTGGGAGAACAGCCATGTTTTTAAAAACTTCCAGATCATCAAGGTGGGAGCTACACAGAACTCTGGGGAAATAAGGCAGACTTCCTGGGTCCTAAAAAATGGTATTATTTGACTGAAGCAACCCAAAGCACACCAACTGTGCCCGTTCTTACAGGGCAGAGAGTCTTGGGAGCAGGCAGTCTCTCAGACAGATTTTGTTATTCATGTGAGACTTAAATCTCTTGTTTCAAGGGGGCACAAATTAGGCATTCTACTTCCTGTATGTTCTTTAGAACTGGCCTCAACACATTTATACAGAAGGAAAGTACCTCTTTGGTGAAGCTTAGGTACCCACGTATTTACTAGTAATTGTAACAGTTTGTAAACAGGACTGCAGTATAATGTAATGCCTTAGCTGTATCCTGGTTCAATGCTACAGATCACCCTCACAGTCTGGTACGTGATTTGAAAGCAGGGAACGATACAATTACATTAAGAAGGCTAACAAATTCCCTGTTTGAATTTTTTTTTAAAAAAAGTGCATATTTTACTCCGAGAATTTATGTCATGGTGGACAGATTATAGGATTATGCTTCACATCCTTCACTGGATAATACACAAAGCACAGGAAATGCTTATTGGCCCAAAGAGATCTGCAAACCTAATTTCTGGTACATTCAGATGTCCAGTGAGTTTAGAACAGTGCCTTGCATACTTTACTAATAAACAGCATTTTTTTCCACAATAAAGGGGCCTGTTATTAAGTTTTATTATTTTCCACATTATATATATCAAATGTAGAGTCATTAGTGTTAGGAGCAATACCACGCAGCTCCTTGTTGCCAAAAGACATGGTGCCTCTATTGCCAGCAATAGATGTAGCACCGGAGAAAGCATGCTCTAGCACAAAGGAGAATTCAGGTTGAGTGGGCATTCTCCAGCAAAGGGGGTCCATCGCGATGCACTGATGGATGGGTGGGCTCCCTTTTATAAGTTTTTGGAGGAAGCTTTGGGATATGTTGAGAAGTGCTTTGCCGTGGAGGAACAGGAGGCCCAGCGACAGAATGGATGTCCATTTCTTGGGGTATCAAAGGAGGTGATGGCAAATGCCTGCGTGCAACATGGGGAGAAGGGGTCTGAGGAGGAGGGGGAGTAAATGGAGAGGGGCTATTGGGAAAGAAAGTGTTGCCAAGTTCACTTTTTCTGCCTAAAGGCGGTGGCTGGAGATGCAAAGGAGAACTAGAGAAAACATCAGGAGTTCGCACAGGTTCTCTTGGTGGCAATACAGGTGGGCTTTCAGGAGCATCTGAGATAGAGGTCCTGTCGGGCACTGAATACCTCGGTGAATAGATTTTTGTTGTTGGCTGCCGAGGGGGAATTGCTGGTGGACTATCCAGATGTACAGAAGAAATCTAAACAAACAAAGAATTATTGTTATAAAGTGATTCAGGGACCTCAGTGATTAACCTTTTGCACAAAAGGTAAATTACGTCTTGATAAATCTTTCATCCAAAGATAGATGAAACTAATTTATTCTTCAATTTCTCCTTTTCTTTCTCTGGTTAAAATAACATATTTATGTTACATCCCTGTTTATTTTAAACATGCCACACCCTGGTGATGAAAACTGCAGTAGGAGTGTGCAGAAAATGGAAATGTGTTTTGTTTTAAACCAATAAAGCCCTGTACTCTTGTCTTCTGAAAGAGTCTTCTGCTTGACTCTTTCAGATCAGCCATGATTTGTTTGCTCCATTTTCTTCAGCAGTCACTTTGTCTCTAATTGAATCAAAGAATCACAGAGTTAGAAGCATTCATTTATGCCTTCAAATCCAATCTACTGCTCAGTACAGGTAGTCCTCGAGAAACAACAGGTGACTTAACGACCGCTCACAATTATGACCTACACTGGAAAATTACATACAAACCTGTTTCAAAGGTATGACAGTATAGTACCCCCAAGGTCATTTGCACTTACGATAGACCATGAGGATGCTGCAGCACTCCCCCCACCTGTCTCCCCCCCATCCCACCCAGATGGGACCCTTGCAGCACTTAGGCCTGCTCCCCATTCCTCTTGGAAGCAGTGCCCATTTTCCTTACCCTTAAAATGGTGGCTTTCTAAGCTTTCTGCATTTATAAGTTGGCACCAATCAGCTGGCAAGTAGGAGGCTGCAAAGCTTTCCTGCCTCTCTGGGCTTTGGACAGCTTCCCCAAACCTCACCCTTGTTTAACCCCCTCCCTTCCTCCCCCAGAAAGCCACATTTCTTCAAGAAACAAAACAAAAAAAGCTGGGAGGGACAGTCTTGATCCCCCCCCCCCGTCCATCCCAATTAGGTGCTAAAACTAAATTCTCTGCCTCTGCTGTCTATTGACTGCCTGTATGGGGCAGTCTACAGTCTAGCCTTTAAGTCTTAGCTGGAATCTACAGGCAACCAAAGGACAGCTAAAGCTTGCAAAAATCCAGCATCTTCCATTTCTTAGCAGTATTTTCTAGTCCACTTAAATTTTGTAGATGAATATGTTTTTTACCCTCCAGTTCAGAAGGGAAAAAGCGGCGGAAAGATGTTCTCTCTCTTTGCTCTCTTGGTTCCTCTTCAGCCTGGAGCCAAGGTACGGTTTTTAAAAGGGATACAGATTGGAGAGCAGAGGGAGTGGGGTTAGTTTTAGCACCTAACTGGGGCAGATCCACAAGTCTGTCCCTCCCAGCTTTTTTTTTTTTTTTTTAATGGAAGAAATGTGGCTGCGGGGAGGGGGAGGAAGGCTCTTTTAAGCAAGGGAGACATTTTGGGGAGCACGTCCTGAAGCTGCTTTTTATGCAAGGGCCAGCTTCCCAAAGCTAAATCCAAAATCCAAATCCACCTCTCTTTAGCTTAATTTCATTTTTCCATGGTTTCCACTTTAGAATGGCAGAAAATGGCTCCTGAGTTGCACTTTTTCAGGTGTTTGAAAAGTGCCATTATGGCCTCTTTAGCCACATTTTCACAGGGCTAAAACTTACCAGTTCATTCTGCCTATTTTTGTAAGGTTTAATCACTTCTGATCCTTTTAATCATTCTTGATGTCTTTGCTTGAATCTTTCACAAACTGTGGTTGCCCATTATTAGGCAAAGTACTTAAGGTGACAAGTGTTAAGCAAAATGTTTTGAATTCAAAATGTATTGCGCATCCCTGTGTGACAAATGCATACTACAGTAACTATTACTTCTTAACATTTAGAACGATCCACTTTTACTGATGTAACCTTAAAACAGAACTTGCCGTTTTACATCATATCAAACTGCAAAGTCAGGTATCCCCTATTGTTCATTCAAATCACACACGCATACACATGTATTCATATGTTTCTGTTATTTTCAGCCCTTTTCTATAAGCCTTTTTAAATTCTGTTCATATTTTTAGAATATTAGTTATTCCACCTGTTTTATATCTTCTGCAAATTTTATAAGCATTCCCTCTATTTTTTCATTTGAAAGTCCATTTGATTTCTCATTAGTTTGATGAGGAATCATATATGAGCAATACTCTAAACATGATTTTAATCCTATTTACCTGAGTCTACTGCCCAATCTACCCTTAATTAACCTGCTGTTTGGAAAGTCATATGCAATCCTTCTTGGCCTTCTAGAAACTGTTACAGAGAGGGCTGTTTTGGAGAGCCTACATGGAGTAGTCACGATTGTGCTTTTATAATGGTAGTTTTGTACTTTTATTGCATTTTAGATTTTCATTTTTTATGTTTTTTAATGATGCAAACTCTGGGAATCTTTTCCAAATCTGGCAATACGTAAACAAAATAAACAAATAAATACATGACAGAGTTATCTTTGTACCATGCTTGGGGCCCCAATGGGGGAACAGCACAGTGGAGGTGGTTGATCGTGTTAACAACAGATCCCACTTCCCTCCACTCCGCCCTCGCCCTCTCCACATGCCATTAGATTTGAATGTCTGGTTTTATTTATGTTTTAACGTATATGTATAGATATATTTTTATGACTGTAAGCTTCCCAGAGTTACCCTATGCCAATAGGTTTTATAAATAAATAAATAAATGCATAGGTTGTGTCAGCTTCTGGTCACTTAGGAATTCACAAAAACAAACATTCTGACTGGGGTGCACCAAACCTTTTGCATGTAGTATCATCTTACATCTTTTAAAAATAATTTTAGTTTACTTCTAAAATCCATTATTTCTGCTATTTGAAATAGAGAAAAATTACCTTTGATGGAGAAGATTCGGCAGGGGCAGATTCTGGACGTCTTCGGGGTGGAATAGGAGGAGGAACAGTAATTTCATCAGAATTTTTGGGGAAACTGATGGAGGATACAGAGGCAGACCCTGAGGACATATGAAAACCTTCAATGGCCTATTGTAAACAGAGTAAAATATGGCTTACAAAAACTAACTGTTTTCATTTAAGTATTGTAACATCTTGTTTATTTCATAACAACCAGATTCTTAAGGCTAATTTATTAGATTTGTGTAACTGAGCATCTCATGTATGTGACCGGGGGGAGGGGCTCACAGCTTTTTAAAAAAGCAATAAAACAGAATAAAAATATAAACTCAACAAACATACAACCATAATAAAATCTTCCATTAAAATCTAAATTAAATTAAACCAAACAAAGCTGATAAACTTTTCAGTTTGCTCAAATTCATGAAGAAAAACTGCAGAAGACATCCAAGTGTAGGATATTAATCAGATAGAAGAAGGAAGTTATCTGATTTATATTATCCTTTTATTGCTCAATGCATCTTGTGAAATTCATTTTGGAAAATAAAATATGAAGGAAACAGTTATCCTTGTTACTTATTACAGTATATCTATCATCACTGGTAGATAGCATTGCTTTACTTGAATATTAAGTTTCATTGTTATTTTCTAAATTATGATGATAAATTATAAAAGCATCAATTGAATCAAATGTCCAAGTAGATTCTATTCTGTATAAACACTACCTCATTTTTCTTATGCTATCTAATACTTTCAGAACACAAATAGAAATGAAAGGGGCCAAAAACATTAAAATGAGAGACAACATCATTGCCTGTAGTTGCACCTACTTGAATGAAAAGGTGTAGAGGGATCAGAATCAAACACACTGCAGACATCTGTAGTGCTGGAAGTGGAGGATGGTAAAGGTGGGGTGAGTGGCGTTCTTGGAGAGTTTGGTGCAGAGGCTGCATTCTCTGATTCACTCTCAGGGACACGGCTATAACTGATTTTTCTTGGTTCTTGTTGCAGAGGTGTTGGGTGCCTCATTGTTCCAGGTCTTGGATTTGATGGACGAATACCCGGAGATTTGAGAGAATAGCTATATTTTTTAGGCTGAAAGAATCCAAAACAGATATTATAAGAACACAGTGTTAATCGGAACCTTTTTTTGTTAACCTTTAACATTTCCAGTTCTTTTCCAAGTATCATATTTGTGTTATTCTACAACTAATTAATTATGTGTTATAAAGTTGATGTCAATTCTTAGTGACGACACTGCTAGATCTGTCCCAAATCTGGCTTTTCATATGTCTCAATGGTATACCATTGATTGAGTTAATCCACCTTGTCGCTGGTCATCCCTCTCTCTTTCATTACACCATTCCTAGAATTATGAACTTCTAAAGCAAGTGAGGTCTTTGCATAATATGGCTCAATGAAATATGATAATTTCAGCCTGATCATGTGCCTCAAGTGAGACTATGGATTGATTGGTTCAATGATGAATTTGTTTGGAGCTTTTCTGGTTGTCAGTGATATTCTCAGTGATATTCTTTCTATCCTGCTTTTACAAAGTCCAACTGTACTACAGGTAGTCCTCGACATACAACCGTTCATTTAGTGACCGTTCAAAGTTACAATGATACTAAGAAAAGTGACTTACGCCCGGGTTTCACACTTATGGCCACTGCAGCATCCCCATGGTCATGTGATCAAAATTCAGACTTTTGGCAACTGACATGTATTTATGACATGTCCTATTTATGACGTGTGATCCTCTTTTGCAACCTTCTAAAAAGCAAAGTCAATGGGGAAGCCAGATTCACTTAACAACTGTGGCAAGAAAGGTTGTAAAATGGGGCAAAATTCACTTAAAATTATCTCACTTAGCAACAGAATTTTGGACTCAATTGTGGTTGTAACTTAAAGTTTAACTGTATAGGGAAAACTACTGCTTACACAATTCTGATCTTTGTAGGTATAGACATGTCATGGAATCTGAATATCATTTCCAAGATCTTCATTGTTACCCTACCAAATGTTAATATGTAATTATTTCTTGATTCCTTGTTCCTTTACTGTAAAATTGTTCTTAAAAAAGAAAAGATAAAGTGATTTATAGCAAATATATAATAAACCAGTGGTTCTCAACCTGTGGGTCGGGACCCCATTTGGGGTTGAACGACCATTTCACAGGGGTCGCCAAACAATGCAGTCCGCCATTTTTTTCCCCTTTTCCTTAGCTGTGCTACTCCCTTTTATTCTATTGGCTTTTGAAAGCCAATAGAATAGACTCTCTTGAATAGAGTCTAATTCTATTGGCTTTCAAAAGCCAATAGGAATTGTCCAGGCTGTCTCTGCCCTGCTGAGCCCGCCAAAAGTCCCATTCTGCAAACAGTGCTGCACCAGTTGAGTAGTCCTCGGCTTATGACCGGCTGAGTAGTCCTCAACTTATGACCGGTTGGGGGGTCGCGGCATTAAAAAGGTTGAGAACCACTGTAATAAACGTTCATACTCACAAGTCTTGGAGGTGGCTTCATATTACGTGGCTCTATTTCTAGGGACTTGTTGTAAAGAGAATCTGCAAATTCTTTTTCCATGCTATTTCCCATTGGATTCAAATTTTCAAAAAATCTCTAAAACCAAAACATTCAGGATGATTAGTACAATGTAACATTGTGATTTTAAGGCAAAGGATGCAAATACTTTAACAGGACACAATCCTACCTTGCTTTTTATTACTAGATGGATTCATAGAAATGCATTTCCTTCTATCTGCTCCTACAGCAACACTTACGCAAACTAATCAGACTTGAAGAACCCATGAAAATAGCTGAAACAATTCTTCTGATATTTAATTTGTATTAACAGATATCAAGGAGGCAGGCCCTCTCACAGAACAGGCCTTGAACTGGATAGAACTGGCTATCATAATACCTTACAACTTAGGGTAGCGCACAATATCATAGTTGGGAAGAGCCACTTAGGTCACTGTTTCCAATCAGTGCACAAATCCAAATTAGGGTATTAACTGACTCAACTAATTTTATATCATCTATATCAGACATGCCAAACACAAGGCCCGGGGGCCGGATGAGGCCCGCAAAGTGGTTTCATGTGGCCCGCGAAGCCATCCTGGAAACAGTGCGGGAACGGCCCCCTCTGCCTTGGCCCTGGCCCAGGCTGGCTGGGAGCCAATGTACAATTTTATGGTGGCCATCTATGCTAAAACGCATTCAGTCTTAGCTCCACAAGGCCGTCTGGAAACAGCGAGGAACCAGCCCCTGCCACATCAGCCCCACTCCCTGGGTGCATACTGGGGAGGTGTCACCTTTGTGAGGAATGAAGAAATGCACCATCACGCTGGCCACTTCCAGGCGATGGTGCATTTCCTCATTCCTCATGAAGGGTGAAACCTCCCCAGCTGCGTTTCTTGCCTGTTTTTCTTCCTCCCTCATCTCAAATATTTTCCCACCACTCTGTACTTAGGAAAGAAGGAAGGAAAGAAGGAAAGAAGGAGAGGGAGGGTCTGAGGGAAGTCCTACCTTAGCCCTGTCCTGCTGCCCTTTCACCATCCCCTTGCCCTCTCCTCCTGACCTATCCTATGGGTCTCCCATCCTATTGCTAAGGAAGCTTTGGATACAAAGCCGGGTCTCCTCCCATGGAGAGGGAATGGGTCTCCCTCTGACTTTGCCCTTGTACCCATCATGAGCAACCTGGATAAGGAGAGCAAGCATAGCAGCAGCAGCCTTGAGGAGGAGGTAAGAGTAGCTGGGCGCCCCCTTGGGCAAGTGGGGCTGGGCTTGGTGCTGTGGATGCTCGAGGGCCAGGCTGGGCATTTGACCTCTGCTGCCAGGGCTCCGGGCAGCCTGCACCACTATCCAGCCTCCCCTGCATGGCCTGAGAGGAACAGTGAGGCTCCTCCAGTGGACCATGCTTTGGCACTTGCCCTGGTCCCACCCCTTTCTGCCAGAGACCCTCAGATCTGTCCCACTCCTGCCCAGCCCCCCACAAGCACCCTTGATGTGAATGATGTAGAGCTGGCCATGCCCACCCAGTAGGCCACATCCACTCCATCCATGCCCACCCAGTAGACCGCACCCACCCTGGCCACACCCACCTGGCCCCGAGGGCAACTGCAATGCTGATGCGGCCCTCAATGAAATTGAATTTGACACCCCTGATCTATATAATTATAAACTTTACTGTTTACCTAGACCATTACTAAAACCAATAAAGAATAGAGGTCCAAGACTGCCCTTAAGAGTGCTTCACTTAGACCCTCATTCAAATTCAATGAGGTAACATTGATTAGCACAATTTCTATATGATTTCAGCCAGCTGCATATTCATTTAAATATTAAGTAGTTATGATTAATATCACTATGGTTTGACCAATATGTTTTTACAACTTTTACAATTTTTGTAAGATGTAAACTCTGAAATAAATTGTCTAAGGGCAGACTTGAGTATCATTTTAAGCAATCTTTTTCCTTCAATACTTGGAAGATGTAGTAGTCCTGAGTTACAGAAGAGTTTTGCTCCAACAATCCTTGTGAAAGTAAATTTCCATGCATGCTTGTATGTATTTGCAAACATAGCAGTTGCTGTTTTGCACCTCTGCAAAAATCAAAGATTTTTCATTGATAGAATGTTTATTTATTAATTTATTGAAAATTTATATAGCCACCATTTCTTGTGCCTCTTTCCAGAAAATTAAGATTACATAAATTAGGGGTTATTTATTAGGGGGACTGCAAAGGATACCAAAGGAAAAAATCAGTTTGCAGTTCCCTGGGAACTGCAAGATAGCTCCTGATGTAAAACTTCTTTCAAGACCAAGGATGACAAGTAGATAAATAAGGATTAACTCCAGACAATCAAGCAATAAATGGTACCAAGAAGAGAATATATGTAGCTCAGAATTGAACTGTGAGGTCATTGGTGATCTCTGAGCTTCATGGTTTTTCTGCAGACATTTCTTTACCAAACTAGGTAACTAGCCTAGCATTGATAATGATACCTTGTTTGGTACTGAAATGTCTGCAAGAAAACCACCAAGCTCAGAGAGCAGCAAGGACTCCACAGCAAATGATATCCTAATCAAGGAATTATCAACTCAGACAAACAAGTAGAAAACAACATCCTAACCAATGAACTACCAAGGAGAAAATAATATCCCCACCAACCTGTCAGGGCAAACTACTGTATATAAACACAGAGCAAATCCCACTCTATAAGCAAACAACCAAGCTCAGAGGACACCAAGGACTCCACGGAGTAAAACCTTCTACTTACTCTAATGTCAGGTTCCACCTTTAAGCAGTATGGCTGGTTTTGGTACTGTTGAATTTCTCCTGTTATCTCAGCTACTTTCCTCCGTTTGCTAAAGTTAATGAGCTCTCTTCCATGTCTTCTTAGAAATTCAGGATTGCCTTCTTCTGTTTTCAAAATGTTTGTTAAATAAATTCCTATAATAGCAAATATATAAAAATGCACAATGTAATGTTTTTCTAGGAAATAAACTAAATATTAATAGCATGGAATATTTTAACATATTAAGAGATTTTGGGTAACTGCAAGGAAATGCTGAAGGGTATCTCTAAGTTATTTTGCCAATAAATTGCACTTTCTACAAGCAACCCGTAGACTACCAAACTCTCACTTCAAAAATTCCCCACTGACTCATCTTCCTCTTCAGCACTTTATTTCCCCTTCTTGAGATTAATATCTGTATCCTGAAAAGCCCATTTTGATTTGCACAGGAGAAATGGAATTCCATTCTGCTGTTGGAAAAAAAAACTGCATAATGAGTTAGATTTGCCCCAAATAATTACTGACTTTAGGTTTTTTCATAATTTTTATCTCGTCTATAAAGTCTTTGGAAACATCCCTTAGTTCTTATGTTCCAACAGTAAAGACTATAATCAAACCTAAGTATAAATATCTTTTCTGTGTATTCATCTCCACATTTTTTCATTTCTCCCTGGTACCAATATTTAATTTATAAACTTTTCAGCCCATCTCAGTTTGTAACAAGACATTAAAATAGTGTTCAAGCTACAGTATAACAGGAGACTATGGCTTTATATAAATCTTCAGTACTGACACACAATTACAAAGATAGAAAAAAATGATAGGCAGATATGCTTCTTCATGATACAGATCATTCTCAATTTACAACCATTCAAAGTAACGAAAGTACTGAAAAAGTTGATTTATGGCTGATCCTCTCTCTTGAGACCAGTGCAGCATCTCCTTGGCCACATGATCAAAATTCAGGCACTTGGCAACCAACATGTATTTCTGATAGATGCAGCATTAATAGGGTCATATAATCACCATATGTAATCTTCCCAGTCAGCTTTCAATAAGCAAAGTCAATGGGGGCAGTCAGATTCACTTAACTGCAATGATTCACTTAACTATGGCAAAAAGGTAATAAAATCAGTTGTGACTCACTTAACTATCAACTTTCTTAACAACAGAAATGATGGTTATAAGTTGAGAACTACCTGTATAAAAAAAACTATGGCAGATGGCACTATGACAGTTACAGCTAAACAGTTCTTTCTCAGAATAAAGAGTAAAATATATTATACTGGGCCAAATAAAAAGAATAATCTGCTATATTTTCATCTCTCCCTCAAAGTATTTCCAGTTCAGTTACAAAGCACAATTGTCACACACATGTCTATGAAGATTCTCAATCATCCAGGACATGATTATCCCAAAGAAGCTTTCTGAAGAAGATTCATGGATGAGAAGTGAAATGTTTTCAAGGAAAAAAAAAACCCAAGAAAGTCCAATTGCATTTTGAAAAGCACCTTTGGGATATCACACACACATTTTTAAACAATTTAGACAACAATTTGCTTTGACACTAAAACTTGCAAATACCTGAAAAATCATGTCAATTATCTTCACTGAGATGTATTCAAATATATTCTTTTGTTATTTAGTCATTCTAATTAACAGCAAATTCAGGTAGGACATTTAAACAAAAAACTTTCCCATATACTCATTCTACAGTTCATATTCTTTATCCATTAATATTTGTGATTTTATTTTTATCACAAATAAAATCCTACTTACCAAAGAAAGGCACACACGGAGGATTAATGGACCTGAGTTTTGCCAAGTATTTCTTATGATGATCTTCACTTAGTTCATGTGCTTCTTCAAATATCTTCTTTTGCCGACTTGGGATTTGCTGAAGATAAAGAAAGGTGAGGATACAGTTTGCCCACAGAAAATTTGCTGATTATACTAGTACAGTTGACTGCCCAGCCTGGCCAAAATTTGTGAATCCATCTACATGACTCATCCCTTTCTTTCACATAATGCTTTCCATATAGAAAAATCTATAATGTTAAAAGTAGCAATAAGATCTGCCTATATTGTTTTACTTGTGTCCTTATTCTCTACTTTTGTTTTGAATGGAAATAGGTCAGTAAAATAATATTTTTGATCATGAAGAGAACCATGATCCAGACAAAAATATTAAGATTTGATGCAAAGCTAAAATTGGATATAAAACACAAAGGAGAGGCTTTAGTTTGTATACCTGGGATTAAATAAACATTTGTGTTACTCTTTTTTTAAAATTTAGGGTTAATTTCTTACGTTGAGAAAAAAAAATTAAATCATTTTTCTAATGTTCAAACCCAACACATATTTTTTAAAAGTTTCTTTAATGAAAAATATCTGCTATCTCAAGTCCAAGTAGTTTTCATTTTAGATCTGCATTTCACTTACTTCAAAGGTGTGATCCAGTCTGTAAATAGGTGCAGAGTTCATAGCACTGACAACTTCAAGAACGCCATTAAAATTATTTAGCTCTTGAAAAACTTGCAAGATTTCAATTATCCGGCATACTACCATTACTCTTTCTTCTAGATTTTCTGTTTCCACAATGCATCTAGATATTCAGAAAGCATATTTAAATTTCATTTTGGATTATCAAAAATGTAAAAGCATTATCAGAGTTTTTTTTCAAGGAAGTGTGTCCCATTTTTTTAAATTAAAAGGAAACTATCATACACAGCAAATGTAATGTACATTTTATAGTATAGACTAGAGGGATTAGACGCACCCGCTTTCACAAGGTTCTATCCTGAGGCAATTGATCTGTACAAATTTCTCAACTGAAAACAAAGCATCTAAATTCACCGAGAGAACAGGTAGATGTGTTTGCTGTCTGAATCAGGAAACTGAATAATGTAATGATATTCAATGTAGTGATGGCTGATTTATACCACTACAAAATTGGTCTAGTACTAATATATAACTTAATATTATCTGTCGCTGTTTGAATACAGACCACAGAAAATATAAATAACAAACTTTTGTTATTGTAATCCTCAACTTATGACCATAGTTGAGCCCAACATTTCTCTTGCTAAGCAAGACAGTTAAGTGAATTTTGCCCCATTTTATGACCTGAACGGAATCACTGCAGCTCATAAGTTAGTAATACAGTTGTTAAGTGAATCTGGGTTCCCCAATGACTTTGCTTATCAGAAGTCTGCAAAAGGTGATCATAGGACCCCAGCAATCGTCATAAACATGAGTCAATTGCCAAGCATCTGAATTTTAATCATGTGACCATGGGGATGCTGCAATGATCATAAGTGTGATTAAACAACGATAAATCACTTTTTCCAGTGCTGTTGTAACTTTGGTCACTAAATCAACTATTGTATTTTTTGCTTAAAACTCAATCTCTGCTAAGTTACATCATAGGAACCATGCAAATACCAATACTGATCAATGAATCAAATTAATCTTACTTTTCAAACCATAAGGTAAGATTAGTCGTATGTCTTATCATTTTGAGCAGGTTAGGAGAATTAATTTCTTTATCTTCCTTTGTCCATACACTTCCAACGAGCTCTGATGGCTGCACAGCCCTGCCAAACGTAAAATCAAAATGAGGCAAGATTAGCTGGCTTTTCATCAAAAATATTTCCACTTAAATCAATATTTTTGAATTAAACTAATAAATGAACTGATCTGTGTTTCTTTTGAACAGCTTCTTATCCACGGAAAGAAAAGCATTTAGTTTTAATAGCTAGCTTTCTCTATAGCAGCGGTTCTCAACCTGTGGGTCGCGACCCTTTTGGGGATCGAACGCTTTCCCAGGGGTCACCTAAGACCATCGGAAAATACATATTTCCGATGGTCTTTAGAAACTGAGACATTGCTCCTCTATCCAGCCGCCGCTGCCCTCCTCCGCCGCCCTCCTCTGCCTCCAGGGCGCCCTTCTCCTCCGACAGCACCTGCTCCTGCCGTCGCAGCGCCATCTGCATGCCCCTGACGCCGCCCTGGGCTGGCTCAGCGGCTGGTCTGAGCTGAGCCGGGTCTGGGCTGCTGCTGTCGCCGCTGCCAGCTGAGCTGCAACGCCGAGCTGGTCTCCATGCCTCTCGCGTGCAATGGGCTGCACGGCATGGAAAGGGGCTCCCGCGACCCCACCGCTGCGATGGCGCCCAGGAGGCTGGAGGGGCGGGCAGGTCCCAGGGGGGCGGCTGGGAGAGGGCAAGAGGTGCCGGGATGAGGATGGGGGGCTCCAGGTTGATGGGTGTGAGAGGGCAGCCGGCTGCTCTGAGGCACGCAAATCCCCCACGCAGCTTCCGAGGCCCCGGATGTGCTGCCACTTGGCTCTCCACCAGGCTCTCTGCCAAAGCCTCCCCCCCTCCCCGGGCAATTGTGTGGAGGTGCTTGTGTGTCCTTGGCAGCACCTCCCCCCTTCAATCTCCTTCCTTCTCCATCTCCTTCCTTTCCCCTTCAATCTTCCTTCCTTTCTTCCATCTCCAACTCCATCCCTTCCCCTTCAATCTCCCTCTCCTTCCTTCCTTCCTTCCTTCCTTCCTTCCTTCCTTCCTTCCTTCCTTCCTTCCCCCTTCAATCTTCCTTCCTTCTCCATCTCCTTCCTTTCCCCTTCAATCTTCCTTCCTTCCTTCCTTCTTTCCTTCCTTCCATCCATCCATCCATCTCCATCCCTTCTTCTTCAATTTATTTATTTATTAGTAAAACTTATATGCCGCCCAATCCCTAGGGACTCAGGGCGGCGCATAAAATCAAAACAACAAGTACAACAATTAAAAATGAATACATTCACACAGCATGTCCCAATTGAATCCCGGGCCCAGCCAGGGACATCAACCCCAGGCCTGCCGGACCAGGAGAGTTTTAATAGCTTTCTTGAAGGCCAGCAAGGTGGGAGTAGTTCGAATCTCGGGGGGAAGTTGATTCCACCACGTCGGAGCCACCACAGAAAAGGCCCTTCCCGGAGGGCCCGCCAGCCGACATTGTCTGGCCGATGGGACCTGAAGGAGGCCCAATCTGTGGGACCTCACCGGTCTCTGGGAACTATGTGGCAGTATGCGGTCCTATAAGTAACCTGGTCCTAAGCCATGAAGGGCTTTAAAGGTGACAACCAATACCTTGAATTGCGTCCGTAGACCCACAGGAAGCCAGTGCAGCTCGCGGAGGATAGGTGACACGTGGGTGTACCTTGGTGCACCCATAATCGCTCTCGCAGCTGCATTCTGAACCAACTGCAGCCTCCGAACGCTCTTCAAGGGTAGCCCCATGTAGAGCGCATTACAGTAGTCCAGTCTTGAGGTGACAAGGGCATGAGTAACCTCTCTCTCCTTCCTTCCTTCCTTCCTTCCTTCCTTCCTTCCTTCCTTCCTTCCTTCCTTCTTCTTCCTTCCCCCTTCAATCTCCTTCCTTTCCCCTTCATCTTCCTTCCTTCTCCATCTCCTTTCCCCTTCAATCTTCCTTCCTTCCTTCCATCTCCATCCCTTCCCCTTCAATCTCTCTCCTTCCTTCCTTCCCCCTTCCATCTCCTTCCTTTCCCCTTCAATCTTCCTTCCTTCCTTCCTTCCTTCCTTCCTTCCTTCCTTCCTTCCTTCCTTCCTTCCTTCCTTCCTTTCCCCTTCCTTTCCTCTTCAATCTTCCTTCTTTCCTTCCTTCCATCTCCATCTCTTCCCCTTCAATCTCTTTCTCCTTCCTTCCTTCCTTCCTTCCTTCCTTCCTTCCTTCCTTCCCTCCTTCCTTCCTTCCTTCCCCCTTCAATCTTCCTTCCTTCCTTCCCTCCCAACATTTTTGAGCAAGGAAGAGTAAGCTTCTCCAGTGAGCATTGCTATATTGTTTTTGTGATTAATCACTATGCTTTAATTATGTTCAATTCGTAACAATGAAAATACACCCTGCATATCAGATATTTACATTACGATTCATAACAGTAGCAAAATTACAGTTATGAAGTAGTAACGAAAATAATTTTATGGTTGGGGGTCACCACAACATGAGGAACTATATTAAAGGGTCGCGGCATTAGGAAGGTTGAGAACCATTGCTCTATAGCCACTAATGGTATAATATTATATCATGCAAAGAAATTTTGACCTTGCAATCGTTGTTTTAATTTTACTAAATAATTCCCAACATATGAAGAGAAATTCTCACTTTTACTGCTGATATTAAAGTGTTCATCAAAAATAAGAAAGTATACCCCAGAAAATGTAATACTACTGATTCTGCTAGTAAAAATAAATGGCAGAAAGACCCATGACATTAAAGAAAACATTTGACAAGTCTATATTTTAACCAAGAACCATACATCTCAAAGGAAAAAAAGGCACTTACCTGTAAAGTTCTGATTCAAGTAGAGTAAGCTGTCGGGCAATTTCTATTGGATGCAAAGTGAGTAGATCAAATGTTTCAGTTTGTCCTTGCCTGCTTATATGCCACTCAATTGGAGGTGGTGAGCTTTCAAAAGTAATATTATGAGTTGGCCCAATGGCTTGCGCTTGCTTTTTCCTATGAATTATCTTTGTGATTGATTCAACCCATTTCTTCATAGCTTTACCTGAGAATAAGTACAGAAATAGCTTTACAGCACCACAGAGCAAGTTCTAAAAATATTATATGCTTATCTTACCCACTGGCCAATTGGTAAAAGAATGCAAGAATTTCAGCTAGCCCAGCACTACAAATGTCCCAAATTAAAATTCCTATTTGCTTAAAAAAGGAAGTGATAGTTTCCAACCTGCTTTTCTGATATATGAAAATGTACATGCAGAAGCATGCATGAACTGGCCATACAAAAAAATAAGTTGGTATCCTATTTCATTTTAATAATCTTCGAATTAAGTTACAAAAAAAATTTCCATAACAAGAAAAAATACCGTGTCACACAGCAGTTCCAATTAAGATAGTGTAATGAGAGAATGAAAGCTTTACACTTCAGTTTCAGGCTTAAAACATAGAAGGCTCTATACTATGAGATTAAGATATGTAAGGCTTACAACATATACATGCTGTCAGGTTCCCTTGTGGTGAAAACAGATTGTCAACTATTTATGGAGGATAGGTCTTCTATTGAATTCCACTCCTCCATGGCTGTGATCTCTGCTCATGTTTTCCTGCTCCAAGTTGAGAGTGTTTTCCAGCTGTTGCCAACTCAAATGTTGTCTGGTTTGCCTGCTTTGCTTAACTTCTTCAGGTAGCCCCATGTACTTGGATTGGCTACTGAGCAGAGTAGCTTTTTACTAAGGTTTGCTACAGCTAATATTGAGAAACAGGAGTCTCAGCAGAAGAGTGCTTGTATGATTTGTCAACTTTGCTTTTTTAATTACTATTTTTCCTTCTACATTTCCCCTGGATTTCTTTTTAAATTATTTTTTAAAATAATTTTTCCAGGGTGGAAGCGGTCATAAAAAGGGTGTTAGTTAATCCTTCTAATTCAAATAACTGATGCAGTAAATGATGAAAATGGTGCAATAGTAGAAAAGTACAGTAGCTAGCTCAGGGAAGATAAATAGTAATTTTAAAAAGCTGGATTTCACACCAGTGATAGTCTATATGTCAGGCAAGTGATTCTACTATGCTACTGAAACTCCTGTTTGTCAGCTATAGCTGCAGCACCTTTTTGAACCAAACTGGAAAGATGCAAAAAAAAAATATTTTAAGTTGGTTGTTTTGCTTTCATATATGTGTATTTTGATGTTTTGATTTTGTTTATATAAATTTAATTCTTTCTCTACAATATTTATTTGTATATCTATACACACACAGAGAAGAGTATCTATGTCAAGTAAGACCCATCAACAGAAAGGAAAGCATTTTCCTAGAATGCTTTTCTAGAATGGAAAGTTGCTAAGACAGAACAGCAAGGAAAATGTCAAATGGAACACTAATAGCTTTGTACACACAGGCTTTTCATAAACAAGCTTATAGTTAAACTGGCATCAGCATAAGAAAGGAGCAGCCTAAGATTGGCACACGTATTTGCTCCTGGCATGTTCCTACATAAATTAAAATATAACGAATCTTAGATCTTTGTTTTGATCAGGGAGATTCCTTTTAAAAACACAATCCTCCTCTCCAGTCAATCAGTCAGTGTATCAATAAATGAAATCCAAGTCAATTTCTAGAGGTTTTTCCTGGTTTATTTTAATTATATATGCTTATATTGAATCATGGGTTATTTTTTCTAATTATGACAGATTATCTGAGGTTGGGCTGATATTTTACGTTAAGATTCCATTATCTAAAATAATTTTAGGTTGATTTTTCTCAAATAAAACTGTTTAATGGATGACCAACAAACCAGGCATAGCTTATTAAAAAAATAAATGTGGAGTATTGGAATACTAACTTCACTGTAATGCTATGTCAAACAGTGAATATATGCTGATATTTTGCTAGCTTCTTCAGGGCAGAAACGCTTACTCTAAAGTTAACAACATAGTTAAATATTAGCATACAGTTATCTCTCATATAACATTAAATGGAATCCATTTTATCAATAAGGAACAGATATGAAAACTACACTCAATGAAAATATGTATTAGATATTTGTAGTCATCAAATACCTCTGACTGTGCCAATAAATTCTTCCAATCGTTGCAAAAGATCTACGTCTCTTTCAAAATCATAAAAATGATGTTCCACCCAGTGTCGACATACATTTAATACTCTGCAACATAAATGATTAAATATTTGAGATCAATATTTATTGAATATATTTTAAACAACACTTACTGGTAGTAGGGCTGCAATTTGTACGTTTGCAACAGATGATACAATGCTAAACTGTAGTATAGATGGAAGGAGCACAGATTTATAAGCACTCAGCTCTGAGCCTGACTGGCCATTCTTTGAAAAGAGTGAGAACAGCAGTCCTTCTAGCATAAGCAATCTCCCGTTCAAGTTCTAACACTTGGGCTAAAAGGCAAGTTTGTGCAACAAGGTGATCATTACCTAACACTACGACTGCCTATTATGCACAAAAAAGGTAGAACTCCCACAGAAAAGTTCTTTTCTAGAGACTGTAATGTAGCATATATTTCCTAATGAAATGAAATGAAATGGAATGGAATTATAACTAAGAAGAGTCAATTTCTGGACTTTCATGAAAAGATTTTCTTTGGAACTATAAAATCATAAATATAAACTTAATATTTATAAGATTCAACAATATCAATCATATGTAAACTGAAAGCAGCAAGATTAAAGTTTGTGAAGACTATGAAGGATCTATTATCATAATGCCCCAAAGTGATTATGTTTTTGCTCATTGCTTTATCCCCTTGTCACAATGAATCATATACTAATCATAACTTTCAAAACTAAGAAATATTCTTCTGTCCAAAAGAAACACACATATTATTAAATTATCTGACAGTTAGGTTATTCAAAAAAAATCATGGAATGCGTATCAGTAAAACAATGTTATAAGAAACCAGTGTTTATGAACAGTGCCCTTATGCACAAATGCAGAGGGAGAAATGGCAACTAACTCTAACAGTATTTTATGTCAGATGAAGTATTGTTGACTTGAATAGGGGAGGATTACCTAGGTTTTAATTCTAAATTTGCAAGAAGTATTATTGTATGAGATTTTCTAATCTGATGAAAAATTTTAATTGAAAATATCATTTTTAATATTAGTGGTCAGACTGGACGATCCAGTTCAAGCAGTCTTGTATTTAATAGTCCAACAACAGATTCTCTAGAACAAGTACCTAATTGTTTTGTAAGTGATGCTGCCAATTTTTTTTTCTAGACTGAATTATTACATACAAATCTTGTAAGATTACTGAGTAAATTGAATTCCTAAAGTGGTAATTAAATTATTAACTTTTTATACATTATATCATCTGTCTCCTAATCAATATAGATGTTTGGTCTCTGCTAAATATGAACTTAAAACTCATCACTGGACTCAAAAGATTCCAGATAATATCTGTGTAATCCCCAACTTTCCTGTTTTGAGGAAAGTTGTTGAGAAAGTGGGCAACAGCTTCAGAGGATCCTGGAGGAAACAGATCCATTTTAGTCTGGGATACAGTAAAAAGATAGCATTGATTGTGCTTGTCAATGACATTTGGTGGCAGAGGGAAGAGATGATACATCCATTCATTCTCAGCAGCTTCCAATACTGTCAATCATAGACTGGCTGGAAAATTGGGAGTCGGGGTCACCAGATTGTTATGGCTCGTCTTCCTTTCTTTGTGGTCAGTATTAATGGGGATGGGGGAGACTGAGAGGGGAGATTGAGCCCAGGACCACTCATTTGTGATAGTCTCAGAGCTTATTCCTCTTGTCCCTTTTGTTTAACATCTATACGAAACTGCTGGATGAGATTGTCTATTTTGGTATCACCAGTAATTTGACAATACCCTATTGTATATCTCAGTCATAGGTGAAGTAATGCTGTTGAGGTCCTGTTCCAGTGTCTAGAGATTATGTGGATTTTTAAGGAGAGAAACAGACTCAGGCTCAATTGTACAAAGTCTGAGTAGCTTAGGATATCTGTACTTTCCATGTTTAGTTTTGTATGAAACTGCACTTTTTTACTTGAGACATGCATGCAACCTGGGGACTTTCAGCTCCTGCTTAAAAAAATGTCAGCTGTAACCAAAACAGTCTTCACATATATTCCTTTCATATAGATTCATTTACAATACAATCTATTCCTGGATTGGGAGGCCCTTCAGACACTCACACCCTAAATGACCTACTGAAAGGACTACTACATATACTACATGGGGATGTCCTTTTGGAAGTTACAGTTGGTCCAGAATGCACATACCACACTATGCCCATCTGATGCCATGGTTTCATAGGCCTTCTGGTGCCTTTCAATTTTAATCAGTGTTATTGATTAGTTCACAAATTAGAGAAGGAATAACTGCTTTCATTGTTGAGAAAGCTTTTGATATGATTTCTTGGAAGGTTTTGGGACATTTTGACTTTTTTTGTGTTTTTCCAGAATCAATTAAACTTGATTAAAATTATGTTTAAATATATTTCAAGAATTCCCTTTGTTCCCCTTTCTTTTAAAATTGTGTTAAGAATCTCTTGCTTAGTCACAAATTCTGAAATCATTAATGGAATTATACCAGAAATCACAGAATATAGGATTCTATTTGTTGTTGAAGATCTGGCAATTGTCACTTACACGCTTACATCAATTTCATTAATATACAAGTCTAGTGTCATGTTAAAACATTTGCCAAACTGCAGTAAATCAGATTCCATACCATGGGTCATGACAAGCATATATTATGATATCTTTCAATATAAAACTAGTAGGCAAATATACTTTGCCTGTCACAATATTATTACTGTGGATCAAGTCAGCTCCGAGGACTCTGACAAAATATAAAAACAATTTACCTCAGACTACTTGACAGTTTAATCAACTTAAGCTTCTGTTATAGAGCCTAAAATCCAGCTGTTGTTGCTGCTTCTGAAGCTTCAGAATGATTAAAGGTATAAAAGAATCTACTGTGATTCCTAAGACAGTAGCTCTTTTAAAAATAAGAAGTTGTTTGAATAACTTCTACAATAATAAAGTTGGATGTCTTGCCCTGGTAAACCATTGGGAGGTTGTTTTAAATAACATGGCATTTTTCTATGATCTAAAAATAATGAGCAAAAAGCTTTGAGTATATTGGACGCTTCAGAGAATGAATGTCTGGTAAAGATCAAGGTTCTTATTGGAGATGCAATTCAGCAGGTGGACATAAATTCATATAGTTTTCTTATTATTGTCACAATTTGAGCAAAAACAAACAGGACAGTTAAAATAATTCTGAATCAATTACTATGTGGAAAATTTGTCTATATTCTTTATTATATTTCTGGAATCTATCAAGACATCAAGAATTGTGGATTTTGGACACCAAGTAGAAACTGATATCAACTTTGCAGCAATGTTTGTTGATAATATACTACTGCTTAATATTTGAATTAGAAAAGAGCAAAAAACACAAACAAGGCTTTTTTTTGTCTAGAAAGGCAATTCTGAAAAGAAAATCTCTGTGCATGAATGCACACATCAATAATCTTTTGGACCCAAATCAATATTTTAAAGATGAGAAACAATTAGGATACAATTTTACATGTTTAATATGGATGCACAAAAGGGTGCTCCATTTCAGGCCTTATGGGCATGGTTTTTGGAAGTTATTTTCTAGGAATGATTTCATCTGTGCAGGATGCAAGCTGACCCCCCCCAATCATTCTCCACTTCAAAATAATTTTTTTTTAAAAAAACTTGACAAAAGCCAGTGAGCTTCGGTGAACTCTCATGTTTAGTTTTTTGTGCATAAAAAAACCCTGCCAGCTCCCAAATTAGTTTTCATTGTCAACTAAAGACCCCTTGAACTCCCCAGAATAGTCGGGAGTTAAGTTGCATAAAAATGTAGTAAATAAATACATTTCAATACTTACCGTAGCTGTACAGGCTGTATATATTCTTTTCTAAATCTTTTTAATTCTGCACTAAGAGGTTGATCTCCATTCTCCATAGCTATACGATCTGCTTCTGTTGGCTCAGGTTCTGGAATTTCAAATCTAATATGGGAGGATGAAGTGAAACTTAAATGTAGCATTTACATATTAATTTAGCAAGATGGAAAATACTAACTGCAACAAACAATACAGAGAAGCATTAACTCAGGAAGTCACAGGGAGTCAAGAAACAGGACCACAACCCAATAGAATTTTAATTCTGAGAGTTAGCACAGATGCAATAATACTAAGTATGTCTCTTTAGCAAAGAAATGGCATTTTAATATTAATTGCAAACATGTGTTTACTTTTGCAAATAATTGAGATATAAATGTATATTTTACTGATTAATAAAATTATGTTATTATTTTACTGATTAAATCTTATATACAAATAGGAAATGTGAAAAACACTAATGATTTATTTAAAACATATGGAGAAATTCAAGTGTACCATGAAAAAAACCCCATGACTTAACATAATGTACTACAGCTTATTGGACAGCTTATTTGACTTATATTGTGATACTGTCTGCAATCTTGCCAATTGTGACCCTTACTGTAGATATTGCTTTATGGGGTTGTTAATTTTTTTATGATATTAAACTTAGGTGAGCTTAAAACAAATAAATAAACTTTGCTCAAATGATATCCAATTTACTTGGCTGATGGAGAAATAATTCATTCTGAGGCTACATGTCACATTAAATTGGGGAAATAACAACTTCTTCTCAAGAATAAGCATTTAAAAAAATCTCAAGAAGGAAAAAAAGTCATAAGGCAGTATTTCAGAAAGAGTCACTCACCTTTCTATCAGGAGACTTAGTAATTCCTGAGGCTTACAAAAAGATCTGTATGTGGTAAGAAATGTTCGAACAAAATTGGGATCTAAAATAGAAAAAGAATGACTTAGGCAGCTTATGAAGACCTGTGATGATAGCAAAAACCATTCACTGTTACACAATGTAATGCAGACCATATAATAGCAACTATGCTTTAATGATGACTGAGGAAACAGGAAAAGGATATTAATTCCTGACAGATTTCAAGAAACAATCCAAGATAAGCAGAAGGATACTCAGTTGAGGACATTCTCACTTAAGGGACATGTTAAGCCAAACTAATGACAAGTAATGGAATTTTCAGAAGATTGATCTTTCCTTAGATTGCCAAGGAACTCAATACAGGAGGCTGAATGTAAAATAGTAAAAATAAAAAGCATGCTTAAAAAGGAAATCACACTTCTTGGTGCAAAAATAGACAACTAGAAGTACTTCTGATGTATTGAACTTTCATCAAGCCCATTTAATATTTCCAATATGAGTTGAACCTGTAAAGGGGCTCAACTGAAAACAAGCAAGAATTGTCTTCAGCCTTCATCTCAGAAGTGGAGCAAGGGCAGAGAACATAATTTCAGAATAAACAATCATTTTAGGAAATATTAAACAATCCGTTTCAAGCTGGAGTAAAAAGGTTGAAGGTACTTTTGCAATGATTGGCAACTCTTGCAGGATTGAATTTAACTTCATCTATTTAATATACTGCATATGGAGAAATCAACTTACTGTTGCTGTCTTTCCTTCCCTAACCAGCATGGAGAGAAAATGATTAGAACAAAGAAAAAAAACCCTTCACCTTATAGCTTATGCATACAATCCTTTTTCATTTAGTTGCTTATATTTCTCATCTTTTTGGAGAGCACTGAAAACATTTTTCCTACCCATGAAAGAAAGATGACCCAAATAGATAGAAACAGTCTTGGTTAATTGAATCCAGTCATGAAGAAGAGAACTTCTCTCAGTTCACTGATCTATGGAAACAGGGCATATTCTGTTTTCCCAGGTCTGCCCACTAACATAAGAATTAATTTCATCTTACTATCTCTTAACACTAGTTTGTTATACTAGTGCATTATAATCAGCCAGTTAGCTTTCACTCAGGATTCTTCAGCATAAGAAGGAAAGGGATGATCAGAGTCATTCAAAGGCCTATTACTGCTCATGGATGGCTAAGAGACATGTGTTAATTCTGCAGTAGAATCAAGAGAAGGACAGGCCATTTGCACACAAATGATAACAAAATGTTACAATTAGATATAATACTTTTTAGGTCAAACATACACACAATCAACCAGGATGCACATCTGTGAGAAATGTCTCTTCAATACAGGCATTTTAAAAGCTATAAAAGACCTTCTAAAAATAATAATCATTCCTGAATGCCTTAACAAAGGAAATTGATGCTATGCTGACGCACATGCATTCAATGTACCAAAACTTATAAATAGAATATCACAACCTTATCAGAGAAAAAAAATTGCAAATATTTTTTTAAAAACTGGAAATATTCACTCAAGAAACAGATGAGCTTATAAAAACAGAGAAGCAGCTTATGTTATACATGCCAGAATTTGAAGAAAGGTGAAACAAGTTTCTGAGTATGAATAAAAAAGCTCTATTATTGTCTACATGGAGTTCATAAGTAATCATCCTGACCTTTTTGTCCCATTAAACCACCATTTTCCATATATTAGTTACAAACAAAATCATGAATGGAATGAAAGAAGGAATTATCACACATCTGTTCTGCAAGGAGCTAAGCTATTGGCTCTCCTCTACCTACCAAATACAAAAGTCAGACCCATTAACATTCAAAAGCAGGATAATGAAGTTCTGGAAATCAAATCCTGGTTTAACCCAAAATGTAGCACATATTGCCATCCTTACATGAAACCAGACACTGCTTCCTCATTCTGGCTTCTTTGGAAGCTTATAACCATAGTTTCTGACCATAATGAAGTATAGTGCTAAACCATAGTTTATTTTAATGATAGATTCCTGAAACAACTAAAGTAGCTGGATCACACATAATCTAAGCATATCCCAAACATACCATGTTTAATGCAATATGAGGTGATGTTTTATGGGATTTTATATTGTGGATTTTTAAAGTTATAATCCATCCAGAGACACTTGGGTGTAAATTGGGCAGCCATATACAATGAATGGATGGACAGACAGACAGAAAGACAGATAGATAGATAAATAGTGTGGAACTAGCCTTGTTACACTGTCTGATCCGATAAGGAGCAGAACAGTAGCAAAAGAGTTAGATGCACAAGGAACAGCACAATTCTACAATCATATAAGCTTCAGACAGTAGTAAGCACTAGGACATGCATCTTCGTAAACACTTGAGTGAAACAGAGTCATGATTTCTTAAAAGTAATCCAATTATTATACTTTATCTGTAGCAGAGATATATATTAGGGCTTAGCCAAACATCTATTTTCAGATTCTTAGTCCAGATTTTAGTAAGTGAAAGGTAATACAATGGAATGCATAAAGCTAGGTATCTGAAAGATTGTAATATCAGCATTTATACTACTAATGATTTGGACCAAAATAGTGTTTGTATAATTTCTGTTATGCCAAGCCATACCAGATGGCCAATGAACAATCAAAAATACTTTTGAAAGGAAGTTCTTCTAGAGAATGGTAATTTCCGGCTTCCACCCATTTATGTGCAAGTGCTGTTCAAACACAATGATGAAATAAATGTTAAAAAACAGAAAGAAAATGTAGGTCATTTGGGGGAAAACTGCCTTGAAAGACTTCACGCAAAGTTTCTGCATAAATAAATAAAAATAAGAGTTTATTTTTTAATAGTAATAGACCTTTTCGCAATACTTCTTTCCTCTACTCCCACTGTCATTTCAAGGATGGAGATGGCATTCTGAGGATTTCTCAGAACAATACTTTGTCTTCTACTTGATGGGAGGCAGGAAGTTGTATTTCGGCCTGCAAGTATCCCCAGATTAGAGGTGAGTAATGTGGGTATGATTAGGATAAAACTGGGCTTTGAACATCTTTGGACCATAGGGGCCAAATATGCCCACATGACCAGCACTATGCTTATCCAAAGAAGATTACAGGAAGACATGATAGCTATTTTTAAATATCTGAAGAATTGTCAGAAAACAGGGCAGAGTTGTTTCAGAAGATAAGAAGTCATCAGTTTAAATTACAAGAAAGCAGACATTATTTGGACATCAAGAAAAAATTATAAAATATAACAACTGTTCCACAACAGAACAGACTGCCAGAGGATGTTGTGACCTTTGCTGGAGGCGTTTCAACTAAGGCATGTTTGATCATCTTTTGAAGATGCTATAATAATAGATTCTTGCACTGAACAGGAGGTTGGACTAGATGATTTCCAAGGTCCACTTGAAGACTTATATTGTGACTGTATGATGATTATCTGAGAAAAATATGACTTTAAAATATGTGAGTCTATTTATATGTAGATATATGCCAACAGAATGAACGTAAATGTAAAAATACAACTGGTTTATCATGAACTACTATGATAACTAATGAAAGATACAGGAGTGATAAGTTCTGAATGTGGGACACATCATTTTGAGCAATCTCAAAAAAATAGAAGCTTGAATTAAGAAGGCACTCACAGCTCACCCATACCTGCTCTAAAATACCTTGTTGCATTTGAATTGTAGCATTAGAGAAACAAAATTATAAAAAAGGATTGAATTACAAAATATTTACATGAATGTGAAATTTAAAGTTGGTTGCTGAATGTAGCAAGAGTGCTACAGACAATATAAGTAAAGCATACAAATGAATAAATGGAATGCTTAGGTATACCATTGAGCAGGGAACAAGATATACTGGTATGCACGATGTTCTTTTCATTGCTTATTTATAAATAAATGTGCAATAAATGTTTTTGGTGTTAACAGATGTGATGGCTGGGAGGTTTTATGCAGGTGATTTCTTTTATAGAAAATGTTAGGGTATATGATCCATAAGGAATATTCTTCTGAAAACTAACATATAAAAAAACCAAGGTTGTGTTTAACAGGAAAAAATGGAATGAACCATTACAAGTCATACCTAACTGTAAAAAAAACTATAATAAATCAATAAATTAATGGGCTTTGTTGTACAGTATTGTTTATTACAATAAGAAAATAAGAAAACAGAGAAATTTTAGGATATGCAAATGTTGGTAAAAAGATACTGTAATGGGCAGCATATTGTCTGTTGCAGGAAATAAATATTTATCAAATGAGAATTGGGTACAAAAATGAGTGACCACTATAAAAAAAATTCATTAGATGGTTGGCATTCAGAGACAATGAATGAAGATCAGATCACAAAACAAATACACAGAAGAATGAACAGGTGGAGAAGAAAGGGAAGACCAAAAAAACTGAAGTGATGAAATTGCAATTGAAATGCAGAAAAATGAAGAGTAAAAAACCAAAGAAAAGCAATGTATGAAGCAGCATATAGACAGATCAAAAACAAAGACAAAAAGGCACAAAGGTGAAGAAAATTGGTGTAAACTAGTTTTACTATGATTCCTTTTCCTTTCTTTTTCAATTGCATGTTTTAATTTCTTTGGCTTACTATTTCTTATTCCTTTTTGTATTTGATAGCTTAAGTTGCCCCTTCCAATTCCAATTTCTTTTTCTTTTGAGGGAAATATTTTCAGCCTTCAATTTTCAGAATATAAACAAATATGTTAACAGATGGGCTAGCCTAACATGCTATTTATAGTTAGAGGATATATTTCCTTAAAAATTGGCACTCAATTTTATCAGTCAGTGTGGTTCAGATATAACCATGCCAAAACTCCTGGGAATTTTAAACAGACATATGCAAAGGGAACATGGTAGAAGAGGCAAGGGGGGGGGGGCAATAGCATAAGGATTTATGGCTAGTGGAGAAAGACAGGAGGTTGCAGCCAGGACTGGAAACAAGAGAGGGTGACAGGATAAGACAGAAAAATGATTCAAAAAGCAGAACGACAAGATACTGGAGTTTGTTCCTGATGGAAAGGACCAGAGGCAACAACATGTAGAGGCAAAGAGGCACCAAGTTACTGGTGAGCAACAGAATTAAGGAAAAGAGATCTCTAGGGTCATAGCTGGGCTTCTGCTATGGGAGAGGGCAGCTTTGACACAAGCAATTGTGATCTTATGCTCAAAGGTTTTTAGATGATCTGAATCAAGTGACCCAGGAAATACAGCTTTACTGCAGTCATTTATTGCAGTCTTACAGTATCATCTTTACAAAATATTAAATATAAATAATTATTTAACAACATTGTGGGTTGCAGCATATTATTACAAAATCATTTTACTGGAATATAGGATTCCTTTTTTGGAAAATATTTTAAGCTACATTGCGGGCTGCAGTCCTGAAGACTACAAACAGAATGAATATTTAATGCCTGTTTATGTCTCCGACAGTCTCACAACTTAACAAACGGTGGTAGTACTTTATTATTATTTCATTGATCTCAATGCTTCTTTATATTTTAATGCAAAATTAAATGATCCAGCATCTAAGGCATAGAAGCCGAGCAATTTTACTTTGGTAACATGTTCTTAAAATTAAGAAGATGGCCAACAAAGCATATAAAACCTATTTAAGGTACAAGGTAAAGAAGAGATTTGATGTCTTTTTGTACCTGTATCCTTTGACCTTGTGAACGGGCTGGTACCGTTTTTTATTATTATTCTTTATGGGATGGCCTCAACCTGTTTTGCCTTTACTTTTATTGAAGGGATTCTTTTTATGTTTTGATTTGCTAGCCCCTTAGAGCCTTTAGGAATATCTAGCAAGTAAAATTAAATCAAATCCAACCTTTCTGGTTCTACTGGTATACAGAGACAATTAAAAAATAACTCAGATATTTTAAAGATTTGAAAAGATTCCTTACCAGCATACATGTGGAATGTAAGTCTCTCAATCAGTTTGACAACAGTTCCTGCCTTAATAATTGGGATTCCAGATTTGGGCTGCATGTTTTCTTCAAAAACAATATTTTCAGTAGAATCAGGTTCTGCAAATCTATATAGCTCAGGACTTGGAAATCTCATCTGCTCCTCTTTCTCTTCTTGCAACATTGTTACATCTAACATACGTTCTAGGGTACTTCTGTACTGTAAAGAGATCAAGGCTGCCATCCAGTTGTTCTTCTCTTCAGCTGATTTAGCAGCAAAAATAACACTGTTCTCATCTTTTAAAATGATTTCAAAAGCATGCTTGTACTCGTTAGTGTTATCTTTATCATTGATCTGTACCTTTCGCATAAGAAATTTCTCTTTCAGACGATATTCTGCATTGCTAGCACCAGGCAGTCTTGGCTGGCCATGATTTGATTTACAGCAGATCATGAGACCATCAAAGAGAAATATATGTCTTTCATGTTTGGCACCCACACGTGTGAGAGTTCCTTCCATAATAAACTCATTGCAGCACTGTCCAATATCTTTTCCTTCCCAGCCATCAATATTCTTTTGGATCTCATTCATCTTCTTGATTGCTAGCTGCTTCCCCTTCATTTGTTGACTATAGAATCGGCATGCAGATTCACTTTGAAAGAGGAGCAAGATGATATTTATTTATACAGTAACAATCAAATATTTAGCAGAAAAATAACATGTTTGTTGACAAGTAATGTGGAGAAGAGTTTAATAAGATCTAAAAGATGATAGAAAAGAACTCAGCAAGTTAGCTTCAACTCTATGCAAACAAATTCAGATCTGAAAGTGCTGTCATACTTAAAGATGTAATTGACAAATCCAGTCAGATTCCAGTCAGTCAGACATATTTAAACCGTCAAGTAGCAATTAATACTTTATTAACAAGTAAAAAAATATGAACATTACTTTCCATTCTTATGTATTACAATCACCACATGCCCTACACTATTACTGAATGAGTACGAAAGATGGTTAAATGCTCTAAATTAATCTGCAAGATATTTTTGTTTGGCTAATAGTTAATACAAACCATTTTTTCTTTCTGCTTACCAGTAGAGTCTCAAGATGCATTTACTAGAAGCATGAAGGCAAACACACATACACCTTTAAAACAATAGCTATCCGGACTTTGATGTCACTTCCTCTGAAAAATCATATTGTTGCAAACTACTTTGTTCGTTGTTTACTAAGAAAGGAAACTGAGAAATCCAGATTTATAGCATAGTGCTCCAGGACTAAAAAGTAAGAAGAAAACAGAAGTACGTTTACCTAAGCCTTCTCTTTGCAAGACTTTTGGAGCAAATTCTTTCCATACTACTCTGAAGATTAAGTAGGGCTGTAATAGCTTGCTTCAAGCACTCTTTATCCTCTTCATCTTCACTCTTCTCCTCTAATTGCTACGAACAGGAGGAGAATAATTTATACGAGTATAAAACCTTACAGATCAGTTATTATCTTTCAGAGGAAAGCATTTCTTTTTGATGCAGTTATACTTGTGATAATCTAACAAATAATAATAATGCTAAGAGAGGAAAGGGACAATTTATCTACGTAAAATTTCCTGGTGTTTACATGGAAAAAATCAATATTCTTCGCACAACACTGCCAGATACTGCCTTAAGAATGGATAAAAAATGAGCAAAACCTTCACTATGCCAATTCCTTTTTGGCTCTCTGGCTCAAAACAATAATCAGTTTGAGGAGGTGGGACTTACTGGAAGTGAAAGATAATTTTGACTAGGAAAAGAAGTGGAAGTGGCGGTGTGAAGGGGGTAGGAAGGAGAAGACAACAGCACTGAAATCCTCTCAATTCACTTTGCTTTGGATCTTTTTTTCAAAATAATAATTTTATTAATAGTTATATTGATAAAAATATACCAATGAAAAAATAAAAAAAATAAAAAATAGAAGTTGCAGAAAGAAAAAAGAAATAGAAAAAGAACTGTATAAAGAAATGACTCATGATTCAGAAGATTCATAACAAATATAAATAACTTTACTAACTTATCACCTTTTCTTAAAATACAACAAATAATCTTTTCTTCCCATGAAAAGATTATTTGTAAGCAAATCCCTAAAACCTTGCAATTTCAGTTCCGATCAGCAAAAGATCATTAAAAATCATCAGAGGCAACATACGAATCTTAATCTTGATCCAAGCAACTTTATATTCCTTAATTTTACTTTTAATAATCTTGATCTTTAGTCCTTTCAAATCATGTCCTAGAACTTGATTTCTTTTCATTTTTTGCCCTTCTCACAAAATTCTTCAAAGGTTTAACTCTTCTGTAAATCCAATATAGCAAAATTATCCAGGTTAGTCTCCTGATTTATTAGTTATATATCCTTTTTCATTATTAAGATATCAGCTAGTTTCTTTTGTATGTTGATCCTTTTCCACATTATTTTTGTAGTTTGTCATTTTTAAATCCACTTTCAGATCAGTCTCAGTTTTGTACAGTAAAACATGTTCCTCTTCCATAATATCTTTTATGGAGACAGTATATCTATAGAGGTAGACAACTCTTAAAATTAACTTCTGGATCCTTTGTTGAGGATCAATATGTCAAATGTTAAAATATTTTGCCCCATTCTGTATTAGTAAATTAAATTTAAGTGTTATTCTCCCTTAATTGTAATATTTACTTCCTTCTAGTTCCCTCTAGTATTCAACATTCAGAGTCCCATCCTATCATGTTTTTTTCTCTCTAAAAGAATTCAAAACAAAAGCATTTCCCACCAGATTATTATAATTAATTCCAAATCTTATTTCAAACTGTCGGGACCCTTAGTCTGTTTGTAACTTTCCAAAACAAAGCTATCACCTTTTTGCTGCTTATTAAAAAAAATAGGTCTTAAAAACTTATTTTGCTGAAAATTGAAGGAAACTCATCAGTTTTCCTAGTTTGTGATCCAAAGATTCTTAATAGGTAAAAAACAATTCACAGGCAATTTCCAAAACTGATTAGAAAAAAAACTTTGTAACTTCTGAAGGTGCCAATTATGGTTTGAACAACACGGCTATTTGTTGTCTCCCAGAACTCTAAACCAGAGGCCCCCAATCTTTTGGGCACCAGGGTCCGGTTCTGTGGAGAAAGATTTTTCCTCATGGAAAAGGAAGTGTGGTTTTGCATGCTGCCTGCATCCAGCAGATGGGGCTTCAGTTGTTTGCACGACCCGGTTGCTGGTATTCCTCGGCCCCTACTCTAAACTGACCGGAGGCAGCTATCTTGCAGTCTCATCACAAGGAGCAATTGTCTGGAACACAAGTAGGCAATTTCAAGTCCTCTCTTTCTCCAGAAAGGAATTAGGAAGACCCAGTCTACCTGCCAGCCTTCCATTCTGCCAATCCTTGGTTCTGCTTTTGCATTTCTTCCCTGCAAGTCCACCTTACTTTGGATCTTCACAAACCTAGCAGCTTTTCTGCAGATGGTTATGTGTTTAAAAGGATTACTGTAAATATTATTTTTACTAACTGCAACAGAAGAAATTCAGAGCAGTGATATTTATCTTATGAGGAATTAAAAAAGGCAAGCAGGAGAATTTTGAAGCCTACACATGGTCTGCCTAGCAGACATCTCCTAAATAAATTATGACATGAGATTTTTTTTTAAAATATGTCTTTGTTTTTGAAATAAACACTCTAATCAACAGTACAAAGTACTATGCATCAACACTAATTAGTACTTAAATAAGAAAACTACAAAAGTACCAAACAAATTTTAAAATAAAGTATAATTAGATTTATAGTATACTATTTATTTTTGTTACATGTGGATTTTTTTAGTTTCAACATGGAAAAGAAATGGTGTAAAACTGCTAGAGTAAGAGCAGGAAGATTTAGTGCTGTGAATGACTTTGGGCCAGTCATCTTCTCTTAGCACAATCTATTTCACAGAGTGGATGTTTTTAAATAAAAATGGGAAAGGGTCTTATGTATTCTTGGCTGAATCTAAATTAAATAAGAAACAAACCCTGAGTTTATAAGACTGATAAAGTAACACTTAGCAAATGTTGAAGTCTTTAAGCAAAAATAGTTTTCTTTACATTTTAGTTAACATGATACAAATCATTATGAAAAACAGCCACTTAAATTCTTCTTCCTCATTCCCTAGTTTATGAACTCTGCCACTGAACTGGCAGTATCACGCTCAAAATACATATTGAAATTCCTGAAAATGGAGAACTTCTTTAGGGATATACCTCTGATAGTTTATTGAAAACCTCATAAATATTAAATTGAATTATTTTTTCTTACCTTTAAAAGTTCAAAATAGTGAAGACAATGGTAAACAGGAACTAGAAGTAGCCTAGGTAAAACATACTGAACAGCTTCTTTAAAACCATATCCAATTGACTGGAAATTAAAAAAAAGTATTTCAGTATTACAAGTAAGTCTTACGATACCTACAATATCCATTATATAAATGTATTACTTAACATACCTGCAAATAGAAGGCTGCTCCAGGCTTTGATAATTGGCTAAGAAAATGATCATGAAAGCCAGTCCGTAAACTATCTTGAGTGTATGTTTCATAAGGATCAAATGCTAGTTCCTAAAGAAAGGTTTGAAGGATATTTCAACTATCTCATTGCTTCAAATGTTCATGTCAACATACATTTAAACATTCATGAATCTACCGCATTTCCCTGAAAATAAGACCCAGTCTTATATTTTTTTTGCCTCCAAAAGAGGCAGTAAATCTTATTTTGGGGGATGTCTTATTTTTTCCCCCGAAACCTGCCTCGCCTCGTAGCGACGGCACCAACAGTCCTGTCCAGCAGGAGGCTGCATGGCTGCCGGCCCACTTCTGCGGTCACTCGGTGCAACAAAAGTCTCCATTTGACTTAACTCTGCTTATAAAGGAAATCCAAATGTTTGTTGGAATGGTTTAAAGAATTATATACCGATTTTTAGAAAAAAAATTTCCTTTGAAAAATATAACTTGTTTATATATTTATCGAATAGTCTGCCCAAAATTAATTTGGGATTAAGTGGCTAAAATAAATTTAAAAAAATGATTTTTCTCATTCTCTCCCACTTTAGAAGCTCCCACCATCAGGTGGAAATAATTTGTTTTTATGTTTTCAGAAGTTGTTAAAAGTTTCAATAAAAGAAAATTGGAATAAATTACAATAGTAGTTAAAACAGCAGAAATTAAAATTGGAAGAAATAGAATGAAAAATTACAAATATCTTTTTCCTATTACCAGAATAGTGGTATGTGTGCCAAATAGATCTCTATAGGATCTGGAAATGGGTCTCCTGGGGAAAATGGGTGGTTTCTAAATTTGATAGATAAATACAGGTAGTTCTTGCTTAACAACTATTTGTTCAGCAACTGCTCAAAGTTACGGCGGCACTGAATGAATTATACTAATGCCTGGTTCCTGAAGTTACGATCGTTGAAGCATCCCTGAGACATATGATCAAAATTTGACTACTTGGCAGTTTACTTACACTAATGACCGCAGAGACACTTTAAATCCTCTCACCTTCCCTATCGTTTCCCATCTCTGAAGTAAAGCCCTAGGAGTTTCATCACCTAGCTGCTACTTGCCCTTGAGCCTCTACTTCAGTCCCAGTGCTGTCACAGCCAAGGAGTGCCACCTCAAGCCCCACCGGGCTAGTTATCCCAGTGCCAAGACCCGGCCACCCTATGGCCTGCACATGATTTGAAGAACAGCAGGCACAATCTTCTCATGATGGTTGGAAGGTCTTATAAGTTTTCTGAAAGCTTTATAAAGCATTGTGAGAATGGTGCGAGTGGCCTTGGGCAGAAGGCCTAGCATGGTCAGCAGCTGCCTTGCGTAGGGCCAGGTGTGACTTGTTAGCACCAGCAGTAAGATAGTGAAGGTGGGTGTGGCAGGGCCTATAGAATGCAAGGAAGTGGGAACAGCTGTTGCTTTCTGCTGTGATGTCTGGGCATGGCACGGGGCTTGAAACGGCACTCCTTGTTGGTTCTGGAGGCTCTCAGGCTAAAGTAGAGGCCCAGCGGGGGGAATTGTTACCTGAGACTGCTGAAGACCCCAGGCCTCTTCTTTGGCTCGAACACCAAGCTATTCTATTGTGCAGGAAAGCCAAAAGGGCAGAGTTGAGGGTGGGAGATACCATCATAACTCAAGGACTACCTGTACTAATCTTCAAGCCAACATAAATATAGCTCCTCTTTAGGATCTATACATTCAAGAGGTCATTCCAGAGAAAGGTAGGGGCTTCAACTGTATTCCCTTTCTCTTGAACTCTCCATCAATTTGGACAAATGTCAGGAAAGGGCTTTAGGTCTAAAAAGTAATGAGATATTATGGTATTATTGTACAATATTATTGTATGATTACATTATTCAGTTTGCCTCAGTAGCTTAGCCATGTGTTTGTACTAACTGAAATTTAGTTATACACCATAGTAAACGAAATAGGATGGCACTAAGACTTAACTGCAGAACTCTATGCTCAACACCTAGCTTCATCAAATGACTGAAGGCTTCATAAAATCTAGGAAAATCAACATGATCACACCTCTTTTGTCTTTCATATAGCAAAAATTATTCCAGAAGGCAACCAAGACTGAATACCTAAAACAAACACTGGATTAAAAAGTTTAACTTAGAGTATCTAAAAGTAATCAACCACTGTTTGACTGAAGCATCTTCAGCATCTGTTAATAGTGTTGGAAAAAAGTTTAATTGAAGATTCAACTTAAAGATAATCTTATTAATTTCTAAATCAGATTAATCGTCAAGCTGAATCAGCTACCTTCAAATCTATTCAATAGCTTTTGCATGTCAAAGATTATTTTCTCTAAACAAAATCAATGTTTTGTATAAAACCAAAACTAATCCATAAACCCGACAACATTTTTTTTGTGAAAATACAACTGTAGGCCACACAATTTGCTAATTACAGTTAAAAAAACATAGCAATGTCATACTTCAATCCTGAGGCAAAAAAAAACGGCTGACAACATGGCATTACATTTTTTTTAAAGATGCATGATATACCCAAGTCAAAAATACAGGAAAATAGAGCATAGTAGCCCATTCATAAACAATGTTACCTACCTCAGCTAAATCTTCAAAACAGCTTCCTACTAATGGATGGGGACTGCCTTCATCAGTCATTTCTACTGTATCTTCAATATGGCCTAGCAACTTCACACTAAGTTCATGAATGTCTGATACTCGGCTGAATATATTTTCTACATCCTGCAAAACAAATATATTGGTAAATAATATATAGAAGTAGGAATTGAGATATTTAAATACTAAATATGTTGATCATGGGACATCCTACATAGAAAATAATGAAACAGTATTCCACGCCATGGACCTCCATAGCCAACTTCCATTACTTATCTCATTACTCTATATTTAGACTGCACAGACACTTTTCCACCTTAGGCACAAGGCTCTTAAGATTCTCTTCTTTAATTAGATTTGAAGAAAGTGATTTATGACAAGTCCTCTCACTTAGGACCGTCGCAGTGTCCCTGCAATCACTTCTACTTATGGCAACGGCAGCATTTCAGTGGGGAAAACTGGGTTCACTTAATAACCACAGCCCCCCCAGCAAAAAAAAAATCAGCTGGGATACATGACCACATTGCTTAGTGATGGAAGTTGCAATCCCAACTGTGGTCATAAATCAAGAATAGTCTGTACGGAGAAATACAAAATATTCAAATGCTTTATTTTACAGGGGGTGGGGTGGCGGTTGTGAAAGTTACAACATTTCATAGACTGTTGTTATTTGTACAGATTCAGTTTTATTTCTTTGCTACATTACATATTAGCAAATTAATATTACATCTAGACTGCTTTTTTACTGTATCTATAAAAATTACAGTAATTAAGTGTGTATATATTATGCACACACATATAATGTAGAATAGATTTGAATGGCCTAATTTATTGGAAATTTTTATGTTTTAATGTTAATTGCATTCTTGTTTGTATTTATAGCCATTTTGGGCAGGAAATTGCCTCAAAAGGAAGCTCACCATAATATTTACAAGATTCAATTGGCCCCTAGTATTAAAAATCTAAATTACTATTCATAAAATGATATAATGATGTGTAACTTGGAAGGGTCAGTCAGGTCCAGAAATATTGGGACATCGCCACAATTCAAACATATTTGGCTCTATACACCACCACAATGGAGTTGGAATGAAACAAACACAATGTGCTTTAATTGCAGACTGTCAGCTTTAATTTGAGGGTATGTACATCCAACTCAGGTGAACGGGGTAGGACTTACAGCAGTTTGCATATGTGCCTCCCACTTGTTAAGGGACCAAAGGTAATGGGACAATTGGCTTCTCAGCTGTTTCATGGCCAGGTGTGTGATATTCCCTCATTACCCCAATTACAATGTGCAGATAAAAGGCCCAGAGTTCATTTCAAGTGTGCTAATTGCATTTGGAATCTGTTGCTGTCAACTCTCAAGATGAGATCCAAAGAGCTGTCACTATCAGTGAAGCAAGCCATCATTAGGCTGAAGAAACAAAACAAACCCATCAGAGAGATAGCAAGAACATTAGGCGTGGCCAAAACAACTGTTTGGAACATTCTCAAAAAGAAGGAACGCACCGGTGAGCTCAGCAACACCAAAAGACCCGGGAGACTACGGAAAACAACTGTGGTGGATGACCGAAGAATTCTTTCCCTGGTGAAGAAAACACCCTTCACAACAGTTGGCCAGATCAAGAACACTCTCCAGGAGGTAGGTGTATGTGTGTCAAAGTCAACGATCAAGAGAAGACTTCACCAGAGTCAATACAGAAGGTTCACCACAAGATGTAAACCATTGGTGAGCCTCAAAAACAGGAAGGCCAGATTAGAGTTTGCCAAACAACATCTAACAAAGCCTTCACAGTTCTGGAACAAAATCCTATGGACAGATGAGACCAAGATCAACTTGTACCAGAGTGATGGGAAGAGAAGAGTACGGAGAAGGAAAGAAACTGCTCATGATCCTAAGCATACCACCTCATCAGTGAAGCATGGTGATGGTAGTGTCATGGCGTGGGCATGTATGGCTGTCAATGGAACTGGTTCTCTTGTATTTATTGATGATGTGACTGCTGACAAAAGCAGCAGGATGAATTCTGAAGTATTTCGGGCAATATTATCTGCTCACATTCAGCCAAATGCTGCAGAACTCATTGGACGGCGCTTCACAGTGCAGATGGACAATGACCCAAAGCATACTGCAAAAGCAACCAAAGAGTTTGTGAAGGGACAGAAGTGGAATGTTATGCAATGGCCAGGTCAATCACCTGACCTGAATCCCATTGAGCATGCATTTCACTTGCTGAAGACAAAACTGAAGGGAAAATGCCCCAAGAACAAGCAGGAACTGAAGACAGTTGCAGTAGAGGCCTGGCAGAGCATCACCAGGGATGAAACTCAGCGTCTGGTGATGTCTGTGCATTCCAGACTTCAGGCTGTGATCGACTGCAAAGGATTTGCAACCAAGTATTAAGAAGGGAAAGTTTGATTTATGATTATTATTCTGTCCCATTACCTTTGGTCCCTTAACAAGTGGGAGGCACATATGCAAACTGCTGTTAAGTCCTACCCCGTTCACCTGAGTTGGATGTACATACCCTCAAATTAAAGCTGACAGTCTGCAGTTAAAGCACATTGTGTTTGTTTCATTCCAACTCCATTATGGTGGTGTATAGAGCCAAAGATGTTCGAATTGTGTCAATGTCCCAATATTTCTGGACCTGACTGTACAACCATTCATTTAGGGACCATTTGAAGTTACAAAGGCACTGAAAAAAGGTTTATGACCGTTTTTCACATAACCACTGCAGCATCCCCATGGCTACATGATCAAAATTCAGATGCTTGGCAACTGATCCATATTTATGACAATTGCCATGTTCCGAGATCATGTGATCACCTTTTGTAATCTTCTGACATGACAAGCAAAGTCAATGGGGAAGCCAGATTCACTTAACAACCGTGTTACTAACTTAACAACTGCAGTGATGCACTTAACAACTGTGGCAAGAAAGGTCATAAAATGGAGCAAAAGTCATTTAACAACTGTCTCACTTACCAACAGAAATTTTGGGTTCAACTGTGGTCATAAGTCAAGGACTACCTGTACCAACAGTTATATGTGCCGTGGGGGCAATCCCAAAACAACTAGAACACTACAGCTGTTCTACTTTTATTTGCAGGTCTTTGAATTCTGTGATTTTTTCTAGTTCTTTCTTTTCTATTTTCCTGCCTCCAGGTACTGCAGTGTCCACTAGCCAGACTTGTTTGTTTTTCTTATTAACAATTGTTAAGTCTGGAGTAAAATGTGATAGGTACCTATCTGTTTGAATTCAAAAGTCCAGAGCAATTTAATTTCTTCATTTTCTATTACTTTGTTTATTTTGTGGTCCCACCAGTTACTTGCAGGTAAGTGGTATTTCTTGCAGATATTTTAATAAACCATTGTTGCTATGCCTTTGTTTGTAGCCAGTCTACCACTTTCAGTTACCATCTTGAATAGTTTAATATTATTCACTATTTGCCTAGTTCACTGCCAAGCCTAGATTATTTATGAACAAAATAAATTCCAACAGAGCCCTGAAGGACTCTTCTTCCTTATCTTTACCATCAAAATGTCTTTTTGAAGGGTTTTTTGGAGGCTTTTGTTTTTACTTTATAGTCTTTCTATTTTTTAACAAAGGAGAAAAATCCTCTTATGATATGAAGGCTATTTAAAAACATTTGATGATGGTTTTTATCTATTTGTATGTTCAAAATGTTTTTAATAATGTCAGTAGGATCACCTCATCCTCATTTCTGTTGAAACTCTCAAGGAATTCTAGAAGCTTGATTAGACTTTTAGAAGGTTAAACTGGTGACTATATCTTAGTTCTAGAAGAAAGTTGGCATACATATAGAATAAGGTATGTTGCATATATGTAGATAACCAACAGAATTTGGGGCTCGAGTGGTTATACTGGTATTATAATCTTAAAGGCATATATATATTTAGAACAAGTGTGCATTTGATTTTAAGATACTATGCTCATTATGTTTTCTCCTAATCAAGCCCTCTAATAAAACACTTTTCCTAAATAATACTAACAATATATATAAAAATAAATTCAAGATACTTACATGACCTGAAAACAATTTTGGATTGGTAATAAAAGGTTCTCTAAAAACTTTTATTATGAGATTCAGTTCCCTTATGTATTGACGAACTTCTGCCATGAATGACTTTACAAGATCATAATAGGTTTGTTCTCCTGATGTGGAAGGTTCCTCATCAGATAACGTCAGGGTACTAATATCTTCTACATCTTGATGAAACATATCCATCAACACCTGTTTGAAAAAGAGGAAGATTTTAATATCATATATCAAAAAGATAACATATTGTACTGTCAGTGTGGAAATAACACAATATATAAGCAAGTACTACTTGCCTGATAATCATTGGCAGAAGGAAAATTCTTACGATCAACGATGATTCCTTACTTTAAGTAAGCTTAACAACTCGTGGATATTTCATCACAATCTCATTTGACACTTAAGAAAGCAGTTAATTATACAGAATTGTGCAACAGTCAGAATCTCAAGATTCTGTTACAGAATTTCATTCAGAAATACTGATCAGTGCACCAATATCATGAACCACCAACTAAACAATGGAAAGTGCAAAGGAGATGTTCATTATTTCCTCTTTAAGCTGAAAGACCTAGATATTAGCATGAAAGATGAAGCTAACAGAAACAAATGAGAATTCAATTTCTTATTTCTCAGAAACCCATGCCCATGTCTAAATTCAGCTAGTACCAAGATGACATAACTATAAATATGACTGTATATACCTTGTCAGCACACATTGCCACTTTGATGTCCTGTTTAGTAATTTCATCATGTCTTATATTTCGTACATAGTTTCCAACTAATTTTAAAATATCTGCAGAAATGTATTCCAATACAGCTACAATGTAAACAGATACTTGATGGTCAACTTTATATCCCAGGACTTCCTGAAAGAGATAAACTTATTTTAATATTTCATTTATACCCAGACACACTTAATAAATGTATACATTTAAATATGGAAAATTATTCAACCAAAGCAAAGAGAAACATTGACAGATGCACAAATTTATTTACTTTCCTGTAGATACTAGAGCAGAGGTCCCCAACCTTTTGGGCACCAGGGACCGGTGCCACGGAGAAAGGTTTTTCCATGGACCAGAGTGGATGTAGTTTTGAATACTGCCTGCATCCTGCGGATGGAGCTTTGCTTATTTGTGTAGCCCGCTGGCTGGCATGCTGCAGACTGGTGCTGGTCCATGGACCAGGGATTGAGGACCCCTGTACTAGAGGAATCATGGAGCACACCATGTGGGTCAAAGGAGCAAAGGTTTACTTTTCGTTTCTGAATGTCTGTTTTTACGTTTTCATAAAATGCCATATCAGTCATAATTTTGGGATTTTCCTTCACCTTTGGTTTCTACGCTACTTCATTTATGAAGAATTAGTATTCTAAAGCTTGCACATGTTATTTTGTAATAACAAAGTATCTATTTGAAATATTGATATGGCTGTCCAATTCAGACAATGTGACTCAGATTGGTATATAAGAGCTAATCAAACACAGCACAGACCATTAAAAACCAAATAAACCAATAAAATGGTGATCAGAACTGACATACACAATATTCACCAACTGGGAGTTTTGCTCATCTGGAATCAAACACTCAGAGACAGATCAGATTTTAACTGACTTGCTGCAAAATCAGGCCCAACCATTTGTCAAGGGAGATAGGAGTGGGGAATCATTCCAAAGGGCAGGGACTAGTACTGAGAAGGCACACCTAGTCCTACAAAGCTGATATTCAGAGTAAACTATCTTGCAGCGTATGGGGTGAGCAGATACCCTGGGGAGCAGGCAGTCCCAAATATAACCGAGAATTTGACTGTTCAGTATTGGATGCTGCACTATTTAATTAAATGTTTGGTATTAGTGTTTTATTAAACAAAGTATAGTAATTCAGATGACACATTGGTGATGGCATATGCATTTTTAGAATTATATTGTATTGTGAGTTAAACATGGACACAGCTTAATTCTTTATATATATATATATAATTCATGCATTTATACTGAAAAATGTAACAACTAATTAAAATTTTCAGAATCCAAAGAGCCCAAATCTTGCATTTAGACTGGCTAAGAATACATATTACTTTTCACCCATATTGGTTATAAAAATAGATGTAATTTAAATTATTTAATATTGCCACCCACTCCAGAAGATTCTGAGCAGCTTACAAATTCAATAAAAAGAACAGAATAAAACAGTTAAAAAAAACCTACATGATTAGGCAGCCCAGACTAAGGCAGCTAGAACGAGAAATGATGGCAGCAGTATGGAATAAAGATATTATGGGGTTCTGACCAATAGATCACTCTTACATTAACACCATGCTCTGGATCAGAGACAGGTTCATAATTTCACTTCTTTCAAGGAAGTATCGCAGAGCTGTCAACCAGTAGAACAGGTTGAATCATGAAGGCTCCATCATTTTGCGTTCACTGGAAGTATTTAAACAGAGGATGGATAGCCATCTATCCAAAATGTTTTAATAGATCCTCCACTAAACAGGTGATTAGACTGCATGATCTCTGAGATCACTTCCAATTCTATGGCGTTATGAAAACTATAATCCTCAGCCTTTCTCCAGAGTTATGGCAAGTGTAGGTTTTCCAAGTCTCAAAGTATCACGTGCCACATATAACAAGGAAGAAACCCTTTTCAAAACCTAAAGAAGGGCAGGGTTAATGCCTGATCTTTGCTTTGCTGAAGCACCTCCAAATTCTCCATCATCTAATCCTCATCAGAGTAATGGGAGAAACAGCATACTGACAGTCAAACTTTCTGACTGGCTACTAATGCCAATTAAAATAAGTAGATATCTTTATTAATCTTTATTAATTAAGAGTGACAGATTGTTTAAACAAGATCTAGATGGACTGGAAAATAAATTCTATTTATAAGTTTTAAGAAATTGGTTTCTTTCAAAATATTACTGGTTATTTGAAAAACAAACTAATCTATTGAATTTGTAATATCTTATATATTATGTTCATATTACTTACCTTTAAGAGTGGATGAATTTTTTCTACTGGAAGAAATAATGGATTTCTTCGCTTCCTCTTTTCAATAGCAGATTGCGCATCAGCTATTGCCCATTTATCAATCGGATGAGGAAAACTTTTTTGGACACGATCCTTGTAACAGGCAGAGGAAGTACAGTTAAATATATAAACAATGGATAGCTTTTTGCGTTCCCATGTCCTAAGTAACTAAAGTTACTTTTAGGGATGGGGGAGATTTTTTTAAAACTCTGTATTTCATTTCACCTACAAAGCACAATGTATAAGTAACATGTACAGGAAATTATTTAATCCAAAAATATAATGGAATAGGCTCAAATAAATTATACACAACTGATAAGACCCATGGTGGTGCAATGGTTAGAATGCAATATTGCAGGCTAACTTTGCTCAGCCAAGTGTTCAATCCTGACCAGTTCAAGGTTGACTCAGCCTTCCATTCTTCCGAAGTTGGTAAAATGAGGACCCAGTTTGTTGGGGGGGGGGCGCGCAACATGTTGACATTTGTAAACAGCCCAGAGCACAGGTCGGCAACCTGCGGCTCCGGAGCCGCATGCGGCTCTTTGAGCCTTCCCCTGCGGCTCCCAGCCTCCTCTGCCTTTGCAGAGAGAGACAGAGACAGAGAGAGGCAATTGCACTTCCCTGCTTCTCTCTCTCTCTCTCTCTCTCTCTGTGTGTGTCTGGGTGTGTGTGTGTGTGTTTTGTGTGTGTGTGTGTGTAAAAGAGAGTGCACTCACAGTGTTCTCCGAGGAGCTGAAAAGCTTTCTGGGCGGAGCTCCTCCCTTTGCTGCGTCTCTGAAGGAAGCAGGAAGCAGGAAGGGCAGGAGAGAGCTAGCTAGCCCAGCTAGGCTGACTCAGGAATTCTGGGAGTTGAAGTCCATGAGTCATAAAAGAGACGAGGTTGCTTACCCCGGAGGTTGTTGGACAACAGCTTGAAGCTTGCCAGGTGAGCAGCAGATAGGAGGGGGGGGGGGAGAAAGAAAGAGAGAGAAAGAGAGAGAGAGGGAGAGAGAGAGTGGGGGAAGAGGAGTGGCAGACCAAGGGCAGATAGAGAGGGAGGGAGAAAGAGAGACACACACACAGAGAGAGACCCTTTTGACATCTAAAATGAAGATAACACTGCAAATATCCTTTTTTTACCTGTGTGTGTATGTAATTTTATTCTCTTAAAGCATTCTCTTGGTGATCATTGTTTTAATAGTATGGATATTCCCAAGAGTCATATTTTTACTTTTATTTTTAATGTGTATATGTGTGTGTGTGTGTCTCTGTGTGTGTGTGTGTGTGTGTGTGTACACACACACACACACACACACACACATACACACACCTATAATAAAGGTAAAAAAGGATATATGCAGTGTTATCTTCATTTTATCAAAAGGGTTTTGCGGCTCCCAGTGTTTTGTTTTTGATGGGAAGCGGGTCCAAGTGGCTCTTTGAGTGTTTTGGGTTGCCTACCCCTGGCTCAGAGTGTGCTGTAAAGCACTATGAAGCAGTATATAAATCTATTACTATTGATAGGCATTTAAAACAATTAAGCAAATAACAGTTTTATATGACATGTTTAAAAATAGATATAATGGCATTAGACAAATATCCCTTCAGGGTAACATTTGAGAACTGCAATGTTGCCGAAGAATGTCTTCATTCTACACTTATCTTACAAAGATACTAAGATAAGATCCTCATCCAATTATTTTAATGCACAGGTGATCTAATGGGTGGAATACTCTTAAGATCTTTAGGATTTAAGATATTTTGAATATAAAGATATGAACAATTAAAATCATGCTCAGAGGTGAATGGGCAGCTGCTAAATTTTTATTCAGTATATGATTCCACATATTCAAATCAGCTTACATTCTAACTGCAAAATTCTGGAGTAGCAGATGCCAACATACTCTAACAGGATCAAATCTAATTTTCTGCTTCATAACATTTTATTTACTTATTATGTTTCCTATTTCTAAACCTCCCATATCCCTCATACTTGTGTCAAAGGAGTTTTCAATATAACAGTAGAAACAAACAATGCAACATAGCAAAATTATGTCAAAATTTCATAACAATTCAATATATATTTTATACTCAAGTATCCATAAGTTAAAAATAAATTATGGGTATTACTTAATACAGATAGGTCTCAACTTATGATCACAATTGAGACCAGAATTATCATTAGAAGTCATAGCAGTCATAAATCAAATCAGACTTGATTTTATGACAATATTTATAGCAGTTGTTAAGTGCAGTCATTGTGAACTGTCATTAAGCAAGCAGTTTTAAATTGAGGACTACCTGTATATCAGCAAGAAGAACATCAATAATGTACAGAATTGCAAATGAACTACAAGTGGTACCTCTACATCTGAGGAACTTCTTGGCTGAGCTTGGCACAGCATATTTAGTAATTGCAGAATTAACTCCTCAACATACTGCAAAGCATCTTCTGTAGAAGATAGTTTGGGATGGACTTGCATCTGGACCTATATTCAATAAATAATTGAACTTATAAGAAAATCCATTACAAAAATGTGGGCAGCTAAAAGCCTGGCGGCCCACAAAAGGCATATATTAAAAACTTTAGATTCAGACGGTAAACTGTAGAAAGGAATAAGAAGCACAAAGAATAAAAGTAGCATTACAGTCAAGACAAAGAACTGTGCATCGGAAATTTCTGGTTCAGATTTATGAACTACTATGAACTCATTAACTTATTAACAGATATCTATATCTTTTATTATTTTTAAAATATGAAAAACTATATATAAAACATAGGTGATATATTATAAAATGTAAGATTAAACATTTATGCATTCTATAGTATATTTTAATTTTTGCTGGGAGAATGGGCAATAAAATGTGATCTAAAAAGATATTGCAACAACGTTTTAAAGAGTGAAGTGGTGGAAATCCTAAACTTCACCGTAACACAGAAATATTGAAAATTCAACAGGTTGACCAACTTTTAAGTACCACTATGCACAAAAATGTTGTAAAGGATATCAGTATTATGCTAATGTTGAGTGAGATGGGTTATTTCTAAATTTGATGTATAAAATAAGTAAGTAAAGTTTAATTTTATTTATCTGCAGAAAGCATGATTATAATATGAAGAATCTGAAGTAATTCTTACTTTAGTGACAAGACTAAAAATATAAAGCATTTGGAAACAGCAGTAAATCTGAATATTCATCTATACTTTCCAGATAAACACTATGCATTAATTCACTTTCCTGTAACTTTCATCTGATTGAAATCTATATTTTTTTAAAAAATACCACCATATTCACTTACTCAGAAAATGACAATGCTTTCAACTATCAAGTTTCATATTTAGTGATGTAAAAATCATGTATCTTTAGTTGTAAAGCAGACTACAAAAAAAAGACTCAACTCATATTAGCACAAATCTTTATGTTCACTCATTTGATGAAAAAAGACTAGTATCTGAAGCAATTAAGAAATAGAATTAGACACTGATCTAATTCAAACAACAATATCTGATGTAGAACACACTCTTTATTTTATAAACAAAGGAGATTCAAAAGCTATTGTTTGATTGTAGAACATACTAAAACTGTAATGTGGCTTGTGTGGTTTTGATGCTTATTAAATAAGCCATCATTAATCAACACAAAGCTTAGTATGACATTTGAGTAAAAGATCCACTAAACACTGTCCTTCAGCAGTGACCAGTCAGATATTGAAGAACCTCATAAGCAGGAAATAAAGGTCATGATTATAGGCTTGCTTGCCTCAAACAGCTTCTCGCAGCTTTATTGCCTCAGTATATGAAGTCCTGTTTAATTAATATACAATCAGTTTCCCATATGTGTATCTAACGGCTAGGTATCCTGTACATACATACATACATGCAGATCTTGTGAGTTATGGAAAGATGGAAAATTCTGTCAGCAATGGCTGGATGAAGGTTACTTTGGTAATTGGACAGCTTAGCTGAATTCAAACTGTTGAACTCACTGCTTATGTCAATGACACAATTAATCTGCATCCCTTGCGTTCAATGTGAGGATGCTTAAAATACAACAAAGACAGGCCTGAAAAGTTTGATGAAATTGTTCTTCACTTGCTGCCTAGGTCAACAAATACCAGCAAAGCTGGGAATAAAGGAGACTTACTTTCCAAAGCTATTACTTCCTTTCTGTCTCCTTCCTTTTATTATTGTCTTCCCCAGGGTCTTCAAACTTGGCCCTTTTATGACTTGTGGACTTCAACTCCCAGAATTCCTCAGCCAGCGTGCCTGGCTGAGGAATTCTGGGAGTTGAAGTCCACAAGTCATAAAAGGGCCAAGTTTGAAAACCTGGTCTTCCTTCATGTTTTATATACATTATTTTTCTATACACGGTTCAACAAACATTAATACCACTTTACAATGCCTTGGTAAGGCCACACTTGGAATATTGCATCCAGTTTTGGTCACCACGATGTAAAAAACAGATCTTGAGACTCTAGAAAGAGTACAGAGAAGAGCAACAGAGATGATTGGGGGGACTGGAGGCTAAAACATATGAGGAACAATTGCTGGAATTGGGTATGTCTAGTTTAACAAGGAGAAGGATGAGGGGGGACATGATAGCAATGTACCAGTATCTGAGAGGCTGCCACAAAAAAGAGGGAGTCAGGCTATTCTCCAAGGCACCTGAAGGCGGGACAGGAAGCAACGGATGGAAACTGATCAAGGAGAGAGGCAACCTGGAACTAAGGAGAAACTTCCTGACAGTTAGAATAATTAACCAGTGGAACAACCTGCCTCCAGAGGCGGTGAATGCTCCAACACTGGAGGTTTTTAAGAAGAGACTGGACAGCCATTTGTCCGAAATGGTGTAGGGTTTCCTGCCTGAGGAGGGGGTTGGACTCGATGACCTTCAAGGTCCCTTCCAACTTTATTATTATTATTATTATTATTATTATTATTATTATTATTATTATTATTATTAAAATCATCTTCTAGAAAACTAGAACACAACATAGAGATCAATACAAATATCATTCCAATATTGTATGAGATTAAAACAGACATAGACCACAGCTTGGGGTTTCACTTCGTCCTCCCTTGCCAAAGTTGATCTCTGTTTGGATCTTTTGTCCAAATTAAATAATGAGGCTTAATTTCTCCAATCCAAAAACATCAATTACACATTTGTTTGTGAGTAGGACTTACACTAAGATTTCTAAATAAGCATAGTAATTACACTGAATAATTTGGCTAGCAAATAAAAAGAGACAATAGAATAAATTTGTAATGACAGAAATATTAGCTAACTGTGAGAACAGCAAGTAGTTTAAATATAAATACAAGCCTGCCTCTCTCTCTCTTTGTGTATGTGTACCACAACCTACTGCTTAGTAAGCTAGTAAGATAGACAACAACACTATCAGATGGATCTGTAGCTGGCTGACAAACTGTATTCAGTGAGTAGTCCTCAATGGTACTACATCCATATGGAGAGAAGTAAGCAGTGGAGTACCACAAGGCTCCGTCTTAGGCCCAGTACTCTTCAATATCTTCACTAATGACTTAGATGAGGGAGTAGAAGACGAGCTCATCAAATTTGCAGATTACACTAAACTGGCAGGAATAATCAACACCCCAGAAGACAAGCTCAGGATCCAAAAAGATCTTGGCAATGGGCCCTACCAAACTTGAACAATGGGCCCTACCAAACAAAATGAATTTTAATGTGGAGAAAAGCAAAGTTTTACATTTAGGTACAAATACAGATTAGCTGAGACCTGGCTCAAAAATAGTAACTGTGAGAGGGGCCTTGGAGTCCTAGTGGACGATCAGTTGACTATGAGCCAGCAGTGTATAGCAGCAGCCAAAAAAGCTAATAGAATCCTGGATTGTATAAACAGAGGCATAGAATCAAGATCACACAAAGTATTAGTACTGCTTTATAAAATAGTAAGACCACACATGGAATACTGCAACCAATTTTGGTCATCATACTACAAAAAACATGCTGAGACCTTGAAAAAAGTTCAGAGAACAGCAAGTAAAATGATCAAAGACCTGGAGACTAAAACATATGAAGAACAACTGCAGGACTTGGGTTTGGCTAGTCTAAAGAAAAGAAGAAACAGGGGCAACATGAAAACAGTATTCTAGTATTTGAGAGGCTACCACAAAGAAGAGAAGGCGTCAAACTATTCTCCAAAGCACCAGAGGACAAGACAAGAAACAATGGTTGAAAACTGACCAAAGAGAGAAGGAACCTGGAATTAAGGAGAAACTTCCTAACAGTGAGGACAATTAACCAGAGGAATAGCTTGCCTTCAGAAATCATGGGCGCTCCATCACTGGAAGTTTTTAAGAGGAGACTAGACAAGTCACTTGTCTGAAATGGTATGGGTTCTCTGCTCAAGCAGGGGGCTGGACTAGAAGACCTCCAAGGTCCCTTCCAGCTCTATTCTATTCTATTCTATTCTATTCTATTCTATTCTATTCTATTCTATTCTATTCTATTCTATTCATACACATTTTTGAATTACAACTAATTACTACTATTCCAGAATTATATTATAAAGCTATTTCAATAGTGTCAAGATTCAATGTAACTACCATATAGCCACCACTGTATAAATTTAAGATGTTAGATAATGATTATGGATTCAACATTCAGCCATTGAGGTTTTATTTGGTGACTTGGGATGATCATTATCTCATCCCACTCTATGTCATAAGAATAGTATGGGGAAAAATTTGGAGGAGAGACTGCAGTGTACCCTACATTGTATTCTTGAAGGCAGTAAAGCTAACACAAAAGAAATACAGATAGTCCTTCACTTACAACCAGAACTGAGCCCAACATTTCTGTTGCTAAGTGAAACATTTGTTAATTTTGCTTTCTGAAACAAAATGCTAAATAAAACATCAGGAATTCAAAAGTTACAGTGCTGCCTAAACTACTGTTCAGCTTTTTTAAAACTTCATTTATTTCCAAAGTGACATAGTGAAATTATTTTTTTTCCAATTTATGACAGTTGTTTGTAAAGGAAACATAAATAACAATTTCCTTTTGGCTAGTGCAGCAAAGTTTCAACTTATGGATAGTTAAGCAGCATGTGTGGATTGCATAGACTAGCATTCAAGCTGATTCCCAGTAAAGCAGGCATGTCAAACTGCCAGCCCATGGACCAGATGCATCATGCCGAAACCACACCCACTCCATTGCCGGCAATGGGGGAAAAGTCGCAATGTCACATATCATGTGACGTCACGGGTTTGACATGCCTGCAATAAAGCAATGTAACTGTCATGTACAATGCTAACTTTAATTTAGAGTAACCTGACTTAAAACCAGGCTAGCATGTGCTAGTTATGAGAATTGTAATTATAATTAAACATGATGCAGGTCTGAAAGTAAAACATACTTATAGAGTAAAATCTATTGCTAGGCTAAAACAACATACTCGTATATTCACTATACAGCATTTATTATCCATTTGATAGATTTATATACTGCCTTTCATCATAGCATTTAAAACACCAAATAAGATTTTCAGGTGGTCTCCTATCCAAGCACTTAATTAATCCTGAATCATTTATTTTCAGCAAAACCCTTGTCTTATATGCTTTTAAATTAAAATAAGAGAATATATAGAAATGACTCTAGGAAAAGCAAAGCAGAACACTACTTTCTCATAAACAGTTGAAGTAGTATTTCTTTTAATATCTCAAGGCTATTTAACTTTTCCAATACTCTCTCCTCTAATATGCTGACTTACGTGTACATGCTTTTATGATCAATCTGGTTTTTTTGGGGAAAATACTCTTTATATTAATGTCTTCTTATTGTGTGTCTCCATATTCTTTTAGTTTCTTCAATTTTTATTTTTCTCCCTTCCCCCCACTTCTGGTCTCTAAGCAAAAACAAGAGATTAATTTATTTTGTGGCCAGCCATTGCATGGATTTCTACTGCAGTCTAGCACACATTTTGCAGAATGTGCACGCTTATTTTCCCAAGGCAAATTATGCAGGTACCAAAAATCACTGAGATTTGATTATCATAATTCCCTGGTGTATATCCAAGAATAGAAATAGGGAATAGGTATCTTCTCCCTTGGAAAATTAATAAATATCTCAACTACGGTAATTACCAACAGTCATCAGTCCCAGGCGCCAACTATGTAACTGTGTCTGTAATCTTCGTGCGTTATCTAACCTATCTCTAATCTGCACGCGTTATAACCTTCATGGTCTCGTCTACAGCCTCTCGAGGTATCGTAAGGAAGGAGGCTGCTAAGCCCTCTCTCACCTTTTTTAGGGCGGGCACAAGCAGACCCCGCCACTTGGGTGCATTCTCTTCACTGAAGAACTCGTACTGCAGCGGAGCCGCTTGCATCTTGCCTACCCCGTCCCGCCCCCTAACGCCGCGGGGGGGGGAACGACGGGAATCACTGCTGGGGCCGAACTCGACGTTGCTCCCGGGCTTGGAGTGAAGGTCGCAGGCAGCAACCAGAACCGGAGGATGAGAGAGGCAGCGGGAGCCGCCAAAGGCGGCAGCGGCAAAACCCAACGTCGGGGGACGGAGGCGACATCCCTTTCCCGGTCACCCGCCGCCCGGCCTGGCCTCACTCAGCGCCGGGACCAGCCTGGGACAAGACACCACCGAACATCTTATCTCTCGTCCTGACAGGTCTGAGACTGAAAAGGTCCCAGGGGAAACCGACAACGCAAGGAAAATGACGGTTATTCTGGAGAAGGGGCAGGGTCTCGACTGCAGCTTTGAACTCTCGGGATTCTTCCCTTGTCCTGATGGTTACAACCGCCGACGCATGCGCAGTTAGCGTGAAGGCTGATTGGGCATGCGCAATTCAGGTTCAGTCAATCCTCTCTTTTTTTTCCCCGAAGCGTCTTCTTTGGAAGTTGTTCGCTTTGCTTTCCCTTTTCCTCTTCCTTTGAAGTGCGGAAGTGAGACAGTGAGCTAATCATGACCTCTTCTCAGTCTAGGATCGAGAATCGAAAACCGAATGTTTGAGCGAAGCTGTTTTGGGCTTTGGAAACGGGTGGTGAGGCAAAAAGGGACCGATCTGTCCAAGCGCCGCCTGTGGCACGGAGGACTCATGACTCCGTCGTCGGTCTCTCTACTTGAACATTCAAAACAAGACAACGCGGGATAATGTTGGATTCCTTCATATAATTGGTTTGACAGTAAACGAACGTTGTGGATTCTGTGGAATTACAGGAAGCCGGAGGCGTGTTTTTCCGTTCAGTTACGAAGATGTGTGGCGTTATGTTGGCGGCACAAGAATAACTTTGATTACTCTTTAAGAAAATTAATTCAGGTTTCCCAATTTGTACTCTTACATTTTCCTTGAAAAAAAAAAACATTTTTCTTAGCTTTGAAATGTATGCAGTTCAGGGATCAAGTTTAAAATATGTTTGTGCTTAATCTTGCCTTTCCTAAACTGTCAGGAAATACCATGATACCATGAACTACATATTGTAAAATAATTTTACCATTTTGTAAAATAAAAAGTGTACAGGAAGGAAAGTCCTGGATGAGCCTAAGGACGTCTCATAAAAATTAGTGTCAATTCACCTGTTTGCAATTCCAGAAGAATGTCATAAGAAACAAAAGAGTCATGCTGCCTTCCAGGACTGACAAATGGGAGGCAAAGAGAAATCTTTCTCCTCTCTTTCTTCCCATGCAAGCAGTGTTTGGAGGTAACATTGAGTCTTCAAGACTAGCAATCCCTGATCAACTTTTTCTCCATAAATTTATCTCATTCTGAGGTAGTGTTCTTCACAATATCTTGTGGTAATTCCCTGGCTCAGTTACGTGCTGTTCTAAAGTTCCAGTTTAACTGAATGTCTTCGATCCCAGTATTTTGAGAAAATAGAAAAAGAATTACGGAGAACAGCAAAAACAGCCTTTTTGCAGTGCTTCAGAAAACCTCAATTAGGAAAATTTTACACTATCCAGTTTAAAGAGATCTTTTTGAAGTTTTTCATTATTTCCACTTTCTACCACCATGAGTAGAGCTACAAACTTAGCCAACTTACTACTTATTTCTAAATTAACATAATTTGTGAGCAAATTAAAAACCACTGCCCCAACTCAGACCCTTGTGGAACTTTTAACAGCATTCAATACCATTGGTATCCTTGATTATCTGGGTTGGAGATGGTTACAGTTTTACAGAATAACAGTTGGAAGGGACTTTTGTTGGTCATCCAATCTACCCCCTGCTCAAGCAGGAGACCCTATACCCGTGGTGGCAAGCCTATGTCACGCAGAGCCCTCTCTGTGGGCATGTGCGCCATCGCCCCAGTCCTAGGCTTCAGTCCCATCCATGAGCAACTTGCATCAATACCCGTGCAGGGTAAGATTGCCACGCCCGCCCCATGCTGCTGCTTTGCGATCTGCCGTCGCTGCCGCGTGCAAGGAAACAGGTTTTTTTGAGGAAAAAAGGTCAATCAATCAATTCCAACTTCTCGTGAAAGATCGCGAAGTTGGAATTGACTGATCTTTTTCCCCCCCAAAAAAACTTCCTTTGTTTCCTTACATGCTGTGGCGGCGGATTGCGAAAGGGAAGCAGCACGGGGCTGGGAGTCAGGTAAGGAAAGAAAGGCAATTTCTTGGGGGAGCAAGGATTTTTTTCCTTACTTGTCCCACTTGTTCTGAGGCTGCTTTCTGCTCAGATGCGTTGCTCTTGCCAATGGCTCGACCGCCCACTTCAGCACCCTCCCTCCCCGAGCCTCTGGTGCGCCACCTGCTGCTTTGGTGGCTCTGTAGGCAGAGCTGTGAAGTTCTCTGTCAGAGAAGAGAACTTTGCAGCTCTGCCTACAGAGCCACCAAAGCTGTAGCTCAGGGGGTCCTCAAACTACGGCCCGACCTGCCTGTTTATCCGGCCTGCCTCAACCTCCTGGGCAAGCCATCCAATTACGAGGAGAGTGTGGGTGGATGGTGGCTAGAGCACCAGTCAATGGTGGGATGGCGAGTTGATGGGAGAAGATTTTTTTCCCCAGTTTCTCCCTCGTGCGCCTAAGGGCACGCTCGCACTTTAGCCATGCTCCCTTTCTCTGCTCTCACCTATTCATGTTTTTACCTCAGGGCCAGGTTGAGAGGCTTAGGTCTTGCTTGCAGCCTTGGCCTCACTTAGGGCAGCCAAACCTGGTGATGATGCCACTGCTACTGCTGCTGCTTCTGAGGCAGGTCCCTCGCTAGGTGCTACGGAACGTGAGTCCCAGCCTCCGCCGCTGCCATGCTAGCCAAAAGGAAACTGGTGCCGCTGGGCCTCAACATAACCCCCACCATTGCTGAGGGACCCAGTCCCACCAGCGTTTGGAGTGGGGCTGCTGGAGTGTGGCGCCGGTTATGGGTCTGAGGGGAGTGGGCGAAGGGCGAGGTATTTGTGAGGGGTGGCCGGGGTGAATGAGAAAAAAGGAGAATTTGCTCCAGGAAGGTTATTTCGGGGTTGTGAGGGATTGTGTGGAGCTGAGGCGATGAAAGGTCGGGGAAGCCGCTGGGAGGGAGGGTATGGTCGGCCTTTGGAGGTGCATCCTGATCCACGAACGGGAGTGGTGGTGCCGTGTCCAGTTGAAGCCCTGAGAGGTAGGGAAAGCTGAAGGTGGTGGAGCAGCTTGGAGGAAGCGGGAGTGCCGGTGCTGGTGGTTGAGAGAAACTTCATTGGCCTTTAGGGTAAAGGAAATGGTGGAGGAAGGATGGGGGCATTGGGATGTGCCCCATTGGAAAGAGGAATGAGGTCCTGCTAGGCAGGTTCTTCTGCCCTGAGACGGTCCGGAATGCCAGCCAAGGAGAATATTTCTGACTCAGAATTTAAATGAAGGGTCCTTGGGGGAGTATGTCTGAGGATGGTGGTTTTCTTGCAGACATTTCAGGACCCAAAGTGGGATAATAAGTGAACTAATGATGTTACCTGGTTTGGGTCATGAGATGTCTACAAAAAATCCACAAAGCTAAGAGAGGACCAAGGAACCCTCAACCGCCCTCCTCTTTTTTCTTCTCCTCCACTCCACAAACCTCGTTCTCTTCTGGTACTGCTGATGTTACCTAGTTTGGGTCATGAGATGTCTGCAAGAAATGCTGAATGGAAATGGCACCTCTGCCCTGCCTCACCCCACAGGACGAACCTCCTGCCCACCGTCCCACCTGCCAGAGACCCCCTGGATCTCCCCCAACCATGCCCAGCCCCCACAGGCGTCCCTCCCCACGAGCAACATCGAGGTGGCCATGCCCACCCCGGTGACGCCCACCCAGTCTGCCATGACCACTGCAGCAATGCCCACCCAGTGTCCACGCCCACCCAGCACCCGACGATAAATAAGTGGGGTTTGGGTTGCAGTTTGGGCACTCAATCTCCAAAAGGTTCGCCATCATTGCCCTATATTATTTCTGACAAGTGGCTGTCCAGTCTTTTCTTGAAAGCCTCCAGTGATGAAGCTTCAGAAGGCAAGCTGTTCAATAGGTTGATTGTTCTGTCAGAAAATTTCCCCTTATTTCTAGGTTGAATTTCTCCTTGATCAGTTTCCATGCATTGTTCCTTGTCTGGCCTTCGGGTACTCTGGAAAATATTGTCCCCCTCTCTGTGACAGCCCCTCAAATATTGGAACATTGCTATCAACATTGCTGTTGTTCCTAGTCCTCTTCACTAGATTAGCCATGCCCAGTTCTTGTAACCATTCTTGCTTTGTAGGTATTCTGGTTCTTTCTTGGTGGGCAATTAGTCAGCGGCGATAGAGAGGTTGGCCTGGTGGCTGCTCACTCGTAAGTATTGAAGGGCTTGATCCTTTTCTACCATTAACTATATTTCATGAAGAGGTGAGGAGGAAAGATAAGAATCCTGCTTTTAAAATCATGTCTCCGCTATTATGAAATAAGTCTCACCTTGAACATCGGGGTCAACCTGTGATAACCTTCCAAAATTAATCAAGCCTGGTAAAAAGAGGGCTTTTGACAGGGGACGCCATCTTACAGGTAGCTGTTAAAATGTTGCTATTAATATTAATAAAGTATTATTTACAATATTAACACAGTTACAGGTAGTACTTGACTTACGACCAAAATGGATCCCAAAATTTCCATGGCTAAGTAGGACAGTTGAATTGTGCTCCATTTTACAACCTTTTTGCCACAATTGTTAAGTGAATCACTGTAATTGTTAAGTGAACCACGTAATTGTTAAGTGAATCTGGCTTCCCCCATTGATTTTGCTTTTCAGAAGCCAGTTGGGAAGGTTACAAAGGGTGATCACATAATCCTGTCAGAAATACATGCTGGTTGCCAAGTGCCCGAATTTTGAACATGTGACCATGGGGGTTGTGTGAAAACCTGTGATGTCACTTTTTTCAGTGTGGTTGTAATTTTGAATGCTCATTAAATGAATGGTTGTAGGTCGAGGATTACCTGTAGTTATGTTATCAGTTTGTTACTGTAGATTTTAATTGTGGTTGGAACCAATTTGGTGTAGTAATTAAGGCACCAGGCTAAAAACTGGAAGACCATGAATGCTAGTCCTGCCTTAGGCACAAAGGCAGTGGGTGACCTTGGGCCAGTCACTCTCTTAGCCCTAGGAAGGCTAACCACTTTTGAAGTCTTGCCAAGAAAACTGCACTTGCCCAGGTGGTCAACAGGAATCAACACTAAACTTGAAAGAACCAAAAAAAAAAAAAAAAAGTACTGGTAGTTATATGTGTAGTTTACTTTTATCTATTTTACTGTGCCATTGGTCTATTGTGGTTGTTTTGCTATTCTGCTTAGATTTGATAGGAAATAAAAGCTTTCTCATAATACAGATGGTCAATAATGACTAGCTTGGCTTTTCAGTTAAGACTTCTCAACAGGTATGTCTGCAGAAAGCTTTCTTCAGAATGTTCATTGTAACAATAGCTCATCCCATTACAACACATGTATAAAAGAAGTGGAGTTTGTATTGTAAAATTATGACACACATTACCTCACTTCTCCTTGTTACCTGGTGGATGTCCATGTGTACAAGGTGTTCTCTGTGTTGCTCTGTGCTGAAGAACTTGTGTTCATTTAAAAAGAAAAGGGGAAGGTTTCAGCTCAAATAGAGGGCAATGTGTTCTGTAGCTGGAAAGCAAATAAGCATGAAGGGTTGGACTACATGATCTTTTTGATTACTTCCATCTTCACAATTCTTTGATCCTATGAATGAGTGCACACAGTGCAAGCCTTGGAGCTATTCCCACTACCACTGCTGGAATACAGCAGAATACAATTAGCCAAGGCAAGCCATAGGGGAGGAAATCAAAAGCCAAAGGATTTGTAAGAGGACTTCTTTAGATGCTAATAATATCATAAGACATACTTATGCTGCAATAATTACTTTGTATAATGTAGTATAATTTAAATTAAAGGAAGTTAATTTAGTTATTAGGCTGTCTGAATTTTATTTTGTTTTTTTCAATCAAAGCTGATCTTGGTAAAAATACTCTTCCTTAATTAGCAAGTGCTTAATTTCATTGGAAAATTACTGCAGATGCTA